GGTTGCCCTATATGGTAACGGCAACTGCCTTCGCGCTGCGTTTGCTAAGCAATATCGCAAGCGCGCAGAGCGCGCGCGCCGGCTTCGTGGGCCGGCGCGCGCTCTGCGCGCGCGCGCGCACGCATTTGGTTACCAGATCAGACATGGAAACCGCGAAACAGCCTTCTGCTACTGCATCATGGACAATCACAAAAAATTTGAAACTAATTTCAAAGTCTCATCAATACTGACGTGCGTCTTGGCATCTAGTGCTATGAGTTCCATGCGCTGGTCTGGTTGTATGCCGAGGAAGTCGAGGAGTTCGCGCAAAAGTGCGACGTGCGGGCCGCTTGGCGGCAGTTCGTCGGGTTTTTCCTCCTCTTCGTCCTCGTACTCCTCTCCTGTGAGCATCATGGTCTTGTTGGTCAGCAGCTTTGACAAATACACGTCGTCCTTGATGCGCTCGATGTAGCTTTCGAAGGTCTTTCTCCATTTGCGTTTTCGCGCTTCCTCCTCTTCCCGTAGCCTCTTTGCCTCTAGCAGTGCCTGCGCTTGCCTTTCCTGCTCGAGGATCTTCAGCTCACCTGGAGAGGGAGGGATTTTCGATTTTGTTTCTGTGTCGATGTTTGCTGCAAAAAAAAACTACTTATTTTGACTTTATCAACAGCACATGCATTGTTGAAATTGCCTGAAATTAGAATTATCGCTCTCGTGTTCCAGCTGCACATGTTCATCAAGAACATCTTAATATTCTGTAGTTAACGACACTCGAAAAGTTTATGTTTGATGTTCTGAGGTATATTGTGTCGATCTTACCGACTTTGAGCTTCGAATATCGCATCAGGTCCTCCGCCAGCACCTTTCTCGCAAACCACTTCCAAAAGGACTGGAAATTGGTGGTACCGCCCTCGTCCTCGATAATGTTCCACTTTTTTGGAATGATTTCATGGTCCCGCAAGTACCCTTCGACCTGCAGCGTTTCATCGATAGCAGCAATCAGGCGTGGCATCTCATCGACCAGCACTTTTCCGCCCTTCTGAAAGCCCGCGAAAACCTGTTTTGTTTTTGAGCATGTGAGTTAATCTTAATAGCAGAAGCGTTGCTATAGCCAACAGGTAAAACAATCAAAGGACGGCGTCGACGTGCTGCACACGGTGCACTTATCTTCTATGGTTTTGCTTTTGATTTTGTAGAGGACCACTTCGCTAGTGGAGCACGGCGGAATCCCGAACCCAAAAACAATAGCAAGTAGGAGCTGCTGAATAGTTATAGTAAAATTGAGCCTACAATACCTTTTGCATCTGTCCTTTTTTTCTCAACATTTCTCGTCTGCCCTTCTCGAAGTCTGCCCAGTCCGCGAATGAGTTTTCCTTTTTCGCTTGGTACAGAAAGTTGGTTTTCTTTCGCACCAGAAATTGTCCAATCCAGTTGCAGGGGTTAAAACGGTAGTAGAGCTGTCAAGTACAATTGTGGACTCAACTTCTTCAAGTTCAAATTCTAACCAGGCATGGCATTGGTGCCAGCGAGAAAAAACTAGAGATGCAATCCTCGTCTTCATGTCAAGAAAGGCAAATGAAAAAGCTCCGAATCCGGTAGAAAAAAATCCGAATCCAGCCGATGATGATGCGCATCAGAAGCATACCGTAGGACTGGCGTCTTTCCTCTGGTGCCTTTGGTGTATGATCTTCGTGAGCTGCTCCAGCGCCAATGCGAGAAGTGGCGCGAGCGTTTCCCCGATGTAAATGTCAAAGTCAGCGAGTTGCGCTTGTCGACCTGAGATGAATTCGCGTTGGTTCATCGTACTAGGGTTGCCATACTACATTAAATCAGGTGGAGAAAGTGGAACCAGTCGAAGTGAACTGGAGTGTCAACTTCACGAGGACGTGAAGTTAGGCACGCATCATCATGATCTTCTTCATCTTGTTCATGAGTGGAAAAAATATTCTTCTGATTTCCCGTACCTGATTTTGTTTCTGCAGATCCTTGGAATTCCTTCTTCCAGTCTTTGCGCAGGTACTTCATAAAGAAATTGCGGTCGAGCACAAAGTCTGTTGGTATGCCCATCAGGGGCGCGCTGCTGCTCGACGACGTTGACGTACCATTTCCACTCGTGGAAACGCGAGCCTCTGGCGCGGCCGCCATCTTGTCCTGCTACTCAAGTAGATGAATGTGAAAGAGCAACACAACCTGACCCCGAGAACGCTCTTGCAAGCGGTTTGCAGAGGAGATGTCAAGCGGGGTTCTCTGCAGCGATTCTACTAAACGGGATCGGTCAAGGGTGGCAGGAATCAAGAAGACACACCCCACCTTTCGGTCCTCTTCGTGTCCGGTTTCCACGATCGGCCAAGAACTGAGACGGGCTCCAGATTCTTTCTATTGTGATGCTCGCGTGTTCGCCAGCAGAAGCACCGCAGACGACACTCGTGAACCGAGCTGGAGCAAAGTCCCGTTTGTATTTCGTGTATCACTTCAAGATGTCCTCGTCCTGACGCCCCATTTGTTTGGTGGTAGTAGATGAAGGTTGCGTCTGCCTGAATACGAGGCAACGCAACCTCTCGCAAGCGTACTACTTTTCGTTTTCCAATAGCCAAATGCAAGACGTGCAGCCTACTAGCGGGTACTAATTACAAATGTATGTATCGTAAAAACGCAGATCATCACTATTCGAGGCTGATGACCATTGGCGACCGCGAGCATGCACACTCTCGCTCTGTCCACTCCTGCTCGTCACGATTTTAATGTTCCCTCCGGGTGTCTACGCGACGCGAAAGCGATCACTCCACCTTCTTTTTTTCAACAACACCCCCGGCAACTTCACACGATCGATATACTCTTCCGGAAGACGCTCCTCTCGCTTTGTCACTTCCACGACATCTTTCGAAAACGACGATTCATTCCACTTCCATCTACTTGGGAACATTCATTTAATGAGTTCGCCGGCGGGAGTCTAAACAATCAGATACGAACTCGAGAAGCTGAGGGTCCTCCATTGCAACTTCTGTTGACAAAGTCAAACTATAGTCCCTGCTTTGCGAGTTCGGATGTCCCTGCGCGAAATAAAACAAGCACGGCTAACATAGTGCCGCGAGCGAAACCACTCAGTGTTCTTTGGGGGTAGATGAAATGGATCTCATACTTGTTCTCGAAAGTAGGCAAACGATCCTTCGCCAGTTGTTTGGAATTTGTGGGAAGAAAAGCTTGAAAGAAAGCGAGAGAAGCAAAAGCAAAGGGAAAGGGAAACTTCAACTTCTACGTATTCGTCGCTCTGTACAACTTTCGGTGACGGAGTCGGAGTGTATCGGTCCCTTAGCATTACGAAGTACAGCAACCTTGGAAGACGTAAAAGAAGAGAATACGAGCAAAACATTCGGTTTAGAAAGATAGAACCACTCAAAAACAAAACCTTCCTTACGACGAGTAGAACTGGGACTGCTACTGCAGGCATGGTCGCTGCCGCAGCTGTATTCTCGCTGTGCGAAGTACTCCCTACGGATACAGCACACGTCACCAGACATGCTGATGCTTCTTGATAGAAGATGTGGTTAATCTTAATGTCGCTGTGCATCAAATTTCAACATACTTTTGTTGGATTTATTGCCGTTAGTTTGTTCCAAATTGCTGTAGCTGTATTCTCGACGTGTACTACCTACTGCGGAATCATTCAGGGTCGAAGTGATGTGAAGATGGTAATGACATTGGGTGAAAAGCAGTCGCATTCCGCTGGGTACTTACGCTGGACGAGCAGAGGAAATTTAGTTTTAGAACTGCACTTCGAATTCCTCCTTTCCTTCGCTTGAACACAACTTGCGAAACAACTATGCGCCGAGCACTGCGAGCATGCTCATGGACACAAAGCCGATCAGCAAAGCGAGCAACCGTGTTCCACTTTCCGTGGGAGTGGCAGAGCCGATAGACAGCGCAGAGGGAATGAGTTCGTTGACCGCGATCTGCAAGAACGTGCCGGCAGTAAGCGAAGAACAGACCGCGGGCCAGGCCGCGCCGTCGGCGTCCCCGAGCGACATGCCGATTATCGCCCCCAGGGGTGTGGAGAACGCGAACACCTGTGTGAAAATGAGAAACCGGGTTCGCGCTTTGTTACATGTCGCGTCCTGCACGATAAGTTGCGTTTCCTCCAATGCGAGCTCGTTTTGGGTGGTGAGCAGCGGTGCCTCCAGTGGCTTCCCGGCTGGGGAGTTGGAGGAAGTGCCCGGTCTTGAGGCGGATTTTTTCCTCTTGCCAAACGGCGAAGTGGCCCATCTTACCACCGGGAGGTTGGAAATCCGCGGGCCCAGCAGGGAACTGACTCCCGAAGGCAGCAGCGATCCGAGTGTCACGCGCGCGTCGGGAAGGTCGCAGCGTCCAGCGAGATTGCCTGCGCTTTCGGCGCCAGGTCCGCAGCCGCACGCAGCGACGACTTGGGGTGATTTCACTACTTGCAGCGAAGCGCCAGGGTCCTGCTTTGATGGTGTCGAGGCCGCGTGGTTTATTATTCTGTTTTTGTTCTCGGAAGTTAGTTCTTGCTGGAAGGTGCTGCGCCCGAGGACCTGTGTCATCACGCAAGCATCACCACCGTGTTCGCTTTCGCCTTCTGCTCCTTCGTCGGAGGACGACCCGGAGCCCCCATCTGTAGCAGCCTTACCTCCGCCCTGTGTCACTTCTACGGTCAGCAGCGTTTGTCCGAGCGCGAAGGCTGCCAGCCCCTTGTGTGCAACGATCGCGATCATCGTGGAGAGGGCGAGGGAAGCCTTTTGCGCGCTGCCGAGACCCAACCCCTCCAGCACACTGTGCACCATCAGAGCAGAGAACAAAAGCGTCGCTTTGACGATGCCAAGCTGTTCGGCACTGACATCCCGGCAGTCTTCAGCGTTGATCGCCTGACCGCCCACTTCCCCGCAAAACTTGGCATCGGAAAGTGCTTGCTGCGCTTCCGATTGCTTTGTTGCAAGCTTTGATCTCTCGAAAGCCACGGCTCGCTTGCCTGCCGTTGCGGGTGAAAGAGAACTAATTGGAGCGGTACCTCCGACCTCCAGATCTACGACCTCCCCGCTAGCGATCAGCTTTGCAGATATCCGTCGCTCTGTTGCCGTCTCTGTGGCTGCGATGGTTGGTTCTGTTTTATTTTGTTTTCGTCTTTTTTTCTCAGTTCGTTATGATTCTGAAATTCTGCTGAGTTTTGGTTTTCATCTTCGAGCTAAACTTGCTCATTTTCAATCATCAAAGGCATCTCTAGAAGAACATTGGTCTTGCGCACCCGCAGCTACGCAGGCACCCTCAGCTACGCAGTTCTTGCAGATGGTCGTCGTCGTGAGAGAGATGGTGACTAGAACACAGACTAAGTAGACTAGCAGCTGCAGCACCAGTTGAGGAAAACGAAAATGATAAAAATCTAGTAAGTACCACTCTCAAGGCTTTTGCCCCCCGTTTCAACATCGTTGACCGACGCTTCTCTACTTGTTGCTTTCTTTCCCGAGGCGGCGTTGCTGAGGCCGATGATCCCGCCAACGAAGATTTCGAGTCCGAAGAGCAAAATGTAGGATACGCCTCCCAAAATTGGCGCACCGAGGCCGATGTCGCCGATCGCGTCGGGGAGGACATGGACTAGCGCAACGCTCAACAGCACGCCCCCAGCTAGGCAGTTCGCACGCTTTACCAACCGATTTCCCTCCGGCGTTCGCGCATACTCTTGCAGACACCAGCTTGCAATGATACCCGCGTACGCAACAACGATGGTCCCAATAATACCAACGATCTTTATGATAACCAGGCTGTGCTGGTCCTCCTCCATCTTTGTCTCTAGAGCTCGCCGCAATAGAGGCACCTATTCAGCAAAATGACACGACACGGACGTCTCAACATCTCTTTCGAATAGTTTTTTCGTCTTTATTTTTATAATCATACTTCGGCTTCGTTATAGGCAACGAAGATGGGGCGTACTAGATCGATGAATGCATGGATTTCTACTGTTTCATCCAATTGAATCACTCATCCTGTTTTCGTGTGTGGGATCCTGAAGAGTTCTCGGTAGATTTCACGCAAGAGGCGCTTAGATTTCGACTTTATCCCCCCAAGCTGATGCGATGGAGGGAAGTTCGTCTCATAGGAGATGAAGATGTACGTTCGTTCTTCGGGTAATAAATGTCGAGATGAATTTTTTACTCGTATCTCCAACAAAGCGCTTTGCAATTCCAATTGCATCATGCAAGAAGTAGAATCTGAACGTGAAGAACTAGAACTACACTCCACACCTCACCACTCAATTTTAGTATTTTGTCTCCGCTTGACAATTCCACAACTCAGAGAAGTTAGGACAGTCCTTGAATCAGGGCGGCATGGAACCAGTGTTGATCGACACGCTCTTGCGAAGTGATAAAGCTATAGTACCATTACAACCTTCCAGATCGCGGGTCAGCCGCCCGAACACAAAAAGGGGAGCATACTTTTCTAATTTCTTTTTGCTGATGTCCCGGTGGTCATTTACATTTCCAATACACTGCTTCTGATCGTGATCGTCCGCGATCGCTTTGATTCTTTTTTATGCTTGACGAGCTGTCAGTGTGATATAAAGAGGCTTCAAATAAATTTCGTTTTTGGCAGGGCCTATCAGGAGGAGGTGGGGTGGAAAAACATAGTTTGTTGTCTCAAACATTCGTACTCATTCGGCCATGATGTTTCAGTCTGATTTGATATCGATGATCGTCCTCGTCTTGTTTCTCTTCTAGGACTAGGGATCGAGGACATGATTGAAAATAGTAGTTTTCTTCGTGCTATTCGACTGTACCATCAACACGATTCTTGAGTTTATATTTCTGCATACGAGCCACCGAATGTCAAAAATAAGTAATTCATTGCGACGAAGAGGGAGAGCGATGTTGCCCCACCAGGTCGAAGTCGGTAATTATAGTGTCGGAGTAGCAGTAGCCACAGTCACCAGAGACGAGTCTTCTACACGAGGGAACAGCGCCCAAGTCTTTATTCGCGTCATTCTTCTACATCCATGCGATCTGGGGAACCAGCAGGTGCAGGAGCTCCTTCACCTTTATTTGAGTTGTCTTTTTTATGTTTCCTTTTCCCGCCGCAACGCTTCTTCAACGACTTGCTAGCGGGTTCGCCACCAGCCACGTTGACGAATTGGTAACGTTTCGGGACCACGTCGACTGCAGAATCAACATCCATCGTCAGACTCCCTGGATGGCAAACATTCGACGTCGCAGAATTATCGTCTCCCGGAGACATCGCACTATCAGGACTGGCAGCTGCTGAAGTGGAGGCCGAACTTGACGAAGACGAGGGGCCCACGAAGTTTGTGCTGCTGCTGCTGCTGCTGGACGGATACATCGCACTCTGTAGCAATTTCGCCTTTATTTCTTGTTCTTTCTTTTTCTTTTCGCGTTCGCGATTGAGGCGCTTTTGCTTCCGTTCAACTTTCAGCCACTGATAGAATGTTGCTTGGCGTGCCCGCTGCAATGTGACTCGGCCGCCCTTAGGAGCTTTTTTTTGAGACTTCTTGTCGTTCGTCTTGATGCACTTCGCTCCTGCAGCAGCTCCTTGAACAAGGTTCTGACAATGATTGTGATGCTTTCCACTATCCCACGTGGTAACTCCCCCTACCCCGGTTTTTCATCGTTTTTCAAACTATTGAGCAGGTCTGAAAAATAAAAAAACGCGACCCGGTCACATGATCCGAGCGTGTGGACCTGAGCGACAGACTCTGTGCACTAGCTAGGGAAAAAGCGGACGATGAGAAGCGACCTTGTGCACACTAGCCATTTTATCCGAACCATGTGAGATAGCTAGCAACTTTTACTTTATCATACATGAGCCATCCGAAATTTGCTTCCAGCAAAATGCTCATGTCCGAAATCCGTGGATCTCGGATCTCGAGTTCAAGTCGAGATCCGAGATCTGCGGTTTCTGCGGATCCGAAAACTATTGAGCAGGTCAAAAAAAATAAAAACTTGAACAGCTCAATCGTTTTACTTACAATTGCAAAAACATGCACTCCCTAAACGTGGAGCATACCGGGCAAGTTCATACTGCGCCCCCGAACAAACTTGGAAACTCTGCTGCCATCATGCAGCAGATAGTTTGGCCGAGCCGGTTTCTGAGCATACCATGCATGTTCGTATTGAACCCCCGACGGAGAACCCAAATCGACCCAAACCAAAAACCATAACGATCATTCGCTTTATTTTTTTGTCGTTTTTGTGCTGCGAAAAATCCAGGAAAATCCTCGGGGTAGTGGTCCGAACATGCAGCGGACTGCGATTTTTTTCAAATCAGGTCCATTGCGCCAAAGTGCGCAACTTTTGTTGATTTTTGCAAATTGTGGGCCGGCTCATGATTTTTCATTCCACTAGAGCCGGCCCACCAGAATACTCGGAGCCGGGGCTTCAGAAGTTTGCTGAGCCTTTTGACCCAGATAATGTAATATCATTAATGGCAATATTTATATATATATGCCCGCTGCGCGACATTCGGATGGCTCACGCTTGATAGTTTGCAACTTTCTAGCTATCTCACATGGTTCGAATTAATTAGCTAGTGCGCACAGGGTACTACTTCATGGTCCGCTTTTTCCGCAGCTAGTGTACAGAATCTGAAGACGCTCGGGAACCGACGTCGGCATGTGTGAGCAGGTGCCGAAAAACAAAAAATCAAACCTGCGCAATAGTTTAAAAAACGATGAAATTCCGGGGTAGGGGTAGAAATTTCACTCCATATCCACCGGGGCCAAGACCGCTCCCACCTACCACGCCAGCCACCTTGTTGATTCCATAGGCTAAGAAATGGAGCGCGTGCCGGACCAGCTCGACGCTCGGGGTGGGGACTTGCTTCTCCAGCAGCTCTTTTCCGGAAACATGGAGGGCGTACATGACTACATGCCGCTTATCCTCCAGGTGCTCGATCGCGTGGAGACGTTTTCTCGCCTCGGAGCACACCACCGCGTCCTGCTCGACCAAGTGGTACCGGGGGTCCAGCAAGGCCTTCACGTCCTCGCCGTCCGCTGGTGTTCCCTCGTTGCGACCGTGCTTGTAGATGTCCAGATACGGAAAAATCTCGTCCGGAATCTCGGCAAGCGGCGTCGCGCCCGTGTCGTCGCTCATCTCGACAGCCGAAGCGAAGCTCGTGTTTTGGCCAGCCGCGACCTCCCGCTGCTGCTCTCCTTCACCTCTCCTTGCAGCAGGCGAAAACGAAAAAGAATGGCTCGACGAGGCGACGGAGGACGTCGACTCTCCGCCGGTCAAGCCCGCGAGCACCCGGTTGGCGTCGATGTAAAAGCACTGCCACACACTCGGGTCTGCGTCCCGCTGGCCGTACAGAAAGGCCTTGCGATTTCCCGGGTCAGACAACTCCGCGCCGCTGGCCGCCTGCTGCTTGAAGTGCAGATCTAATGCCTCGAATTCGTACCAATGCACACCGTCCGCGGTGACGGGTCGCTTGCAGTCGCGAATGTGCTCGAACGTAATTGCGCACTGCTGATCCTGCGTGTTGTCATGTGCGTACCATGTCGCTGCCGTGACGAGATAGCCGTTCACCCTGAGAGGATTCACTTTCCACGAGGACTCAATGCGCTTCTTCAAAAACTCGCGCTGCTTGTCATGGGGGAGCTTGGCGGAAAGCAAATCCAGTTTCTGCTCCAGCTTTGGGGGAAACGTCGTAAACTGAAACACCTTCAAATAGGCCTCAATGCGGCGCGCAGTTTGCGTCACCACGACGCAGTGGCAAACCTTTTTCAAGGAAGTTTTCTTATTTCCGACATCCTCGTTTCCTGTAGAAGTTTTATTCAAGCAGCACGCAGGATTCTTCTTCGGTCCCTTACAATTCGCATCAAAATCCAAGTCTACGACCAAATCAAGACACAATGCGTCTCCGCCGGCGATGCCTTTCATCCGCTGGCATAGCGTCTCAAACTGGAGACTCCCCTCGGCCAAAAAGGTGTTCAACATATCCTTGAACTTGGTTTGCACTGCTGGAAAGTGCAGAATTGGGTAGTACTGCTGCCACAAAACTTTCTCCTTGTTTAGCAGAGTCGCGATAAGCTGCTTCTCAACCTTCTTCGCGGCCGAACTGTCTTTGCGCGCTTCGCAGCGTTTCAGGTCCTGTTTCAGTTGCTCGGTTTTCTCCTCTGCCTGTTTGGTACAGCCCTGGCTCTGATCGTGCTTGTTTTCGCCTTTTCCAGCAAAGCCGTGGCACTGGACGAACTTCAAATCCCGCTCCGCATGCAGCACCTTCAACGCCCTGCGCCCGCGGGAACTCCCAGCGAGCTGTGCAAGTCTAGTTACGCGCGTTCGGTCGCTCTTCGGGATCTGTGCCCCTACGCCATGTCCCGCGGCGGCACTCTGGTTATTCCCAGCCGTAGTTGCGCTACTCGTCCCCGAATTTGTCGTTCCCGAAATGCCCGTCGTGGTTGTCCCAGTCTTGCCATTTTTCAACACGCGCCGCACCTTCTTTTTCCGATTCAGCACGTTGAGCTGAAACCTGCCGAGCAGTGCGGCGAAATTCCGTCCGCGAATGTTGGCGCCAGCCGTCCACGCGGAATTCTTGACGAAGAGCTTTTTTCCCGACGTTGGGGCAACTGCTTCTCCGGACGACATCGCGGAGGACGCTTCTCTGTTTGTTACGCGGTCGCCCCGCCGGATCTGGTACTTGTCGATGCGGCGGAGCACTTTGCGCTTCTCGCTGGAGAGGAGATCAGAGACTCCAATCTCGGCTTCCCACTCGGAGGAACATTTCAACTCCCCCATGACACTAGCGAAAAAATCCGCGGCCTTCTTCGGCGTCATTATGCGGCACATTACGTCCAGAACTTCCGCCACGGACATGGGACGGGTAAGGCGACGGGGATCTTGTTGGTCAGCTTGAGTTGTACCCTTTTCCGGATGGGGATGAAACGAATGACGACATAAAGCAGAAGCATATCCTTGTCCTTTCGAGTAAAAAGCCTGAGTGCCGCTCTTGTCTGTTTCACTTTCATCGGGTCGTGATAAGGCCGGTGGGAAACACCACGAGAGCCATTTCAGCAGAGTGTTCGTGTGCTTCTCGACCAGCTCCTTTGTATCGTAGCCGTCATGACCCGGGTTGTTCGGGACAACTTCGGACAGGTGTCGCCAGAGCGCACGGAACAGCGCCTGCACAAAATCAAAATATCCGGTACAAAAATTCCGGTGTCCTTGCTGACAGGCAGTGTGGTGTTTCTGGGTCGCTGCAAAAAAATCGGAACTGGACCCAAAATTGTTGTCGGACCGGAAAGCTACTGCAGAAGTAGATGACAAAGCTTGATGCTGTCCGGAACTGTTTGCTTTTTGGCCACATGCCGCAGAGCCTTGCTTGCGTTTCTTCTTGGACGACACACCGTTCACGTCTGGTTCCCGAAAAGCCATCAAACGAGCCATCGAACTGTGCTTGCTGAGCCAGTACAGATCCAAACACGCCTGATCCCCGAACTGATGCACGACCATGGGAGACGCGGAAAGACAACCTGAGGATGGCGACGGCGCCGGCTTCAATCCGTCACCGTTTTGCGCTGCAGCTTGTCCCCCCGCGACGTTATCTGACAGGATATTCTGTTGCTCCGGGCACTTCTGTCCTTTTGTTTTCGTTTTGTCTTTCAAGAGCAAAGCCTCGCTCCAAAACGCTTTGCAGTGCAGCACTGCGTCCGCAGCCTGTGGCCCGAAAAAATTACCACATGGACCAGCCAGTATCTGCTGTTGGGGAGCGGTGCCCAGGTCACGTCTTTTCGCGTACCGGGAGAGATAGGGGAGCACGAGAGCCAGGCTGTTTGGCAAGATCGGCATCTTGTCTAATATTTGCATCAGAGTCACGTACTTGGCCCCGATGTAGCCTCTCGCTTTCGGATTTGATTTCTCCTGCTTGTTGTTCTTCGTTTTGTTCTTTTGGCCGTTTGTGCAGCCGCCCGATGTTGTCGGGAGCGCTGTCTTGCCGTCGCCCAATTTCCGCAAAACGCGGTAAAGCTCTGCCACGTACACCAAGTGCGGAAAGAGGGAATCTGGTAAAACGCCGTGACTTTGCAGCTGAATGCAGGTGTGCAATTGCGACAAGTAAGAGCTGTGAAATTCCGCAGATACTCCCTGCGAGAAAAAGCGGCACAGGGGAAGTTGGAACTGCACGTAGAGGCAGGGCGCCATCACGAGCAGTTGCTGTGTCACGGCATTCGTTCTCAGATCCGACACCGTGTGAAAAGTAAAGGCCGCATCGTCCGGAAGGGGGAGAAGAGTGAAATCGCGATTTTTGTCCTGCTCGGCGACTTTTTCACCGGATCCAGATGCGGGTGGCGGCTTGTTCCTCGCTTTCCTAAAATACAGCGACACGTACATCCTGCCCCTATCCCACTGAACAAAAGCACACGACCCATCTTCCCCGACCTACGACGCAAAAGTCTTTTTATTTTTCTAAAAGCTTCAGCAGCGCAAGCCAAAGCGCAAGCGCTCCTCTCCTCGCATAATATGTCAGCGAGCGGAAGCGCCACTTCTCTTCAATAATAGAAAAATAAGCCATGCAACAGCTGAAATGGCGAGACTACAGGAGGAGGTTTGTGTCACACTACAAGGGTGCATGGTGCTGTGCAAGAGTCTGCCCACGCAGCAAGACAAAACCTATACGATTCAAATAACAATGTCGAAGCTGCTTATTCCTTGCAATACAAAAAGTGCAAAGCCTACTTGATTTTCTTTGCGTTGACGTGGGTCCATGAGCTTTTTTTCCATGCCGATAGCCAAAGCGCGAGTTCCCCTCTAGCTCTTCCTTGTTTTGCTGACCCAAAACTACGGCTTCTGTCTTGTTGGGAATGCAATTTATTTTCGGCAGTTCACAGGAAGACGCCAACTTCGGTTGTTCGCGCTCAAAAAGTTGCTGCGCTTCTTCCAGCAACCGCGTACGATGGGTTTCGATCTTCTGCCGCAGCTCTGCGCCCGTGGTGAAGAACCCAGATCCACCACACTGCCCGTTATTGGAAGGCTCGTACACTTCGAAGAGCAAGGGGCCGCTAGGCGACCACTCGCCCCCGTCCATGCCCACAGCCCTCAGCGACACGCCCACAGACGCAGGAGCCGCGACAGCCGAGGCTGGAGCTGGTGAAGAAGCGTTTACCATTTCAACGTCGCCGGTGTTCGTCTTCATCATTTTTGTCGCGTATGTAGTTTTTCTACAGCGTTTGTTCTTTCTCCTTGTTTTTCTCCCTGTTCAACTTCATCCAAAAGTAATTTGATCTTCAGCTTCGATGCGAAAGTAGTTCTTTTTTTTTTCCATGCCTGGGCATGGCCATGGCGTCAAAGGTTCAAGGCCCCAAAAAAAAGAAGTAGTTTGATCTCCGTGTTCGCACGAGGGCCAAAAGTAGTTTGATCTTCAGCTTCAATCCGAATCCGGCACACACAGTTACAACGGTTAACACACCTGATCATCTAATGTTACGTGGAGGCTACTCGTGATCGTCAAGAACTTTCGCATCACTGATGCAAAAGTTCTTGACGAGCATGGATTCAAGGCTAGTGCTCTATATCCGCTTTACCTCTGTGGCTTTCTGGCGGGTTTTGACTCTTTTGACTTTGAAGATCGCGGGAGCGCATCACGATACAACGCCTGAAGACGGGAAGTGCAAATGCTCTTCGTTCTAAAATGGAAATCGCCTTCTACCGCTGGGATTGAGCTTTCTTCCGATGATTTTGGGAGGATAAAGCAAATCATCTAGAACATCACTTTTTAGAAGACGATGGATAGTGATGCTGCATCCCATGCCCGTCAACAACAAGATTGCATACTTAAATTTGACAACTACGGCTGCAGCTGTTTGCATGTTCCTTGTCATTCTCCTTCTGATTCTGTGCACCGCCAGACGAAGCTTCAGTTTTCAGCTGCAAATGCAACCTGTCCGATAGCTCCTTGCAAAAACGCGGTCACAGAGTTTCACCCCTTTCTCCACAGGGTGTGTATCAAAAGCGACATCGTGCTCAGTAAATGATGAGAAAAATTAGAATTACTATTTAACGAGCTCGATCCTCGTTTTCCAGCGTGAATGAATATTATGTTGCAGAAACTTGAAGTAAATGAAACTTCGAGAAGAAGCGTTCGGAAAATAGACGTAATAGAAAGAGCTACAACAGTTCGGTCGTAAAAGATAAAGAAAGCAACGTAGTACCAGCCGGTTCCAAGACATGCATTTCGAGGACCGATGTTGGAACGATAAAGAGCACGAACCCTCTGCCCAATTAGTAGATGGAGGAAAACAATGGCCCTCAACAACGCACGTAAGTAGGGCGAGCTTCACTCAAATTATACTACTGCCTTAAAAGTTGCAGTGTGCATCATGATGGACTTGTGCCAGCACATGCATCCTCACGAGCTACCGCACATGAGCGCTCTCGACACTGCTCGTAGTATGAGATCGACGAAATTTAATTTGCTTAGCTGTCCCCCCGGTTGCAGCATTTGCCCTTTCGTCATGCCAGGCCTGTTGTCCTGCGAGCCGAGAAACCAATCGCGAAACTGCTCGTCTGCGTAAGCACCCCGCCAGGAGGCGTGTCCGTAATTCATTTGCTTGTAGTATCGGGTGTAGCGCACCCGAAACCGACCGCTTTCGTCGTACAATTCGACAACGCGCACTTTCTCTGGTTCTTCCCGCCGAACCTCGAGCCGGCCACCCTGCTCTTCTACGATCACTTTGCGACAAAGGTCAAAATTGAAATCCGAGTAAAGCTCGGCGTGCCACCTGCAAGTAGGTATACTTGAATTTGAATTTGTCCGTCGTGTCTACTTTCGCATTCATTTTTTCATGCACTACGAGTTCCTACCAACACGAATAAAGCAAACATGTCTTGTCGGTGCAAGAAAAAAAGATCTACTTACTTGTCTTCCTCTGCGACGAAGAACCACAATGGGATATCGAGCTGAAGCAACGCGCGCACTCTGCGCTCCGCATCCTCACTAACGTACTCTCCGCCGGCCTCGGGCGGAGGGGTAAGCCTGTGCGTGCGATCGTCGTGGATGATGTGCTTTGAGATCAAACAGTCCTGGTTCTCCGTCCGCGTGCTCACCCTTCCGCTCGCTCGGGCTGGTGGCGATGGGTAGTAGGGTGTGTGCAAGTAGTGCTCGAGCGCGGCCTGCTGCGGCGTCGCCTCGGGGAGCGCATGGTTATGGGCGTCGTCCTCCCCCTCGTGGACGATGGACGGGTCGTCGCGGCCTCCCTTCGGGCACACCGCCGCGCAGGCTGCAAATTTCAGCCCGTACTTCTCGAAAAAGTTGCAGGGCATCGGGTAGCGAAACTCGTCAAACCCGCTGGCCGCCAGGGTGATCCCCACCGCGCCCGCACCACCGGCGGACTTGCCCGTGACGTACAGCCGATCCTTGTCGATCCGCAGCCCGGATTTGTTTACCACGATGTCCAGCATTTCGAACAGCTGCTCCAGCGCGTCCGGGTACGTCCACTGCCACCACCCATTGTCGTCGAACAGCCGCCCCTTGTTCACGTGCGGCGCAAGCATGACGCAGTCCCCCGCCAGCGGGAACGCGTTTTGCTCGTTCTGTCGGGCCAGCGACTTGTTCATCGGGCTGCTCGGGTGGTGGAGATGAGGAGCAGGAGAATCACTACCCGCCTGTACCCCTGACGTTGCCTGCGAGGTCCTTTCCAGTACTTCGACCGGATCCACAAACCGCTCCGTCTCCCGGTCCGCGACCAACGTGAATGGGCAGCCCTGCTCGAAGGCCAGCACGTCGTGGTCCAGCAGGTTCCAGGGGTCGTCGGGGGTGTGGTCCTTGAGGTCCGCCTTGGAAAAGGGGGCGTCCGCCGCCGCGTAGGTGGCGCCGCCGTGCAAATAGAGCAGCAACGGGTAGCCATTCGCGTTTGGCGGGGGAGAAGATGAAAAAACGTTGGCCGCCGGACTGTTTGGAGAGTAATTCGCCGGCGTTCGCACTAGGTATCCCAAATTTCCCTTCGGGGTCCGCCCGCTCCGAATTTCGCCCGGCGGCAGGGACACGGGAAACCCGAGCTCGCTGTGCTGGTTCTCCGCGAAATACGACTGACGGCGCCGCTTCCGCTGATTCGGGAGCGCGTAATGCGTGATGGGGGCGACTTCTTCCTCCAAATCCGAATCCGCGTCGACCAACAACGAACGGTCGATGGCCCTGCGATCGCGCGGAATTGTGGACGACGCGTCTCCTGTTGGTGACGCGGTCGACGCTGGGCTTCGACGATTGGCTCCTGCTTTGGGTCCGCGAGGTGGAGGAGGTGTGCCTTCAGCTAGTCTCTTCAGGTAACGCATGCGCTGCGCTTCGTGGGCCAAGTGCGCCACTGTGGAGAGCTTTTTCCATTGCATGCGTGCGTGGTGAGAACCAGAGGGGGACCCCGCTGACGTTGCACGATTATTTGTGGCCGCCGAGACGGAAGAATATATTTGCTTTCCCCCAGCAGCAGACATGCGTGCCCGCTGCAACACTGCGGCAGCGCTGTCATCCTGCTCCTCCACCGAAGAGAGCTCCTGCTCGTCCGTGTTGCCGGCCATTTTTGGCGGAGTTGACCTAGACTAGGACCACAAGATATTGGGTCATATCGACCAAGACTAATTAGAGCGAGAACTACTTCGAAAAAAGAGTAAATGCGAATCAGTCATCAACGTGGGAAAGGAAAAAGGGGATAAGGCTGTAGCCGTACCGATGTTGGGCAAGCGGCAGAAATAAATGCTGATCCACAGAAGATTACAGTTTTTTTGGCTCATCTGGTACCGAAAATGCTCCTTCGGCTGAGGAGCATCTGTAGTTGCTGCACCGAATAAATGTCTTGTTGCGAGACGTGGACCATTTTTGCGACGAGAACTTGCTCCTACTTGTACTTACGTCTCCTCTATACAAATGGCTGCAAATGACCGAAATTACAAACAGGCTCAGTACCGAAACGGAGTGCCCGTGGGCAATGATGAGTGGACTGATACTCTTCCATCTTCTTGTCAACCGAACTCAATTTGTGGTTCCGGGCGGTAGAAACATGTTTATCAAAAGTAATTGATACAACCCACAGGCAAAGTACAGAAAGTGACCGATTCGCAGCTTCCTTTGCGTTGCAGGTCCAAAGCAGCCGAGATGGGTCCAGCGAAATCGCAGCCTGGCACCGCCATCACTACACACACAGCAAGTAGAAGCACGCGCAACATCAGTGGACGACGAAAAAGTAAATCATGAGTACAACCGAAGGCGAAGCTAGGAGCATCATGAGCATCAACAATCTTCTTCTTCTACGAGACCGACGATAAACTACAATAGGCTTACTCACCAATCCAATCTACTATGTATGTAGAAGGCACGAACAAGAAGTACGAAGAGAGTTTTACCGAGTTGATGTTGAGCGGAGGCATATATGATGCGGGAGCTGCCGCGAGAAATAACACATCAAACATGGCAGTAGATCATGCGCCTACGATGCTAGACAAGAACATCTAGGAAACTCATACATGGGAAGCACCAGGAGCCGTTCGGCACAAGAACTTCTTGTCTGTCTATCTCTGTGTGACGGCCAGCAGAAAGTTGTAGCACAGAGATTGTAGCCGCTAGAAGCAGCACCATGATCATGTGGACTGTTCAAGAAAATTCGCACAAAGAATCACAAAAATGCTGTGTTGCTCATGCAAACATGTTGGTCGTGGCAAACGCAAGACTCTAAAAAATCGAAAAGGACGAAACAGATCAGACTCGGTTACCAGTTTTAGGTGGTGCCGTTGGCACTTCGTAGCCACCAGCGGTCAGTTGCACTTCTGGATCCTCAGACAGTTCATAAAATCCCCCTCTTCCAGCGGCCCCCAAATTGTCCGGCGGACTGGCTTTGCCGATAGGCAGCTGCTGCGCTCCGTCGGCCCCGTTCCGGAGTGGTGCGGCTTCTTCTTTTGCCCCCCACCGCAGTCGCCAGCGACGTTGTAGGTACAAAACGCCAGCCTTGGAGAAAAACCACGCTAAGATTTCAAAGACACATCCGACCTTGCAATCGCAGCCGCCCTTCTCCCACAGTCCGTTGGCAGCTGCGCGATCTGGCAAAAAGCGGCCGCACTGTTCGTAACGAACCTGCGAAGTGACGCGCGCGAGGTCGTCTAATAGCGCGAAGCCACGCCGGTTTCGCATCCGCTCGCTTTCTTCTGAATTGATGGCGCGCTGCAGGAAGTAGCTGCAGGCAGAAATGACAAGCAAAGTACCGAGGGCCACCGAGGTTGCGTTAACGACAAGGTTGCCGGAAAACCGTGATAGTACACACATACCGCACGTCAGCAAGGCAAGGACCAGATAGATCCACACACCATACTGGTAAAACGGCTCATGATGAATCTGAGATGGAAGTAGTTGTAGTTGATGTTTCGAGCAGGCGTGTTACGTGTCAGTCTGATACACTTAGATTTAGAAGTGGTTTAAAGCTACAAATCCAATCAAGATGATCTATTTGACGTATACTTTCCTGCTACGAGGAAACAAAGCTGTGGAACAAAAGAAAGATGCCCGCACCTTGCCCAGGACGTCTCGCTCCACATTGACTTGAAGAAGCCGCAGTAGAGCCAGCAACTGCACCACGATCATCATGCTGGATAGAACGCCAATGCCGATGCGGATCCATCGATTTAAAACTACTAGCAGAACCAATGAGGAGGCGACGCTGCAAAACAGGGGCAGCCACCACTCGTCGGTCGCAGTATTGTTATGGTCCTGCAGATCCATAAAAATCAAGCCTATCCACACGCCCGCGACCAGGGACCCGGCGGTTGTGAAGAGCTTCGGCACGCGGTTGCTGAGCAGTACAATTGCTACCCCGGCAACGAGACAAACCAGGTACAAAAAATCTGGATGGCCGAGGAAGTGACTCCTGTCCGGGAAGGGGCCAATCGTGGGGGCTGTGAGCGCAGCTGCGGATTCCGCTCCTTCCGGGGTGCTGACAATGTGGCCATGGTGGGAGCTGGTGTTGGTTGTACTAGTCCCGCCATCGGCCGCGTGTGACGAAGACGAAGAGGTTCCTGAAGCAGCGGTGGGCACTGTCGAATTCGTCACGGCTGCAGTTGAAGACGTTGACGTTGAGTTGCTGGAGCCGCCCAAGTGGCCCAACTGCCGTTCACCAACTGCAACTGGGTCGTACGTGTTTGTGAACATGCTTGCGCACCGTAGTATTCGTCACGAAGAGGAAGACGGACACAAACACACTCGTGAAAGAACAATGCAAACCCTTAACCAGAAAAGCACTTTAAAGTTGAACTTTCGTCTATTTTGCGCTCGGCCTCGGCTCCGGCTGCATTAAAAATTTCAGAAAAATCACAAAAAAACATCAGCTCGGGTGTGTATTCGTGCCGGTCGCATAGCACTTTTGCACTCTTTGTCTTTAGCAAGAAAGTTCCTTAACGCAACCGAAATGGAGCACGTCCGGTTGTACACAATTATCGACGAGGAAGAAACGCTCCAGCGTATTCGGCGCAATCATTTTGCGCCGGAATCTGTTTTTATTGCAGCTGAGTACAACTTCATGCGTTCTTCCATGGCAGAAATGAGTCTTGCACTAACTTCTGCTCGCATCTCTGACGTGATAAATATCATGTGCCCTTTCAGCACCAGCAACAGCATTGTCCAACGAAGATAGTGATTAGAATATGGAACACTAGAATGCTGTAAAGTTAAGTTCTCCCATGAACCCGATGCTGAACCACGACCACGAGAAGGAGGACGCGTGACATCACATTTACATGAGCGGAGACAAGCGAGATGACAGCAAGAATCTTCACAAGGTTTATTTAGAGCAGATAGATTCACATTGGGATTGCGACCGCCCCCGTGTGCGGAGAAATGGTTTTTCTTTTTTCTCATCTTCTCATCATGCTGATATGTGCAGTCGTTGCAAGAAAAGTCAATGATGTTCTGCTTCTGACTTTGAGTTTGAGTAAATCGTAAAAAGTTAAATCCGAGCAGGACGCAGTCACGGGTCGTTCTTCACCGAGGTTGGTGCGGCGGAACTCCAAAACACATGCCAGTGATCCTTTCCATTGTCTGGTATGCATTGCAACTATGTCTGGGTCTAGAAGGATGCAACTTGTGATGCTGCATTTGGATTCTACAAAAATCTGTATTGCGTAAACAGCAAAAGAGGTCCAGTCTTTGCAACGGCGTCAAAAGGGCATTTCTCATGCGGTATAGGCATCAGGATGAGGATGCCGATGCCGATGCCCTCAAAAAATATAATATGTGATGCTAGGGCATGCATCACAGATATCAGGTTCAGGAGGCATGGCGCAAAATGTGCATGACAAATCGTGCACTCTTCCAGACCCAGAGATATTTGCATTTGATATCTGGGCACAGCGTTTCATTCCCTGATCCGCCAATCGCCTCTCGGAGGCAAGTTTTTCGGATTCAGCCTCTAGTTCTCCTAGCTCTAGCTTAGCAGATTCCATTGCTTTTTCATGTTCAGCAAGAGCAGCGGAGCCCTCCTTCTCAGCTAGTACAGGAGCAGGTTTACTGTTTTGATCGTTGCCGCACGACGACGACGACATCCGCAACACGTCCGCTAGTGCTAGTCCCCCGTCGAACCTCCTGGGCGCTCGTTTTATTTCCATTGCGAGTTTTGCTCGCGCTCGGTCATTTTTGCGTTGCAGCTCGTGAATCATGGTGCTCCGGTTGATGTAAACCATCCTCCAGCGGCTCCAGTCCCCCTCCTCCGCGGCCGGCGCGCCCCGAGAAGCTTTACGCATCTCTCGGAGTCCCTCCTCCAACCTCCCGCGGCGGCGAAGCGCCCCGGCCAGGTTGCTATGCGCACTCGAAACGTGCCGATGGTGTTCGGGCAAGACCTTCTCGAACAGGTCCACCGCTTCGGTGATCAGCTGGTACTCCGGTACTTCGAAAGCTCTTTGCAGAGCCTGCAGCATAAGGCAGAAATCAGCGCTCAAAGATGATGCCTGTGCAGAAGAAGAAGAAGATGACGTAGGACAAGATGAACTCGCTGTTGGTGTCCTACTAGTAGTAGCGTTTGTCATCGAAGATGCATTGTTTTGCGCGGTCTGGCGGACGATTTTTTCTCGTTCCTTGATTTGCGCAGTCACAGCAATATCGGCTAATAGCCCGTAGCAAAGGCCAAGCAACAGCTTGGCATACGCCGTGGACGGATGGCGTGGGCCGACTAAGCGCTCTCGCGTGCGCATCACCTGCTGCAAGCCCCGCACCGCGAGCGGTAGAGGTCCGCCACGATTCATCCATTCGTTCGCAAAGTCGGCTGGACTGTCGTCTACTCGCCCAAGCGAACTAACATTCAGGTTGTTCTTCCTCTGACTGAGACTGGCAGGACCCCCATCTTCCTCGTGATCTTCTAACGAGGTCATCGTGGTCGAATTGACGTCAATAGCAATTCGCCGAAGGCAAGAGTCAGAGGCATCGAGTATGACTTTGACATCGACTCCGCGGGGCAGGACAAATTCTCCTTCGCGTCCGTTTTGACCTCCTATTTGTTCGTGTAGTTCGTCATGCTTTATTCTACTCCCCGGAGCAGAAAGAGCAGATGAGGCTTCTCGGTCAACATTGCTCGACCTCGACGCAGGCCGGAAAAATACTGGCATCTTCGACTTGCTCGTGAACCTGGTAAATTGCTGTCGCCATTCCGCGACGAGCATGTCCCGGGGCGTAAGATCTTCCGCTGTCGCAGCCCCGCTTGTCAAATGTAGACAAGATTGCGATTGCGCAAGGAGCTCTTTCATCGTGTCGCGAGGCAGACCACTGTACTGATATTTCACGGGGTACGCCCGGCTACTCGCGGTAAACACGCAGCACAGCTCCAAACAATCCATGAGTAACAACACCGCTTCTGCCGTCGACGCGGACGACTTGGTCGCTTCGGACAGAGGTTTTGTTTTGTTTAAGAACATGCTCCACACGATGTTCAAGTCCCAGGCAGCATGTGCCGGTTGCTCCAGCCCCGAACCTGGCATCCAAGCGAGCCGCGCTCTCTCCGTTCTGGCCAGTACTTCGAGCAGATCCGCGATTGTCCGAGGCCTGCTCTTCTGGTTCTGTTGCTTGGCTGCCTTCTCCGCTTTGTCGGACTCGGAAAGGAGGTTGTTGAGCAGCGCTTTTGCATCCTTCCAGCGCTGCATGCACTTCACGCTCTCCCTTGCTAGCAGAAAGTCCTCCACAAAAAAAGCCCCGACCGCACGCGCCGCCCTGGCGATGAAGGCGGGGAGCTCGAAGGGGGCGGTCACGTCAAGCGAGAGAATGCCACTAGCGAAAGGCGCCCGGCCCGACGCGACCATCAGCAGAGTTTTGCAGGAAAGATCTGCCCGGCCAGCATTGGAGTAAGCTCTCGCGCAAAAAAGAAGGAGCCTGCGATACTTTCGAAAGTAAGGGGCATCCAGCCGCTCGTAGAGCACGGCAGGGATTCTGCTTGATCGAGATGATGAAGCAAAAGCGTTCTGATGTCCTCCATGCAACTGCTGCTCCTGGTCGGGTCCATCTCTCATTGGGAGGTCGTGAGCGGCTCCTTCCGCCTCCACCTGGTGGTCACCCTTGTCGTCCTCGTCGTCCAGTCGCTGAATGATGTCCACGATCCTGGCAACCACATTATCCGCAACCACTTCCTGCAGTGCGGGCCAAAGTGCGTAGAGGAGGAAGTGGACCCCCGCATCAATCACCGCTAGTAGCTGCTCCGCGTCTGTCTCCATATCAAATCTAAAAATGTCTGGGTCTGGAAGAATGCAAGTTTGTCACGCTTGTCTCGCATGACTCCGGAATCTGTTATGCATGAGCAGGAAAGCACATGAGTGAATGAATGAATGAGTGACGCCCCCTGACGCACCTCGTCGATCCGATCGCTTCACTAGTTCTTCCTCTTTCCTGGACTGCCACGAATGCAAAACGCAGCCAGCTTGTCACGCATACATATTAACCAGCAAGCGATTTCCCGGTCCGACGGCCCCTCTTACTCCGGTTTTCGACGACACACGCTGTGTCGTCTGTGGGTGAACCGGTACGCCATGCGTACATGGACGAAACCCCGATTGGCCGTTGAGCCACCCCCGCGGCACCTACCGACTCTCCCCGAGCCGGTACGCGTGATCAACAAACACCACTAGTGCCTACTGCTAGCCAAGCTAAATTGTCGGGGTTGTTGCCGAAGGTGAAGCTTGTCGGCTTAGCAGCGGGTTAAGTAGGGGGGGGGCCTCGTACCTGTCATGCAAAAACGCAGTTGGTCATGCGGAAAGCGAAATACATAGGAGCTCAGAAACTTGTCATGTGTCGTTGCGTAACGCAGTGCGCCCACCATGCACAAATTAGCATTTACAAGTTTCCAGACCCAGACGCAGACATATTTGCAACGCATATTCCAGGAGCTTCAGCAAACACTCCAGATTCCGCCGGTCGAGCGCCGCAGAAAACGCGGCCATTCTGTTCGTCGCGCTCTGTAGTTGAGACCATGCGTTGACTGCAGGCAGCCCACACCGCTGAAAGGTCGTTTCTGCGAGTCGCAATGCTGGGATAAGAACTTTCTGTGACAAAAACCGCACGCCCTGTGCACGCGGACGACATTTCGACTTCACCTTGAAATCTAGTTCCGCATCATGAGTGCCAAGAACAGTCTTCTGCTTAAAGTCGGTTGCTTCGCTGCTGCACCGGTAGACACAGCACGCTGCGTACGAAGGTAGGGGGATACAGATGATGCTGCTTGTTCCTTTCTTCATCTCTAGCAAGCCAGCTCCTACGAGGGGATTAACAACAGAGTGCACCAACTTCTCCAACAGGTGGCCCGGATCATGCTTGCACTTTTCCGCTTTCATCGAAACTTCCCGATCTGCCGGCGGCTTTTCGCTGCTCGTCTCCACTTGTTCCACTGGCATGTTGCCACAAGATGAATGTTGAGTAATGGCATGACTTCTATCGACTTTTGGTTCTCCTTCCGAAGATTTTGATGATACTGGTACTTCGTGGTCTTCTCTTGACGCTTCCACTTCCTGAAAAAGCATGTCCCGTAGAGTGTCGATGCTGCACCCGCCAGGAAAGTATATTGCCATGGACTCCAACACTGCAACTGCAATTTGATTCTTCACCTGGGCCTTATCTTGCCTTAGGCTTTCGCGAGCCGCAGCAGTGCCCTCTTGCTTGAAAATGCGCGCCACACTCAGCAACACAGCTTTGGGCATGTGTTTTGCAAATATGCGCTCCACGGGATCGCACAGTATCGCTTCAAGAATGTCCTTCACTGAAGTCCTTTTCGAAGCGGTTGCGTAGTTGTAGTCACTTTCATCATGATGTGTGCGTGACTCATGTGAAGTGACAGTGTCCGTGCTGTTGTCATCTTCGAAGCCCAACACAGACGCTGCTTGCTGCTGAATATCGGTTCCTACTTTCCGAATGACCGCTGGATGTTCTCTGAAAATATACCATCGCCATCTACTTTTTGCATGACAAAAGATAATACAACGCCACAATCTTCATCTCGTCCATCTCCATCATGTCCACTGTGATAAGTAAATTGCGTGGGGATGCTAAATTTTCAGGTGATACTGGATAGTTTCCACACATGGCAGCCAACACCGCAAGCGGATCTCGTGCTGCCGCCATGGTGGCAGAGTCGCCCATGTGCAGGTACAAGCTTTGCAAGATGGCTGGACTAGAAGCAGAACGTGATGCTCGCACGGCTTGTTGGCAAGAAGCATACTACGTTGAAAATTTCAAGAATAAGAAAACGAGCAAAATTCGATGTTTAGAATTCAAAACGGCAATGCGTCGGGCGCCCTGTTTTTTGTTTTTGTTTTGGATAACGCGTGGCAGGTCACGAGACATACTGCTTCAAAACTTTCAGAAGCAGAGGACGCGACACACTGCGTGTGTTATCGCGGACGCCTACTTCTTGATTAAAAAAAACGAGAGGCCTGGCATGGAACCGGCCAACGAAGACGGGCCGAGGGCTACCAACCTCACGCACCAAACTAGTTAGCTAGATGTGGCCCTTTCTGGGGCATTCATAACCGGGGCCCAATGGGCTCGGGTCGTTACGTGGTCCGAATAGGTGAGGCGCGGCGACGCCTCCACAGGCAAGCGAGAAGCGGCCCGAAGGTACTGAAATACTACAGCCAGCTTCTTCGGGAATGCCCGGCGAAAGACATCGCCAGGGGACTCGGTGCAGGTGCTCTTTTTTGCATATCGCCCGCGATTCGCACAAAATTTTGCAGTTCCCACTGGAAAAATTTTCAAGAATGAACAGGGTCGACCCCTTCCGGAAACCCTAGATTTGGGCCATTCCGGAAACGGGTTTTTTCCCACTTCCCACTGGAAAAATTTTCAAGAATGAAAAAGCAGACCCCTCCGGCGACCCCTGACGCAAGGGGTCGCCCAGAGGACTTATCTGTTCATTTTTTGCTCAAAAAGCGCACTTTTTGAAGTTCGCCCACTTCGGAAATCGATTTTGAAGCCACGCGGCGCCCCAATTCCGGACGCCCAAAATGCAGCCCGTCGGGGAGGGGAGTCCCGCCCTGCTAGGGATCCGGATTGGGCGCGCGAATTGGGCGCACTATTTTAGGCGCCGGAAAACATGGCCCGGTATTTGGCCAACTCTGGCAAAGACGTCGCGGATCTGTAAAGCGCCCCACTTTCATCCTCCGGCCAACTGCTTGCCGGCGTCAAGAAGAGCCCCTTTATCGGGCTGCGGGGGCTCTGCCGGTTCCTCTGCAAGTACAAGTGGCGCCCCGTGGCGACGGTTGGCGAAATGATCTCCCGCCCGCGGGCAACCCGGCCGAGCCCAAGGGCGCCGCGTGCTGCTTCTGCGCTGCCGGTCGAGCCGCCGGCGTCGTGTTTCGTCGAACTTGGAACCCCTCCCGGCCGCCCTCACGACTCTAAAGACCCAACTTTGCTCATTTTCTTATTCTTGAAATTTTCAACGTAGTAAAGCAGAACGTGATGCTCGAAAGGCTTGTTGGCAAGAAGCACCGTGGTCGCAAGCACCTTTACCGTGCGTGGACCTCTCGTGGTCCAGAGGTCCTTTAATTTGTACTAGGGGAAGATTTGTTGGTCGTGTCGCGCTTGTTGAACAACTTCCTCTCGATGACGATCTCGAGGATTTCGAGGGCTGATAATTGGAACAAAAATTGTCCCGATTCTCATCTGGCTCCTCAGCGACCATGTGGAACTCGTCGCGTTCCTTGGCGAAAGCTGCCAAAGCTGGCGCGTGTCTTTTCAACAACGCGACCCCATTTTTCGCGCTCAATTGCGGCAGTGGGATGATAGAAGTGAAGGTTGCAAAATTTCTGCACGCTGCGAGGGAGTTCGGGAATGTGACGACCTTCAGATCGATATCCGCGGCCGCAGCGGTCCGCAGCAACCGGAAGAACGCTGCGGCGGCATTTGCGGCACGCAGCAGCGCGTCGACGTCTTTCAAGCACAGGAAAACGAGGGCTGATGTTGAAGCCTTTCGGCTCCGGTTGCCCTGGACGAATTCTGTCATCTTCTCTCTCAGTGCGTGGCAGAGATAGGGCAAGGCCTTGTCCCAGGTTGCGTAGGTTGCCAGGGAGATGGGAACAGTCCGGATGGTCGTTGCGCTGCAAGATGAAGCTCCTCTGAGTTTGTCCGCCAAACTAACCACGAGTGCTGTGCGATCATGAAGACCAGAATGCCCGACCAAGTGCACCATGTTTTCGCGGAGCGTCTGGTGGATGTGGATCTCCTGTGGAGATTGATCTCTGCCTCTCTCTTCATGCATCCGCGGCTCGTGCTTGTCTTGCTCTTCGTTGTTCATCGTCCAAAAAAGTGCTTGTGCGATCTGCCACTGCACTACTTCCCTACCGACAGCTGCTGTGTTCGCCATTGGACCGTCATCCTTGGCGGGATCTTCAACCACAGGGGTGGCGTCTTCAAGGACTGCAGTAAGCGATAAATCACCGCGCTCCTGCTCTTCCGTCGTTGCGGTTGCGGTTGCCGCAATCGTGCTGCTAATCTTACCAACATCTACGGGAACATGCTTCACAGTCCACACATCCTGCACCTCTGGGCGCACATCGTCTGGTTGTTGTTCCATTTTCGATTTATTTTCAGGTTGTGCGTCATCCAGTTTTGCTTTTGCTTCTGGTGGCCTAGATTGTTGCCCGTGTGGCATCTCAACCTCGTTCAGCACCTTAGACCTGCTAACGCCATCATTGTACAGAAGCGGCTGCTTGATGTCCTCTCCACGAGTACTAGTGCTTACTTCGGTTTCAGTTTGTATTCGCGCTGGGCGTGGGAGGGGGAAAACTGAAGCCAGAGAACCATCGCGAGAATATTTTTCCTCATCTGAGGCATGAAGGTGCAATTGCTGCTCGGATTCGTATTCCAAAAACTTCTTGACGTGGTGCCAGTCGTACACGAAGACCGACTTTCCTTCATCTCCTATATATCGCGGTGTAGTTCTACTTTCGTTCTTTGATGATGATCGTTGAACTGCCCTGCTCAACAACAGAAACCGACGGGCTTGGGTGGGGAAGGCACGGTGGACTTTCCGGAGAGCAAAACGGAAACAAGACAGTACGGTCTTCGGCTTTGATACTTCTGCGGTTTTGATGCCTTTGCCAATTCTGAAGCTCGAGCGCGCTGGATTCAGCTTAGTACTTCCACCCGAAGTAGTTTCACTGTAGGCGTTAAGGTACGACGCATCCTGCTCGTCCACATTTAGCGCGGCTCCTAGGAAGGCAACAGTGAAGAACAGCGCCGCATCGTCGGTCACGCTTTTGTCCTGTTCGATACAGACTACAAAGTCGAAACAGGAAAGAAAGTGCTCGCCGATGAGTCGGGACTGACACGCTGGCAGAATGAGGAGACGCGGCGAAGATGAACTGGGAGAACGACCTCCAAAACCTTGTTTCACCACATGAAGATCATCCTGGTGCTTCAGACCTCCACCCGCTGGGGCTTCTACAGGTTTTTGCTCACGCTCACCAGAACTGCTGCATGGTTCCATCTGCTTGTGGTTGCTGACAAGTTTCTGCAAGCTTTGCATGGTCACGCGGAAGGGAACAGCCACATCAACAGCCGGCCCCCTAGGACCTTCTAGAAGCAGCTCGCCCTTCGATGTCGCGTGACAGGACAGGATGACGATTTCCAACCCGACGCTGTTCCCCTGCCCATACGCAGAGATCGGAGCTCGGTGTGCTCCTGTTGTACGAGCATTGTCGTGTCGTGGTGCGGATAGTTGATCATGCGCGTTGATGAAACTGGCGGAAGTAGGAGAAGTGCTGCCCCCTTCACACCAAATGAAATCAATATCTTCTTGCGCGTTCGTTTTATTTTTGCGACCCACGCCCTCTCCGGTGCCGCGAGATGTTGAGCTCTTCTTCGTTACCACCTGCGTCTCCAGCGTTTCCTCTGTCAGCCGATCGAAATGGCTCTCGGTGCACGTTTGCGCGTTTGGGATATTCTCTGAAAATTAGCAACCCCCATCCAATTTGTCACGCAAAACAACATGTAAGCAGAGTCTGTGCCTGTCATGCGAAAAGTGGACGGGGATCATGGTTAATTTTCAGGGAATAGCGGAACAGCTCCGCCAACTGCCTTCTTTCTTTGTTTTCCTCCAGTTGTGGCAACGGAACCACGTCAAGATGAGACGGCGAGCCTAGTTTCTTGTTGCTGCTGCTTGTGGTTGCTCCTTGTGAAGACACTTCATCCTTTTGTTCCCCGTGAGGTGCTTTTTCGTGCGGCTGTCCTCCTATCAACGCCGCAGTGTTCACAGATGCAATCGCACTCTGCACCAACGGGTTAGCACAGAGGTGCACAACTTCGACCGTCGAGCCAATAAATGTAGGTGGAAAAGGCTGGCTCATGTTGAGAGCAGAACTGCCTACGTTACAACTGGAACCGGTCTCCGTCCTCCCCGTCTGTTTGTGCGCGTTTGGATCAAATTTGTTTCGCCGTCGTATTTCAACGACCAGGTCGCCAATGGTTTTTTCCCGGCCGCTCATCGTCATCACGTTGTTACTCTGTCTTTCTGTAGCAGTAGCACTGCAGAAGTGAAGCATTTGCATGCAAGGTTCACAATCATGCTCACGGTATCTATTTGATGCCTGTGTCTATTTCATAGTCATCTTCTGGTGGAACAAGAACGACGTTGTAAAATCAAAATCAAAACTGTTCTCGTCGTGCCTGCTTCTCACACTGTATTCATGTCGCGTTTTATTTATATTTTGTTTTTGGTTTATAACGCAACTTACGGAAAAAAAACGCCACACGCGCTTGATCTTCAGCTCTGACACAGCAGATGATGATGCAGACTTGGATTATTCTTTATTGATCCAGTCTCAACAATCGCAACTCCAGTATTGGAAAAAAAGCAACGACTGCTTGGAACATCTTCACAATACCTTTAACTTTAAAGGAACCTCCCATCGTCTCGTTGGCGTTGAGCGAGGGGGTTCTTGTTCCCTCGGTTTTATATTTATTTCTTGAAGCCGACGTGGCGTCCATTTTCACATGCGAAAATATGACGCCGGGGTCGCTGAGGCAAAAAGTACGGTCGCAAGGGTCTTTGAAGCATCACTTTGACTTATTCCATAGTGTGCCAGCACATACAGCCAGCTTACACGGCCGCAACCGTGTCGAGGGGGCGGGGGCCGAAGGCTTGTTGCACAACGACAAGAATAATGGAACGCTTCCAAGTTGTGGATGTTGTGGTGGGATAAATTGCGCAATAAATGTGAATTATGTCGTGTTTTGATGTGGACGAAAACTAGACCAATAGTGTGCCGTTGAACGGCAACGGATCAATCGTGTACGTAGATCCATGGGTCGTTGTTCCACCGACATCTAGAAGTCGTGAGACGATTCAATGTCATCTCGCAACCAGGCGAGCCAAGACAGAGTTTGAGGGGAAATGAAGTTGGTCGTCGCTACGTATTAACTTTCGTCAGATATCGGGCAGAGCCGCGGCGCTGGAGTTGTTGCTCCAACTTGTCGTGTTGCCGTAATGAGAATGACCGCCACCAGCACCAGAAAACATACTTCCTCCCCCTACAACTGGACCCCCGCCACCGCCGTGCGTGCTCGCAGCAAGAGGGTCATCGAACGCCGTTCGCGGGGACAGTCCGGTCGCGCTGCTGGGGTTGTTGTGCAGTAATGAGCCATAGGGACTCGGCTCAAACTGCTGCTGGGCCGGAGGCAGAGGTAGAGCTCCTTGTCCTGCACCTGGGCCTGCATAATGATTGTCGGAAAACATGCTCGGATTTTTCGCGGAGCTCCAGTCGTCGTCAAAATTGACGTTGCCAGCGTTGTGACTCCCGTTGGTCGCGATCGGGACATTGTCTGACCACTCGTCTTCGTGGTCGTCCATCCCCTCGTCCGAAATCATGACCGTTCGCCTGACCATGGCCCGGCCCACGGCGCCCACCCAGCTCTCTTTCTCGCTGGGTGACTCCGCGCAGAAAAAGAAAAACTTGCCGTCCTTCTGTATCAAATGCAAATATGTCTGGGTCTGGGAAGTAGGAAGATTTGTCATGCTAGTCTGGCATGACTCTGAACTATGTATTGCGCGGCCGCAAAGGGCCCCTCTTGCCTGTCATGCAAAAACGCACTTTCTCATGCGGAGTACGCAACCCAGAACCACGGAAAAACTTGCCATGCTTGGCAGCGCATTACAATGTGCTCACTATTCCCTTTCTTGCATCACAAGTTCCAGACCCAGACATATTTGCAATGCATATTCTGCCGCTGCAGGCAAAACGAGTTCTCGAGGTTCGTTTCGTGATCCGCGGATCGCTATCCTGTGGAAAAGTATCGCACTCGTATTGCAGTCATGCATTACAAATCTTGTTCTTAAGCTAAATCCGCATTGGAAACACAAGACTACAAATCTAGCTTATCTATCTTGGAAAGGAAACGCAGTGACTTGGGTGGATGTTGGTCATGTGATCTAAACCCCAGCCCCTGATCTAGCCTGCCAACCTCTATAGCTGACATACAGGATCTGAATGCCTCTGATGATCTGCATAGGGTCCCAAATGCCGTATGATGACATAGGATCCACATAGGAGATGATGGTATGAAATGCATACCCATAGACCATAGGACAGATGATAGGAATGGATATGGAATGGCATAGGGATCGCTATGGATCTGGATAGTGCAAATGACTATGATCCGATATAGTAGATTGATGATGATTGCCTATGCCGTGACATAGGAGAAGGACCATGAGAATCGTACGAATCCTGACAGGATGTAACGCAGCAAGAGACATACGTCGCTTGCGTGCTTGTGCATGTAGTGAATTGATACCGGAAAGGTGTATTGTCACAGAGGTTGACAGCGTGAGTGCTCAGGTGTTCGTCTTGTCCACTAACAGTGGAAGATTACGTCTAAAGACTTTTATATTCCCGTTTATCTCACTTTTTTTAACTTTTTTTATAAAACTTAACACCCGTTTTTTATTTATTTTTGTACAAAAAAAGTATTTATTTCTCATGCTGAGGAAATCTGTGATGCATTTATACGAGTACGATACTTTTGCAATGCATAGTCGCACAGTCATCATCTGACCAAAGTTCACCAGCTCCGTCGCGTCACTCCATCGGTAAAGCTCGCAGGGCCCCTCCCGAAAGGTCGCTAAACCTGCAAAATTCAGGTTGTTGTACGTTCTTTCATCGAGGATCATTGCTATTCTTATTCATTCTTTCATCCACGGTTGTACTACGTCAAGAGAGAACCAGTCGATTTTTTGCACGTGTCAGATAAACCAGATCCACCTAGGGCGAACGCGACGATTCACCGTCGCCTAAAATCACGCCAGGAGGTGCTTAGAAGGCCTCCACTGGATTGATCTACGAACAACTTCATCTCAATTCTCCAACTGCAACTACATCTACTGAGAAAAATCAGCCGCAAAAAACAGTACAGTCTCTGGTGAGAACGACGTATCGCCTTCTCCATTCCCGGACATTACGGCTTTCCTTTTGGAGCCAGCCCTCCTTTACGATGTCGCTGCGACTTATGATGGGATCGCTTCCGTCGTCGTTGGCCCGCCCATTTCCAATGAAAGTATTAACGGTGTCCGCCAAGGCCCCGAGGAGGGAAGACATTTTGCGCTTAAGAAGATCGGGGGTGTGTGATCGATGTAGTACCGCTGGCAATAAAGATGAACTTCTGATATTAATACAGAGCAAGAGGAGCTGTAGAGCAGAAAGTAGCTGTAACAAAGCGAGTGAAGGGTATGGGGCACAACAACTCAACAGAGGTCGCTATATCTAAAAAAGAGAAATCAGGTCGTAGAGGCTCGGTCGTTTCTTACAATCTGCCTGCTGTTCATGTGTGGTCACAGATATGTAGATGTGCATACAAACCCATTTAGATGAGGTCTGTCCTTTCCAATTCCATTTGTGTTCTTGGAGCTAGACTAATAGATAATAACACTCAACAAGGCGTTGGATACGAGCTAGGGTTGAAAGATCAATTTGAAGATGAGTTCTTTCTTGCCTCACACAGGACTGTGCTACACAGCAATTCTTCATACATCCTAAGAGACTCGCTGGTGCAGTCTCATGGTGCAGATGTATTTTCATCAACCGAAAAATCCTGTGCTTTTTTAGAGGCTCAGGTACCGAACTTTGAAGTGATTTCGCTGGTCTAGATTTTGATTTGTCGACACCACAGGCAAAGTAGAACCGAGTGACCTCTTAGACGTGTGTGCGTAGAGTGTATTTTCAGAATACAAACACCTTCGACCGACTTTCGCTCTGGTATGGATCTCAATTCCTTTGCATAGCAGTCTTCTTGCTGAGAGGTGGAGGACTTCCAGCTTTTTATTGTGTCCACGAACTCCACGCTGGAAAACAAAAAAGTCCATGCCGGCTCAAGGACCTTCGACGAATCAATTTATCGTCGTCGAGTGGCCGATGACATTGCAGTTCCATAAACAAATGAAAATTCCAAACAAAAAACCTTGCGCTATTCTGTGAGATTGTGTGCATCGACGTATGTAGAGAAAATGCAGGACATGATTATGGAGCAACCGTACTACGGAAGCAACGCACTCGTGTGGGGAAGGGGGTGCAACAGAAGAACGGAATACGATCCTCCAGGAGACAAGAGCAATTTGGGATGGCAAAACCTTCAGGGAATATATGACACAGAAATAAAGGGGTACTCAATACGGAAACAGATGCCGCTGTCATGGTGAGGGTTGGTGGAGCTTGATGGTGCCTCAACAGAGAAAGATGTTGAAGAGCATGAGCGCCGCAAAGGGCTTGTTACAAAGCAACATATTGAAAATACTCCGTATCTAGCGGGACTCTACTTTCACGCGGGTCAACAACGATAGAGCAATAGAGTGGGGGAAAGGGATAGGGAATGGGAAAACAAAAAAAAACCTGTGAGCGATATAAAATTTATTTTTTTATCTTTTGTCCTGGGGTTAGGTTAGTACTTTTATGCAGCGCGCTTCTTCTCGTTCTCGACACCCCGGAGCATCAATGGCTCGAAGTAGAAAGGTTTTCTACTTGCGCCAACCAAAGGTGGTCGAGGCTCCGATGATTGCCGGATCACTCGCGTTTTTCTTCAAGTTATACTTGTCCTTGGATCGCCACGGTGCACTGCCCAGCGTGTACCGCGCGCTTCGGCGGAGAGTGCAATCACTCAGTTTGTCGCCCGCTTGATGGAAGGTGCCTGATTATATTTATACGATTTCTTTGGTCAGATTTTTTGCGAAAAGAGCACGTATTCAGTATTGACAGGGATTCCCTACGTACTTCGCAGCAAAGAAACAGAAAGCGCGAACAGATTGAGATTTGCAGTATCAACACGCCCAAGAGGCTCTGTCTTAGCGTTCCCAAAACGTCGCCCACGACGCACAACCATGAGAATGAACGACGAACGATTTTTTGAAATATCTATTGAGTGAACAACACAAGAAATCGTGTGAAAAGCTGTACTTGGAATCGGGTATTTTCCCGGTCCTGTGGATGGGTCGCCCTCCTTCGGCATCTTGACGCCTGGTGGAAGGCCAGTGCGCGGCTCCGTTGGCGTGAAGCCGAAGAGTAGCTGCGGCTCCACCGCTTTGTGGTTCACTTTGTACTTGTCAAAACCGGGCGTGTCTTTCTTGCTATGCGGCACTTCGTTAAACATGTGGTGGCGCTCGGTAAATGCCGGACAGAAATCTGACCGGTAGGTGTTGTGACACTTGCTGGTGAAGTTTCGCGTGTCGTACACGGGTGGGTACACGCGAGCGCTCGCTTTCTTTTCTTTGATCTGTTCCTCCAAGTCGTGCGCGTGCCACCCGACCGCGTGCGTCTCGGACCCCATAAACGTTGGCAGCTTCGCCTTCCAGTAGTCCCCGCACTCAGCCATTTTCGAAATATACTTTGAGGGACCTGTCGTGGTATGGAAATAAAGAATTCTCATAAGGCTTTTGGGAAAGAAGTTAATTATGAAGATACTTTTTACATACCATGACGAAATTGAATTTCTGAGTCACCAGCAATCATAATCAACAATCATCAACAAAGAGAGAAATGCAGCGAGCAAAAGCCATGATCACGAAGCAAGAAGCCGTACCTGGAAATCGTGGCGCCGTTCCGAAAACCGCTCGTGCTGGCTTCATTTGCCGCCCGGAATACGTCCCCCGCATGTCGAACAAATAGTTCGGACCGGGCTTGGGTTTCGCATCCGGCCAGCGTCCCTTCAGACTGTAGGCAGGACTGGAGTTGGTAGTGCTCAAGGCACAAAGATTCGGCGTTCCGGGAAGAGAAACCGACATCTTCGGATCGAGTTGTACTTGTAGTGAGTCACCTCTTGTCAATAAAATCACACGATCAAAGTTAGTTTTGTTTGGCCACAAAAGACACGAAGACAATTTTTGCGTAACTACACTGTCAAGGGCATCAACAGGAGCTGTAAGAAGGAGAACAGAAAAAACTGGATGTGGAAATCACGACCACGAAACTCAAACTTATAGCTACTGAAGAATTATAGGTAGGATGACGAGTATATCTATAGGCTGTGGGAGCAAAAGGTAAGCGCAGGCGGGCAACTGCAACAGCTTGAACTTTTCACAAACGTGGCCTCAAGGAGTTAACTTTCAAAGGATTGCGCAGGAAACTTCTTACAGACACAAACTAAGCCAATGGAAGCGGCACGGACAAGAACGAAGCTGGTGGAACGACCTGAACGATCATCAACAACCAGGTGCACGAAATCAACAATGAGAATTTATAAATCTTATGTATTACAATGTCCGTGAACCGCGCAGCATCGGCCTGGATTTACAACTTTTTCATATCTTGAGGAGCTGCAGGAGCTGCACGACGATCACGACGCGGAAAACGAACTGATGGTAGTACGAGATGAAAGTACGAAGAGGTAAATGAACGAAGGATGGCACTATCGCAAGTTGAACACGAAAGCTCGCCCCATTAAATTTTCAAGAGGACAAACCTCCATGTGCAAGTGCGCGGTGTGTTTAGAAGACCTTACCACGACAACGATGATATGGTCGCATTGATGAACTGTCGTGTTTTACTTTCATTTGAGATGCGCTTTCAGGTAAGTACTCGGGCCGAACTTTTCAAGTGTAACACAGATTTGTAGCAATTTGCTACAAATCTGTGTTACTTTGCCAAAGCTGTTCAATTTATTTCGTGATGTTGCGCTGGCGCTACTCACAGATACAGCTACAGCTAGGCTGCTGTAAATAGGATTTTGTACTTGATGTCCTGCGTAGTTCGCGACTTGTTCGTGCTGTGTTTAGCTGGTGATTACTTCTACCTCAGTGTCAGTGTTGAGACAGGAAAGCTAAATAGCTCCTCGCACTCGCTAGCTACTTGAATGAATGCAAGAGCGAGGACCTAGGATACAGTGCGTCCTCCATGCAGTTGTTATTTTTTAATCGTACCACGGGCGGGGATTCAGGATGTTAGTCTAAGTAAAAATAAGTGTGTTCTTGAAAGGATACGCATCGCTGTACTGCGCTGTGAGAACTCGACAATGTGCGCGGAGCTACACGGTCACTACCGTCATAGCTGTTCTCTGCTCGGATGCAGTCCGACTTCGAGTTGCTGCAGGAATGAACAATATCAATATGTATCTGCTTCAACATGTTGCATGTTACCACTTTTCCACACCGTCCTCGATCTGTTTGCGCATTTCGCGCAAAAAGACCACCAGGTCGTTGTTCTCCTTACCCTCGCGACCAGCGGCCACAGCTTCCACCCAGCCGTCGAGCTCGACTTGAGCGGCTTCCGAGTTATCTGCAAAGGCGACGCTGAATTCCTGCGCGTCCGCGATAGTCTCTTGCAACCGAGATTCCGCTTTTGCGATGAGCGCCTCGTAGTCCTGACTTTCTTTTAACCCAGCAGCTGCGCTAAGCCGCATCGCCATAACCGCATCCTGAGAATAATGTGAATTTCCACTGGAAAATGTTCTTTCTAAGTTCTAGGTGGAGGATCCAGATGCTGTTTTATCGATCCTACTCCGAGTTGTCGCACTGTTGTTCCGCATCGATTAGCCTTTCCTCCTGTGGTAGCAGTGCACATCATGGAAGATGAGCAACCCACCCGCACTGCCGGGCGACTGCTGGAGAAATATGAGTATGATGTTTTTGCATTTGAGCACAACTTACGGTGAGAAAAGGTGAATTTTTAAGGTACCCGGAGCGTGGTGGCATTACCGACGGTTTCTTCGACTTCAAAAGCAGCTTTGGCAGCTTCGTACTCGGCAAGGTCGCACTCCTCGTCTTCGGCGCAGCGCGCTGCGATCTTGCCCCACCGCTCCAGCTTCCCCGTGGTGAAGGCCACCTTGCCAACATCGTCCAAATCTTCCCACTGGCCCATCTTGTTCTGGTATGTCTTTCTCTTGAACGAATACGAACGGGGGCTGATGTCGATCAATTCTACTTTTGTTTCTCTGCCAGATATGTCTCAGGAAAAAGGACAATTACCCTGCTGGGATGCTACTGGGTAAAAGCTTATATTCGAAGGAAATACTGCGACCGATGGATGAACAGACTACGACAACCACTAGAGCTAGTAGATAGACCGATCGAGATAGAAATAGAATTCAATAACCGAGGCATAGATAACATGCCCCCGAATCCGAAAGTGAGATTACCGAAAAGGTACTGATAATAGGTGATTTTGTTTGTTGCCAACGTCGGAGGTCTTTCGAAAAGCACCTATTCTTTATCCATCCAGGACCGACCATGGTGCGCTTCATCCGACCGCTGTTCTCTACCATCCGAGGATAAGTATGAAGGCGCATGAACATGATGTGCACCACCATGATGTATTGTCCTGCGCAACTTTTCGATGTCACGCAAAAATGCAACTATCTTCATATCTGTTCAATTTTCACGCGTACAGAATCTGGCCATGAAACAAGTCAAAAAACGATCTTGCTTTCGCAGGCCCCCAGTTTGGAATCCGTTCGAGCTTGTCGCGCGACTCGATTGCCAGTACTGCTGCGAGCGATCCAAAATGGTCCAGCAGCAGTTCTGCGTCCATCCGCGTCAGGTCGCGACACAAGGCCAACAGATCAAGTGCGGTTTCGCGACAGTAGAATGCTTCATCAGCATCGTCAGCGGCCTCCCGTTGCTGCTCCTCGTAATGTACCGCTTTGGAGGAGGCTATTGGTTCGTCCTGCAATTTTGCTGCGGTGACATCAACGCCGCACTGATGCGTAACTACGGTGCCGTCGTTCTGAGGAATTGTCTTTGTGTTTGGTTCGCCTGCTGCAGAAAAACCACCAGCAGAGCCAGTTGCTGTATTTGCCACTACTGGTGTGCTGGAAGCTTGTGCCTGCTGATTCGCCCCCTTCATCAAATTCGTACTTTCAGTCGCCACATGCCCGGCTATTATTTTCTTTCCCGCTACAACACCTCCTCCGGTAGTAAACGATGCAGATTTGTACCCTCGCAGAAAGGCTTTTGGCTTCCGGTGCACAAACGCCAGATCTTCAATCGCCAAGGCTGCTTCGGATGGATTCCTTACGCAGTACAAGTTGCTGGGTGAAAAGATCACGTCCATCGTGAAGTCCTGCAAAACTTGCTCTAGAGCCTTTCCGACACAAACGGGGTCGTCAAAAAGCAAAAGCACAACAAGCTTCTTGACTTGATGCGCAGCTGTCGAGGCCGACGCTCCTGTGGTGGTGCTGACACTACTAGACACTTGCACTGTTCCTGCGGAGGTATAATTTGCAGTGGTAGAAGTTCCGCCAACCATCAATCCGCCAAGTCGCTCCAGTTTTTTTCGCATTCCGTGCAATTCCGTGCGCAGTGTTTTCAGTGACAATAACCAGACACCTACATCATTGCCGCCAAGCCGGAAGTCGAGCCCCTGCAGCGAAGCGACATAGTTGAGAGTGACACCGCGAATCGCGTTCGTTACCGGATGCTTTTTCAACGAGTTTGCGACCAACATTGTTGGGCGTGAAGGTGCCGAAGAAGCCGAAGATGCCAGAGACTGGTGTTGGGTGACCCCTGGGGCGAGCCCAGCTGGAGCTGATGTGCCTTTTCCGTTCATGTTGTTTCTGTATTGATGCAGAAGTCCTCGAGGAACTACAACAAGAACTCTATTACTAGCAAATGCAACAAATGATCTTGAAATTGAATCAGGTACAGGTTCAGGTTCTCAAGTACGGGTACCAGAAAATAACGAAAGCACCTACTAGTACTACTCTACTTACATACTTACAAGCAGAACCACTACATGAAGATCACCACGAGAAGAATATGCACCAGGACCTTTCGAAATTTCACAGGGAAGTGATCATCGGCGCATCGCTGATGGTGATCATATCGTTGGTAATCGATTGCTTTCGCCCTACTTGGATCAATCCTTCAAGGTCAACTGCGCAGATGAAGAAGCGAGTCCACGGCATCGATTGGCGAGCAAGCCACAACTCGTTCCGGCTTCGCACAAGAGCAAATGTCCTCTTGCTTCATTTTACGTGGTGGATAGATACCTATATCTTGCAATTTTACAGGATCGACGGAACATATGGTCCGGGCAGCGTCTTCGTCTGTGATGTAATCGACGATGTTTGTGCTTGTCCAGTGTCGGCGACATATCGACGTCGTAATAGTGTCGTCAAGTACAGCACGCAGATTTATTTCCTCGTCATGAATCAAATGCTACACTTTAGGTGTGATGGACATTCTTGTAATTTTTCTGGACAATGAGTGAGAGTTGAAAGTGGGCGCTCAACTTTGGCACGATGTTCCCGTCAAGAATGTCGCTTCGGAGTGCCGCTGCTTCTGACATGATGTTGTTCCGGGTCGTCTGTTTCTGATTTCTTGTTCGCAGCCTATTTTCATCGTCGGCGACATTTGCAACATCCGAACAAGCTCCATCGGAAGATCTAGTTGTAGACGCTTGCTCCGCAACAACGAGCGGCTCTGCCACAAAGGTCTTGACGAGTAGGGCGTCGTCGCTGTTCTTGGTACTATCTTCATCTCCTGTACTTGTTGCAAAAAGATCCATGAGTTTGAACTCCAAGCGGCCGACTACAAGGTCATTTTCGCCGAGGAGCTCGACGACCGCGGTGGCCTTCTTGGGGTCGCCATGGACCAAAAACGTGAAGCACTCGTTGATGACAGCATCCCCGATAATAGCGGCGGTTTTTTTCGCGTCTTTGCTTGTTGTTCCCTGCGTCCGTTTGCGAGCAAATCCCTGGTCGTGGTGATCCAGCAAGAGTTGGCGGCCGTAAACTCGCACTACGTCTTCGTCGACGTTGCACGCATCGGCAACCATCGCCACATCTAAGGGCTTTCGATTTACTGCCATTTTCGAATCATGCAGCTCTTTTTTCATCTTCTCCTGCCTTCTCCTATCACTGATCTGCCCTCGCGCTCCACCAGCAGCGCTGATCTTTTCCGCGCAATGATAGAGCAGCGCGATCTTTTGCTTCAGTCGGGTTTCCCGTTGCAAAAGCTTCTCCGTGTCCTCTTTTGGCGCGTCGTGGGTCAAGGTCGCGTTCAAAAAATCGTTGTCCAGCAACGGCGACCGCATCGAAATGCAGCTCGTGATGTACTGCTTCGGACCGTGAAGACGTTCTCGTTCCTTACGAATCGCAGCACCTTTCTTGTCAAGTATATTACCCCCGGCTATTTCATTCGCGAAGGCACCAAACCTCGATGTGCCATCTCGCAAGCTCACGCGAGCACTGCCACTGCAGCGCGATAGTTCGCAGAGGGACTTTACTGCGCCGATCGACACTCGGAGCACGGCGGTGATCTCTGGTTGCGAAGATAGGAGGCCATCAAGCCCTTGATCCTCGTCCCGTCCTTTGGCGTCATCTACCCGTAGACGCGGGGACTTGACGCGCTCCTCGAGAAGGACATCTTCTTCGGGACGATTGCCAAACTCCAGAACCTCGCCATCTAAAAGAATCGTTGGTCGCGAGAGATGAATATCATCTTCATTTGAGTTGTTGCCGGACAGGTTTTCGTGATGCAGCTGCTTTTGCGGTTTATCGCTTCGGAGAAAGGTGGGTTCTGAAAAAGACGGCGGAACGCTGCTACACAGCGGCTCAAAAGTAACACGAACATGCACTCGAGAGTCGTGCAGCGTTGGGATCTTGTTCACCGGATCACGGCGGCAACGCAGCGCGTTCAAGAAACCGTCCACGACGTCGCCAATGTCGAAGAGGGACAGGTAAATGAGCGCTCCAGCGAACCCGAGCACGACCGTTGTCCAAGGGTAGCCACTGCCTACCAAAGCAACCAACGCCGCAAGCGCCGCGTAGACTAGTAAGCGCGCACCTCTGGAGACCCGGCGACGCAAGCGCGATATGAAGTAGCGGAACGAAGAACTACGATGGGACAGTGTGTAGTTGCCTTCGCCGCGCCGTGCCGCACGATTCCTGTGTGGGCTTGTTTTCCCGGCTGCACGACCACCAGCGTGGTCATCCCTGTCTTTGTTCATCAAAGAGAGCATCTTTTCGCCGACGAAGTCGATTTCCGGCACTTCGTTGCCCTTCTCGTCTTGGCACACGGTGGTGAGGGGCAGCTCGCAGGTGGCCGAGCAGGCTTGGTTGTTCTGGCCGTCCGCGAAAGAGGACCACGAGTTACTGCTTTTCTTCCTCTTCCACGATTCGTTCTGCATCACCTGCTCGTCCGCAATCGTCGTGTTGGCTTGCTGCTGTTGCAGCACCTGCGTGAGTCGCTGCGTATCGGAAAACGCCAACGAAGTGGTCGCGACCGGCATCAGTCGCTGCCATTCTGCCGACTTTTTTGGCAGAGCGAAGGTCTGCTGTTTCACCGCTCTGTCGGACGCCAGCCCTGTGGGACCAGTCCCGGAAAAAAAGAACATTTCCAACACAAATCCGAGAAACGTCGACAGTAACCTCATCACCGCCTGGCGGTATTCTTTGAGCAGCTGCGCGAGGCCAATGGAGGAGTAGCTCGAGGTCGGGCCAAAGAGAAACCGCGTCACCACAAGCCGTTCCTCCTCGAGACGAAATTCGGAGTCGAGGGACGGGGTCTCAGACGGCAACTCAGATACTGACGGCGCGCATTCTTCTTCATGATTCGCGGTGCTGCTGAGAACAAGTGGCTTCGCATCTTTGACACCAATTGATGTCGACGTCGTCTCAGGGTAGATTAGGGAAGCAGACAGTTCGTACTCCTCGTCCAAAGATTCCAAATAACCCTGGGAAAAATCATCGACATCCTGTGCCTTTTTCCAGAAGTACTGGTGGCTAGCGGCATTTGCTGCGGCTGACGTGAACATGCGGGCGGGGCCGGGCTGCGGTCGGTGCGCGTGCACTGCCAGGACACTCTGCGTTTCGTCAGCGAAGTATCCAGGAAAAAACACCCATCCACATCCAATTTGTCATGCTAAACATACATAAAGTCCTGCGTTTGTCATGCAAAAAATGGATGTGGAGGGGTTTTTTCCTGTGGATACGAAGTGCGTGTCTCGCACCAGCCCGGGGTAGCCACGGTTTCGAAGCCACTGGTCCAGGAGCAGCTTCGAAAACTCGAAAGGGTTGCGCGTTTTCGCGGCTTCGAGAATACGCGAGAGATCAGTGTCCTGCTGACCCGCCTTGTTGTTTTTTTCCCGTCCCATTTTTGACATGATTTCCTGCTCTATCTTGTCTCGTTCCCGCTTCCGCTCCTCCGCCTCCGTTTTTTTTACGAGGTGAAGCAATTCCACAAGACTAATCGCACGCTCTGCGATTTTGTCGTCGCCCGAAAACATATCGTCATCGAAAATCTGCAAACTCAGAGTCTGGATGGAAGAATCCTCCACAAGGAAGACAAACTCGTCACCGTCTGTACGGGCATTGCTCGTCGTCCTAGTCCACAGTGGCCTTTCATTCTCGCCGTTAATTGTCGCGGTGCGGTAGACTTTGCTACCGACACACACTTGGACATACGGATCGGAAGTGCGTCGGCCGCTCCAGAGCGACCACGGAAAGTTCCAGTCATCGCCCCGCAGGTTCTCAGCGGAGAGCACTTGAACTCGCAGAATTCCCTCCGGCATGGGCGCCAATAGGTCCGGCAGCTTCAGGCCTTTATCCGCCGCCCTCTGTGTTGCCGTCATCATGGGTGATGCCTCTAGTTCCACCAATGGCGAAAGACCATTGTGGTCCACCACAAGTTTCTTGGAGTTTGTGAACGCGGGGGGCGCAATGGTATCGGTGCTGAGTGCCCGTTCCAACTGACTTCGAGGAGACAAGGTTGATGTAGTGGCAGTTTGAGTTTCGACGTTCTTAATGCCATGTTGGGCATTGCCGGCATCGTGGCCTGCTCCTGAACAAGCATCATTGCCAACATCACCGCTAGCAGCACTAGAAGGCGCCATGGATACATCTACCAGCGGAACCGCCAGCCGCTTGGGCAAGACGCACAACTGCCCCAGTGCGTCGGTGATACTGGACTCCACGATCGGGTACAGGTTGACCTGGTGCAGAATGTCGAGCCCCCCGGCAAAGCGAAAGTCGCAGGCCGGCGGATTGACGAAATAGGCGGACAGGCCCTGAATAAACGGCGGCTCGTCAATCAGGTCGTTCAGTGCGAGCACAAACAACCCCCTCACGCGCAAGTTCTCCACGCCGACGTGGATACTACCTATCGTCAGCCCGATCTTCGAGCCCTCCGAGAAATCGCCGTCCAGGTCGAGAAACAGGTCAAAGTGTCGCCGCTCCTTCTTGTGCTTCAGCTGCCCTCCATACGCAGCGCCGATAGTAGTTTCTTCTACCCGGCTGCGACCATACAACTTCCTTAATTTGGGCGGATTCTGGCCCAAATCGCACACCAAGTTGAGCGTGACGCTGTTGCGAACGGCAGTGGGGAGTTTCGCGCGGATTTGGGGCAGCACCTGCGACTGGATCACGTCCTCGATAACCGTTTGGACGACGGACCAAAGGTTCTTCAGCAACGTGTTCAGCCAGTGCGTTCCGAACGGCGTCGGGGAGGGGAGGCCGTCGAGCACCGTATGCGCAGCCGGTCCTGACTGCGGAGCGACAAGACAAATCTGGTCTACCGCGTAATCGATCACATACGGCCACAGTGTGCCAATCAAAACCGCCAGGAAATCATGTTGGTGCCCCGGATCACGACCAGAATCCGTCCCTTTCTTATGCGCGTTAGCTTTCTGCTCGGTCGCTGGAGTATTCGTGTCGACAACTCGTGCTCTGGAAGTCTCAGCTTCGTTTTTTCGGCCACCTGGTGGAAAAGCCTTTACTTCGACCGCATCACTGCGCTGATGATTGCTCTTCGCCGGGGATTGCTCTGGGTCAGGTTCTGTTCCTTGAGTAGGTTTCGTTTGCCAATGCTCCATGAAAAACTCTTGTGTAGGAGACTTTCGAACCATAAACGGCCCCTTTCGTCGAGTCTGTACCTCTTGGTGGACTACTTCTCCCTCGAAGTCCGTGTCGCTTGAAGGAGGCTGCGGCTGCTCGCCACGTAGAAATGCCCGCTGCTGCTCTCTTTGCATCCTACCGCCCACTCCTAGTTCTTTCTCAATGTCAATATACACGTCCTCCACCTTTTCCTCCTCAAACAGTACGAGTTCGAGACTTCCGTGGAGTTCTTGGCGCGGCGCTACCTCCTGCTTGATGACCTGCACGTTGGAGCGCTCACGCAGCAGGCGGCTCAAGGGGTATTGGAATGTGCCGATCCATTCGTCAGGCTCCTGGGGGTCGTCCCCATGATCCAGGTCCACCCCAAAAACGTCGATCACCAAGGTTTCCAATCTCGGGTCCTGGAGCACAATACAGAACACCTCGTCGATTTGTGCGAGGCCGAAGGCCCGCTGATCCACCAAATCCAGGTCCACGCCGAGGATTTCGCAAATAAAAACCGTCGGTATGCCGCGGTCCTTCATCATCTGAATGTCGTGCATAGTCTCGGCCAGAATGGCCGGGTCCAGGATAGGGGGCAGCACGCGGTGCACCGACGTATCGTACTGGTTTGACGCTGCCGTGGTAGCGCCCGCTCGCGTTGATGCCGACTTGTTTAACGTGGCTTTTTCTCTTGGTGATGCTGGTGCTTCTTGCAGTTGTTTTCTTTCATTTTTACAACGGAGGTTATTTTTTTGCTCCTTTCGGACCGTTTTGATTTGCAGCCGGACGCCGGAGAAGTCATACACATTCTGGATTCGGTCAAGCCCAACTCGGAGAAGAAAGCGATCTTCAGCAGGTGCGGGAAACGCCGTGGGAAACTGACGCATCATGAAGCTGCCCTCACGTTCGATGCTCGCACGATCCACCGACTGCCACTCGCAGCGCAGCAAAATACGGGCAGACTCCCGAAACACGAGCTCGTCACCGTGCTTCGTCTGGTCGACGGTAAGAAGACTGTACCACTGTTGACTCACGTACCGCCGGACACGAAGAGTGTCAGTTTCTTGTCGTATTTTCCTATGATTTTTCTTGAAGCTGTGCGTGGCACCTTCTAGGTCGTCCCGATAGCAGTTCTGCACAAGATCCATCACCTGCAGACTGGTCTTCGCGATCTGGTCGTCGCCCGAGAAAACGTCCTCGTCCCAGACGGAGATCTCGCACGTTTGTCTTTCGGGACTGTCGATGAGAAACGAGAACCCCTCCACCTGTGTGACATCCGCCATTGGGTGCAGCCGGTGCGCGCGCTCCATCGACTCCACTTGTTGCATTTTTGACGACGGCTCTGTGCTGCCAGTGCCAACACTTCCACTTGTCGTGTGTGTAGATGAGGGAGCGCTGAGAACCGCATTCACGACGTTAGAAGCAGAAGCGTCCTTCTTGTTACTGGGAGGCCCAGATGAAGAAGCTCCTTTGGCGCCGGGCTTCTTCTTTTTATTGTCTACTGTGCCATTGGTGTTGCCCTGCTTCGCTTTCGTCGTTTTCGGCATCCAGCTTGGGTTGCAGTTCCTCGGGATCGTCGGCGTGCAGTAGTTTTGCGACCCAATTGCCACACGCACGTAGGGGTCACTGGTCTTCACGCCCGTGAACAGGGTACAAATGCCCCAGTCGTCTCCCCGCAAGTTGTGCGCTTCCAACACACGTATCGTCAACTGGCCCTTCGGCATCGGATAAATGACCTCCGCATGGTCGCGACAGGGAATCTTGCGGAAAAACGAAGATGTTGCAGTAGATTTGCCGGATTTCTCCCTTAGACCTGCACCCGCGCGGGCTCTTGCATGTGACGTACTACTCGTGGACTGATCTTCATCGTGGTCGCCAATTTTGAGTTCCCGCAATAGATCGCCGATGTTGTCTGTTCCGTCGGCGTTCTTGTTAGCGTCCTCCGCCACAGCCACTGGATCCGACGTTGTACTGTCCAAAATGTAGGTGAGCCGCTTCGGCAGCACACAGGCTTTCCCGATGGCGCTCTGGATAGCGTCTACGATGGTCGGTTTCAGGGACTGGATACCGGGGGCGAGCTTCGCGACTCCGCCAAAATCCAAATCAAATTCGATCTTTGGCGGGTTCGTGAAGTACGCCGAGAGGCCTGCGCAAAACAAGGGCGCGCGCTCAGATGAGATGTCGTTCAGAGTGAGGAAAAGCTTCCCGTGAAAAAAGAAGTTCCGGACAAGGCACTTTGCAGGTCCGACGACTATGTGAAGCAGGTCGATCATTTCATCCTCTAGTACTGATGATGTTGCTTCTAATTCATCTGCAAGCGGCTTGATGTTCGCTGGTTGTTTTCTTTGTTGCGCGCATTTCGAAGGTCCTGTCCAGCAACTTTCGGGTCCAACAACATCATCACCTTTCTCGCCGCGGCCTTTTGCGCCGTGGTCCACAGGAAGTTGTAATCCGCTTGCCGGCGCGTCCAGCTCGCTCGTGACGGATCTCCGGCAGCGCTGGTCGAGACTGAGGTCGAGGCAAATGTCTAGATCTTTTCTACCGGTTTCCGGGTCCGTGCGCAGGGGCAGCGTCGTAATACTGCGGACACTGAAGGGGCGGTCCCCCAAGTTTGCGTTGATGGCCACCTTCCAGTTGCCGATTGCGGAAGGAAGAGTCTTCTCGATTTCGGGGGTTATCTGCTTTTCGATCACATCCTGCAGAGTGCTTTCTATCATGGGCCAAATGTGCGCAAACACACTGTTTGCCCAATGCGTTAGGTCGGCGTGGTCCTCCTGGTCCTGAGCTGATGGTGCAGTAGAGAGGTTGGAGGCGCCAGCGCCAGTGCCGTCTTCTTGCCGCGCTGGATGTCCTCTCCTTTTCTCTTGCTGTTGAAAGGGCATGGGCAACGTGCGGAAAGTTTCTTCTACCAGACGTTTCACGACCAAACTTTCGACGGAGTGGCTCACTTGGCGGCCAGCATATCGCATGATTAAGGGCCACAAATCCCGAAGCACGTGCCGTAACCATTCCTGCGAGGCGGCGTCGTCAACTTCTGCTGACTGGTCGCCCCGCTTTGGGAGCCCTACGGTGTGCTGCAACATATTCGTCGTCCTCCCTTCCGCGTGAGTACCGGTCAGAAAAAACGCCATGAAGCGAGAGCGAGAGCGACCCCGAACCCAGAAATGGGTTCGCGAACAAAAATAATCAAAATTTTATGGCTTACTTGATAATCTATTCTAGAGTCTAAATGTAAAGTCGAACAGCGAAAATAAAACAGAAAATCGAAAAGGAACAAAAGGATAGATGAGTTAAAGAGGTGCTTCAAATCGTACACTTAGTGGCGTAGTTTTGGCTTCAAGAAGAGTAGCACCTGCTAGTCGTAGCACAACAAAGGAGTTTTTGCAATTAGTGCCATCTGCATGTTCATCGTAGTTGTATCACCATGTCCATGGCGTCAAATCCACTAGGTTTGTAGTTCTTATTTCGTTTTTGTATATTTTTTTTCGGCCAGCACAAATTCCAGGTTTATTATCATTTTGCTTCCGAAATAAAGGGCGAGAATCTATTTCCAGTCCGAGTTGTTCCCTTTCGCGTTCGTATTGTTGTTGTTCTCTTACATCAATAAGTAGTGTGATGAAGATCTCGTAGTTCTTATGCAAGTAGGAGAGAGATCCTTGTGCAGGAGCAGGTGCTCGTGCTTCCACTCCTTAGCCGACAACAAACAGAGACTCTAGATCCCAGATCTGGCATGCGACCGAGGCGGAGCAGATGTAGAAGCCGAGATGAGGAAACCAGATGCACCATCAAACCGAAAGCTCTCTCATACTAGCTCTGGTGGAAAGCACCACAACCGACCAAGATGATGATGATCTTTTTCAACTTTATTGATAGCCGCGAGGATCCGTCTCAATGTTGCTCTTTCTTAATGTTCTAGTGTCGCATCAACATGATTATGATCGTGTGGCAGCGGCGCGTCTTCCGATGTATTCCATGCACTGTCACTGTGCAATGCAGCCGCGGTTTATCCATAGTAAATTTCCCGTACACGTACAAAAGCCGCTTTTTTCTGCACCTAAAAATTAACGAAAAAAAAATGCATTTCAAAAAATTCAAAACCATTAATAATGATATGCGTGCAACAGTATGCAGCTAGAGCTGCGATATGAGTATAGGTTTCGAAAGCAAGAGCCTAAAGCTGCGGCGACTCCGCGCCGCTTTGCTCGCTTTCCTGGGCGGGGACCTGGCGAAGGAATCATACAGAGGAGGATACAGCGACGAGCTTGTCCGGTCAATAGATGAATGCGAGCGGGGCCTGTTTGAATCGGAGCAAATCAAGCGGGCGGCCGGATTTGATTCGACCTTGGACGCTCTGAGAGCGAGCACTATACTACTTTGCAAACTTTCCCCGCCTAGTTTCATCCTGTTACGCTAATAATTTTTGCCCTTTTGTAGCTTTCACGCACAGACGCAAATTCCAACCCGAGCAGGTCAGCTCGACATTTCGCGCGACGAGATCTCCGCCTCGGCGGCTGTCGCCAGCTCGAAGAAAATTTATATTCTGCTCGCGCAAAAATGGTCTCGAGGGTTGACACAAAAATAAATCCAGCCTTGATTTTACGTTTTCAACCCAACAAAATTGCATCAGTTTTTCGTGTACAGTAGATTTAATCCCCACGGTATGGTGAAACGAGGCATGCTCCTGTACATGATTTTTCATTTAGAAATAGCTGTACAGGAGCATGCTTCCATTCACCATACCATGCGGATTAAATCTACTGTACACAAAATAGAGCGGCGACTTTGGGTTAGTTGAAAACTGAGCGAGAGGGTTGACGGAAAAGGTCGTCAACCCTCGCCGACCAACCCTCTCCGACCAACCCTGCGAGACAGCCGTCAGCCTCAGCATCCGTTTGCCGTCACAACATCACAGGTCCATCCCTCTCGTCGCACGTGGCGACCAGGTGGCACGGGGACATGGAAACAGCAACCTGGACGAAGACGAGTGGCCCAATGGCAGTGACGGTTTTGAAACGGCTACGGAACCGCCCGAACGAAAGGCAGCAGACGGCTCTGAAGTCGGAGACTCCGGCGGATCGGGTGGATTTGGACGATTTGCGGGCAAACCCCGTGCCTTTCGAGGACGTGGCCAGTGAGCCCGGAAGTGCTCCTGATGGTGTTCGACGCGTGGATCTCGCGCGGAACCTGGCAGAGACTCTAGCCAGTTAAGAGAGCTACACCCACGCAGCACCATAGCAAAAACCTCTATTCTATCGCAGCTCTAGCTGCATACTGTTGCATGCATATCATCATTAATGGTTTTGAATTTTTTGCAATGCGTTTTTTTTTTCGTTAATTTTTAGGGGTAGAAAAAAGCGGCTTTTGTACGTGTACGGGAAATTTACTATGGATACGGTTGCCACCGAATTTTCGCCCGTTCAAAACTTTCAGTGCATTTGCACTACCGACCCAAAGACCATGCAAAAAATGGAAAACACGAGAGGAACAGGGACAGCAGCAACAAGCATTTTTTCATCTCCTCCTCAGCGATGAAGAAGATTCAAACTTTACTCGTCATGTCGAAGAAGACCAATTTCGGATCACTTACAACGTATTTGCATATTTAGGCAACATCAGTGGCAGTTCTGTACTCTTAAAAGGCATCTGAACTACCCAAGCGGTCGCGCACTAGCAGCTGCTGTATCATTTTTCTTCGTTCTTTCGCTGCAACTGGTTTTGTTTTCTGCGTGCTCGCCTTTTGGCAGAGCTGCTCTGCTGACCCTGCTCCGTCCCTGCAGTGGTCCAGGAGTCACCTACGTGCTCCTGCTCGTTTTTCGTCTGGTCACCGCCTGCGGCCCGTTCTGGAAGCTTTGCTCGTTTTGCTGCCGGCTCGTTTTCGTCCAATGCTCCCCCTTCCCCGGCGGCGTCGTCTTTTTCCGTGTCGAACGACGCGGCTGATACTCCGGCTCTCTGTTGTTCACGATCACGCTTATGTGTTGAGGCGGTATCTCTCGTCTCTCCACCTTGCTTTCCCTTGCCTTTCCCCTTTTTGCCCTTGCCTTTTCCTTTCGGCGTGAAACCCGCAGAGGAGGTCTGCGACTTTTCCTGTGCTGCAGAGCATGCGACACTACCGTTCGACGAGATTTCCTTGCTGTTTGCGAGCTCTCGGACCTTCTCGAAAACATCACCACCAACTCTGTCGCCAGCTGCCAAAGAAAGTGTTGAATTCGCCGACACTGCAGTCGTCCCAGTGCTAGTCCATTTCAAAATTTCCTTCGCCTGGCGCACATCCTTGGAACCAAGAAATGTAATGGCCACGGCCTTGCAGCGGTCTTCAATGTTCCCAGCAACAACTCCCCCGCCTGCACTGCCGTCCCGTCCGCATCGTCCGATGCGGTGTAAATGATCCTCGCCGTTTTCGGCGGCGTCGAAATTGACCACGACGTTCAAGCCCAGCACGTTTAGTCCCCGACCAATGACGTCGGTCGCGAGCAACACCCGAACCTTGCAGGTCTTAAACTGCAAGTACGTCGCGCAGCGCTTCTCCTGACCCATATCACTGTGCATCATGCGCAAATTGACGTGCCAAGGTCGCTTCATGTACGGGCGCAGCTTGGGCGCTGCTGGCGCAGTTGACGTTGTCGCTTCTGCACTTGCAGGTTGAGGTTTCTCTTCAGGTTGAGCCTCTCCCGTCGTGTCAATTTTCTCCTCTTTCGGCGCGGCCGGGAATTTGTCGGCGTGTTCCAAAAGCTTCGCGTGCAGCCACGTGACTGTTTTCTTCATGTTGCAGAAGACCAGCACCCGCTCCTGCGAGTAGGTCTGCAGGATCTCGACCAGCTTCGCAACTTTCTCGTCGCTGTTGGTAAATCCCTTCTTGTCGGCTTCGAAGAAACAGAACTCCTGTCGGCAGTTGATGGCGCTTTCGCCCATGGCACTGGCCACCGGAGTGGAAACTGCATCGGTCAACAACTTGTCTCCAGGAGGAGTTGTCTGAGCTGTGTCGGCAGTTGAGGTGGCAGGAAGGTCTCCGCTATCGACTGCGTCCGGTGAAGATGCCGGTACCTGCTCGCCGGCCGCTTGCGGTGGGGCTAGCGATGACTCGCGTCCGACTTGGACAAAATACACGCTTCGTGTTCCAGCCACCTCCACTGATTCAACACGTCCTTCTTTTTTGACTGTCGATCCCGGCGCTCCTTCAACTTCTTCCGGCGTAGAAGTTTTCAAAGTTCGGATGAACGACCGGGCCAACTTGTCAGCAGTTGGCGACCAGCTTGCGGAGAAGAACCAGGCAGAACAGGGGTGGTGCACCCGGGCAAAAATCTTGCGCAGTTGCGGCTCGAAACCCAAATCTACCATCCGGTCGCCTTCGTCCACTACGACAACCTGCAAGGATGACAACAGATCACTACGCAAAGTGAGCTGCTCCTTGATTTCGGTCGTGCCTTTGGCTTTTTTCTTCCCGTTTTCAGATATTTTTTGTTCTCCAGCAGATTTTTGCCCATCAGTTTTGATGGTATCGCTGTCTTTCGAGTCATCCTGGTTCTTCGTGTCTTTTTTGCTTGTCGTTGTCTTCTGCACCGGCGAAGAACTGCTGGGTCGTCTAGAGTCGCTGCTACTGGTCGTAGAAGTTGTAGTGCTCTGCTCTTGCAACAGGTCGTTCAATCTGCCAGGCGTTCCCATGAGCAAATCGCAGCCGCGGTTCAGCGCAAAGACCTGCTTCCCTTTGGAATTTCCGCCAAAGACCATGGCACTGCGAACACGCGGGTGAAATTCGTCGTAAATCTTCTTGTTCTGGCAACAGAGCTCACGAGTCGGGAGAAGAATCAGCGCCACGGGTGGCTGTGTGTGCTTTCCACTTCGCTTCAAACTCGTGACTTGTGCAAGCAGGGGCACCAAATAGGCAAACGTTTTTCCCGTTCCCGTGGGCGCGATTCCGATGAAATTTGTGTCGATTTTCGTGTCTGCGGGTGGTTTATTCGAGGTGTTGATCGCTTTGCCACACAATACCGGCCACGTCAAGCTTTGAATGGGGCTCGGCTTTGAGAAAACGCGTCGCAGGTACTTCTGCACAAAAAAGGGCACTCGCGATACGAACTCGGCATTCTCGAAACTTGACCAAATTTGCGGCGCATCGCACTTGTCTTGCGTAATCGGAGAAGCAATCGATAATGATTTCTCGCAGGTGGAGGTAATGCTGGAAGGAGACGCCAGCCCTTTGTGCTCGACTCGAGTGCCGTTTTTGTTCGTGTCCACCGAATTACCGGCAGTAGGTTCATCACAGATATCTGAACACTCGAAAACAAAATCGAATCTCGGTGTTGATTTCTCTTTCTCGCCAAGATCCTTCCGCGGTTCCTCAGTCGTCGTGCCGCTTTGGCTTGCCGCTACAGCCCCAGCGAAGCTGTCCTTCCCAGGATGATGTTCGTCCGCCATCGATTCCGCACCACTCTGCTGTTTTTTCTTCTTTTTATGTTCCTTTTTTTCCTTTTTGAGGCCTTGTTCCGCGTCGGCTGCTTCTGTGGTGTCCCGCCGATGCAGCACTGTAGTCTTGTCCTCCCTTGCCAAATCATCAGACCCTTCCGCCTTTTTCGTTTTCTTGTGCTTTTTCTCCTTTTTACTTTTCTTCTGTACCGATGTCCCAGGGGGACATGGAGCACCCATTGCAGCGGTCATATTGTCGAATTGCAGCTGTCCTCGTCAATTTGTGCAAAAACACATTTAAGTGCTACAAGGAAAAGGCATCACTAGCTTGCTAAATTGGCTACTTACAACAAGTGCGGACTGCTCGATGCTTAGTCTTAGGGCTGCTCCTGTCGTGAAGACGACTTACTTTGCTTAGATTTGGTTGATCCATAGGTGCGACATTTTTCGTTCGGCAGTACAATCAGCGAGGTGGATTTTTTCACACCACGGTCAAACCGTTGATCATGAAGATGAAGATCTTCGGTCGAGGAACGTTTCTTTGAGAAGTGACTTACACTTAGCTTTTTTTCTTGGATCTACAGTGTGCTGAAGTTGTTCCAGGGGTGGATCAGGATCACCTCCAATCGTTGCTCGATCCTACAACTTTCTGCAAAGGGGATTATTTTGGAGATCGAGCGCATCTTCTGATTTCATCTGTTAAGAAGCTGCGTCATACATCATTCACGATCTTTGGCTCCTTTGTTGGATGATCTTCAGCGGTGGAGAGAAGAAGAAAGAGCGCCCCCTTCTTCATATTTCGTCGCTATCAAAAATCAGATACCGGATGCCCTACGATCTATCAAGCGCCACGGTGCACCAACGTCGTTAAGAAGAAGACCCTGACTTTTTTGCTCTTTTTAGCACGAACTCTGTCGCTGCACCAGGGAACGGCATTCAGTGCAGGATCGCGGTGCAAGCATCTTCGCAGATTCGGTTGTTTTTTTGTTCGTTTGTTTCTCTTTCTAAATCTGCTTTCTCAGCCAGAATTCTCAAGCATTCACGGTTGTTCGGCAGAAGCACGACCAGGGGCAGCTTTCGGGCTGTCACTACCAGTGCCTTGTTTGTTTTCCACCGCAGCAGAAGCTGCTGCGGCGCCGACAGACTTTTTCGATTTACTGCCCACGCCGTTCTTTTTCTGAGCGGGAGCTCCGTCTTTGTTATTTGCGTTGAGTCCTCCCTCATCTGTCGCCGCAGCCGCCGACGCCGACCTCTCCTCCGCCTCAATCTCGCAGAGAAGGTTGTTCAATTGTTCGTCCTTCTTTTTGCCGCTTTGCAGAATCATGTCCACCAGACTCTCCTCCAGCTCTTTCTTTTCCGACTGCGCATCCTGCAGCCGCTCACTAATATCGACGTAATCCTGCGTTGCTTTTTCTAGAATCGCTTTCTTTGTCTCCGCCTCTTTCGACAGGATAGAGATTTTCGTGGCACTCTGCTCCACTTGTGCTCGCAGTACTGCGATTTCTGTGCGTGTGTTTGGTACATATCACCTTTTCAATCGCTTTTTCCAGGTTGTTCCAATTGAAAAGAAAGAAACAGAAAGTTGAAGAATGCACACACAGGGGCAAGAACCAAGAAGCTGTAGAGATTTTGGAGTACCTCTCTGCTCAGTGGCGTCGAGAAGCTGCATCTGCGCGTCAAGTCGGGCGAGCCGCCGCCGCTCCGCTTCGGCTTGCTTCACCTTCTCCCGCAAGGCGCTGCTGACCAAGTTCTTTTTGGCCCCGACCGCCTGCTGGATGCTGGCTTCCGCCTCCACGGCCGAAAGTTCCCTCTCGGTTTTCGGTTTCGATTTTTTCTTCTTGTCGCTTGCCTGGTTGGACGACGATGCGCCACCGAAGAAGCTGTTCCACAAACTTCCGATTCCAGGCGTTACAAGAGAGGATTGGGATTGCTCTTGTCCAGAGGCACGCGTTGCCGGATCGAACTTTGAGCTGGTCGCAGCCGTGCCTGCTGCGGCATTGTTGTTCGGAGAAGGCTGCACAGCTCCACCTTGTTGCAACGTCGAAGGGGCTCCACCGCTGGTCACTGCGCCCCAGGGTTGCGCGCCGGGACTCGATGCACTCGCCATGCTTGGTGGACCAACAGCAGCGGGGCCTGCACCAAAAAACGAAGTAGACGACGAAGCAGCGCCGGCGTTTTTCAACACGGTTTTTGTTTCCCCGGTACCACCAGAAACCCCAGCCATGCCAACCAAGGTAGCAAAATCTTCGCCCAGTGGATCCTTCCCGTTGCGTGGTCCCCCCGGCTGCTGTGTGTAATGCATCGTCTGTGGCGGCGGTGGGGGCTGCTGACCTTTGCCAACGAAGGCGGACGAACTACTAGTCATGCTCTGCGCCGTCGCAGGCTTGTTCTTATCGAACCAATTCAGCTCCATTTTAAGAATCTTCAGCGTGCTAGAGTAAGTAAGATGAAGATGACCCACTTTTTCTCACTTTTCTGAGCGTGAACCTCGGAGAAGATGGCCCCAATTCTTGCACATTTTTCATACATAAGTATGGAACTGGGTCCGTGACGACACGCTCAAAACCGCAGAAAACGAAGAACACACACGGCCGAGGCCGAGACGAGGTGCCCTTCTCAGAGACTTGTGGCTGCGAGCAGAGACTGCACAGACAGCAAAGTTTTTCCATATAAAACAGTCCCGCGGCATCTAGATCTATCAAGACACATTTTGATGTTCTTCTTCTTTCTGTATATGTCGACCTCGCTTCGCAGCCCTTTGCTTTTACATTACTATGAATGTTGTTGATGTATGAGCCCTAATTAAAGGGGCTTTTGGTTTTGCACCATGATGATGATCTTCTGTACGAATGGCGTACAACGACTCCGGTGCTATACAAAAAATTGCGACTTCATCCATGCACTAGCATCAGTCTTGCTGGTCTAACTTGAGTGTCGGCCAGAACGCCACCGTGCACCAGACGGTGTTGGTGCCTGTCTACTGCGATTAACCGCCAGCAAAGAGCCCTGATTGGGTTGGGCTTGCTGCCTTCTACCTGTTCCTCGCCCTGCATGCGTATCTTGCACTTCTTGCCGGGCAAGCGCGGTGTCAGCGCGTGTATCGTCCGGCGCAGCTCCCTCCATGCGCTGCTGTTGAGGCGCAGCTGATGCAACCTCTTCCTCTACTCGCTCGCTCAGCTCACGAGACCGCCCTTCCAGCCACTCTTGTAGCGCGTCGAGCTCCTCTACTTGCTCGCTCAGCTGACGAGACAGCCCTTGCAGCCACTCTCGCGTCGAGACACAAGCGTTTGAAAGTGCGTACGCACCTCCGAGGCCACAGCCGGCAAGACAACAGCAGATGGCGGTACCCTCCGCTTGCGTAATGTCCCGGCCGACGTACGGTGTCAGGCAACTGCTCGTCGAGAGATAATTTCCGACAAGCGCAGCATTTGCCCCGGTCCACACCAGGTTCTTGCAGTGCCGTCCCCAAAGCTGAAGTGGGGCACTTGGGTCATCATCAGGTTCACCTCCAACCGATCCGCTTACTTGTTCTTGTTGTTGACCTGCTCGTGCTCCCAAACTTGGAGTCACTGCTTCACAGAGTGGCGCGCTCCAAAAAAAGACCACAACTACGGCTACAAGCCGAAACACAATTTGACTTCTCGGACAGTTCATGATGTATGTTTCGATTTCGACTTTGCGGTTTGTAAAAACTACAGAGACAATTCAAGTAGCCTCAGCCTACGTAATGATCTACGAAGAAAAGACGACTGATAAGAGCCAAGCACTTCTACTGGCCAAATGTAAATGAAAATGAGTTCAAAGAGCCTGAGAGGAAAAATAACTGCAAGATAAGAACTACTGTACCGCGAACCAGGCCCGTCCTCCAAATTTGTGTGCCGGTGTTGTGTCAGACTACACACTACTTCCTGCGCTAGTATGAAGGTACATTTGGCAAAAATTAACCCCCCCGCCGGATGGCTTTAGCCAGCGCAGTCAATGGCTTTAGCCAAGAACGACCCTAAAAAACCAATGCGCCAAAGGGCGCCCGCGTGTTGTTCGTCCGAGACACCGAGAACGAGATCCGACCCCACATACATCGCCCGATGGGCGCCAGATTGTGGGCGCGGAATTGTCAAACCGACAAAGGCACGCAGGACGAAGAGAGCAGGCGCGCCGGCATGCCGACCATGAAAACCATCCGCGCCAAACCTCCGCCCGCGAGGCTCTTCGGAGGCTCTTAACGGGAAAGGGAACGGACCACACAGCGCATGTCGCCTGTTGGCGACCCCAATGCCGGCGGGGGGAAAAACTCCAAACAAAATCGGAGCAGCGCGGGCGCAGCGTGACGCCACACGCACGGCGGGGGGTCGCGGCGTGTTTCCTTTTTGATGTCGCGATCACGCGCCGGCAAGCCTCCGGACAATGAAAACGCCGGAAACGCCGGCGCACACACAGCAGGGGTTCAGCAAGCAAAAAAGGACGCCGCCAGCCCTGTAGCAACTCTCCGCCAACCAGCGCGCGACCATCGACCGATGCCACCTAAGAGCATCCCATCCGAAGGCCGCCCGACCTGACGCTCGCGGCAAGAACGTCGCGGCTTTTTCAAAACAAAAACCCGGGCGCCCTCTACCAACCCGCCCCCGCGAACCAGCGGCGAAGGGCTGACATTGCCGGGGGCGCAGCGGGTGGGAATTCTACTGGCCGGCGGGCGACGGGGTTGATTGGCCGGGCCTGCTGGGCACCCATGCTTTTTCCGCGCCCGTCCTTCTATCCCCAGGGCCAGGGCCGGGCGACCAGCACGCCCGGCGGAGAGCGCCGGCCGTAGATAGAACGAAGCCTGCCAACCGCAAACCGGTTGCGGGCGCGGGCCAGTCAATGGGCTGCCAACCGCAAAACTACTGCGGGAAATGCACACAGACAGATGCCCGGCGTCGGCCCGGGCGACGCGCTCCACCACGGCCGGCCCCCTCTCCCCGGGAACCAGGTGGGCCGCCCGAAGCACTTACCCCGCAAGCGCAGCGCGGGAAATCGGAACGCGCCAAGCTGGCCGACAGAAGCTGGCGCGCGACCCAATTATGCCAGCGAGGGAGGCAGGCGGGGCCCCGGCCGGCCCCATGCGTGAGGCTTTGGCCATGCTTGCAATCCAAATAACGAGAACCAACGCAGGCGGCGCGCCGGCCGATAGAATTTCTTCCCAACGAACCAACCGAGGGCCGCGGCGGCCGAATCAAGCGCAGGTCGCCCGGGTAATGCCTATGCTTGCGCCCTTCCACACCATGCAGCCCCCTGGCCCAAAGCGAGCCTACCCGGTCCGCCGCAAGGGTGGTAGAAAGGCGGGCCGGCCTGCTGGCCAACCACGCACGGGCGCGCTGCGGGGCGAGACGGGCAACGCAGACTCGGGCCCGCCAGCGGATACGGCATCCCCCCGCAAAGATCTGTTTCTCGGCGGGCGCCCGGGAAGGGCCGGCGCCCAAAATTTGCGGTGGGCCGCCAATCCAACCTCCTGCCCGCCAAGAAACAAAAGTCGCGGCCGGGCGGGGGTCAGCCCGCCGGCGGGGGATCCTGCGTGCCCTTGGGGGGGGGGGTGCAGGCACACCCAACCCTGGGAAGGAAGGCCGCACGCAGGTCCGAGGGCCGGCCGGTCCCGCCGCGCGGGCGGGGAGGCGAGGGCGGCCGCGGGAAAACAATGGGCGCCAATGATGCTTCAGGGCAACAGCCCACCCCCGGCTCGCGAAAGGGCCGACGGTATTCGGGGCCCCCAGGCAATCGCCCACCCGGACTGACAACGGCAGCGGGCCTGTTTTCCCCCGGGCATGGGATTGGGCGGGGGCAAGGGTGGTAGGGAGGGCGGATGGATGGTTGGGCAGATGAAAAAAGGGAAGCCGACGCGGTGCGCGCGCGCGGGCCGGCGGGGGGGCGCGCCCCCTCTGCGGCGCAAGTAATTGCATGCCCGCCCGACTGTCCCCAGCTTTCATGCTGCCCGCGCTCCGCGCCCCGCCCCCAAAGACACACTCACAAAAACAAAGCGCCCGCCGGCCGGCGCCGCGCGTCCGCCGGCCGGATGCCTAGATGCTTTCGCACAGGGGCGGGCGGCGCCCGGAAAAGGCAGAGCGCAAGACGCGAAGCGGGAGAGGGGGCGGCCGCCAAGAACCAAAAAACCCGCGGCCGGGGCCGCCGCCCGGGAGCCGCAAAACACGCGCAGGGCATGGCTTTTAGCATCCATAAGGGATCCGGAGTTCCATAAGGCCTCCGGAAGCCTTCCGGCGGCTGAAAGCCGCCGGCGGCACCGCGGAAGCCGGCGGAACGCCAGCGGAATGGGGACCGGTCCCGGAGGTGTAAAAGTTCAAAGAGCAAAGGCAGAAAGAGCCGGGGCCGGCAAGCGGGCCAGGTCGCCGAAAGTAAGAAACCTGGGCCCGCCCGCGGGGCGCGGGTGGCAAAACTAACATACATAGACGCGCCATCGGCCCAGTCAGTGCGCGTCCCAGCAGGCCCTGTCCGTCGGTGCCAGGACAAAGGCCGTCCGAAGCAAGCGGCCGCAAAGCAAGCAGGAGAGGACATGCGGGCCCAGCCGTTGCGCTGCCGCGCAACTTGCGCTGCCGCGCAACAGCGCCGGGCGCCGCTTCCATCTGTTCGCTGGCCCCAAGGAAGCAAAGGCTGGGGGGGGGCACACAGGCAGGCGGCTTCCCCTTGCAAGTCGCGTAGCTGCCCTGCTGCGCGCGGGCATCGGTGGCACGGGGCCCGGTCCGTCGGAGGGAAGAAGAAGGCGCCACCCAAGCCCCAAAGGAAGCGCGCAACATACGAGCCGCCGGCCCCCGAAGAACGCGCTTTCTAACCGGCTGGGGCGGCCCTCGGCCCGGTTGGTCGAACAGGCAGGCCGGCCCGCCCGACGCGCGCGCGCAAGTGGGCTCCTGCTGCTGAGCCCTCCAAAGTCAAGGAGGGCACAGGCAGTACAGGGCGTCCGGCGGGCGCGGCACCGGAACAAGCCTGGGACACATTCACTGGGGCAGGCGGACGGCCCCGAGCGCCAGGGGGCTTTGCTTGCCAATCCGGGGCCAGCGTGGGTGCCTGGCTCCCATCGCCAGGCTGCCGGCCCCGGGCAAGCTACCCGGTTTGAAATTGGTGTAAAAAAGCACTAATCTAAAAGCGGGAAGGGGGCAAAAGAAGCGCGCCAAAGTGCCGGCGCGAATGGCCAGGGGGAAGGCGCGGCGCGTGGTCCAAACAGACAGGGGGCGAGCGCAGGCATTGGCCGTGGGCCCACGAGGACAGCCAAGGCCACACGCCTGTGGGCCCATCGCGCCCCCGGCTTCTGCACCAGATCACGAAGCGGAAACAGGACCCGGCAAAGGAATGGGAAAAACCAAGCCCCCCACGGGGCCCTGTCTACCGTGTGCAACACATTGGGCGGCGTTGGCATAACACAAACCGGAAACCAAGCACAAACCTTGCCGAAGATCAAATGAAACCACTGCTCATCCGGATGGGACCGGGCCACTTTTTGCCTCAGAAATTTCACAGAAACTGCCTCAACTTCACCGGAGCCAATGCCTTGAAATAGGTCGGGATGGCCTTGGCCACCACGGAAAGCACAAAACACAGCCGGAACATGCAATAGCCGTCCCAAATACCCACTGCAAAACGCCCACGGGAGCCCATGGGGCGCCATCGATAATGGAACCACCCAAAGCCGCCAATATTTTTTGTCGCCAATTCTAGACAAAATGGGGGGGCCTTCGGAAACCCCCCCGAAACTCCCTCAGAAACTCCCTCAGAAACTACTGCGACTTTTTTTCTGCGCCTCTGAGTACCCCCCTTAGAAACTCCCTCAGAAACTACCTCAGAAACTGCCTCACTTCAAAAGCAAACGAATCGCGTGCGATTTTGCCAGTATAGAAGTGAGGTAGTTTCTGAGGTAGTTTCTGAGGGAGTTTCTGAGGGGGGTTCTCAGGAATCAAGACCATCTGTTTTCGAACTCGAAAACAGACACGAAAACGGACCATGGGTGGGGTTCGGTCCGCAAAAGTGAGGGAGTTTCTGAGGTAATTTCGCAGGGGGCTCATGAAATTGTCCACCGGGCATGATCTCCAACATGGACGCAACACAATGTCCCCGGGCGAAGCCGGCCATCCAAATACACGCAAGACAATGAGGCGACCCTACCGACGGCAAACGACAAAAACCCCAAAACGGCCCCCGGGAGTACCCCAAACCCTGAGAAGTTGAGGTAGTTTCTGAGGTAGTTTCTGCAAATACATCGGCCCGGTCCCATCCAAGTGACACTGCAAGTGGCCCGCAGGCTGCGCCAAGAAGGCCTACACCCTAAAAATTCCGCCCAAAAACAAAACCCTGGGCCCCCCCGGTTTCTTGGCAACCCACACCCAAAACACTGCAACTTTTGCGCTTTCCCCAAATTGGGTTTCCGCTGGGATTATTGTGTTAATTTGTGGTTTAAATTTTGTTTAATTTGTGGTTTAGTTTTGCATTAAAATTTGCATTAATTTATGGGGGGCGCGATTTCCCTCATGTTTCGCCTTGTTTTGAAATTAATGCAAATTTTATTGCAATTTTTATTGCATAGATTATTGCAAAAGTTATTGCAGAGGTCAGGCCGCGGGACCATGCGAAAAAAGTCGCAAGTCCTGCCGCCCCCTCTGCAAAAACCCTCGACCCCCGTTGGCTCACAAGAGCGCCGCTTCCAGCAAAGGGCCACGCGCTTGGCCGGGGCCGGCTCCCAATGTCTCGGCGGGCGACGTCCTACCCCCTGAAGCCCCGGGGGAAGAGCCGCGGCAAAATCAAGCCCCCGGGCCGAGCAACACGACCACGAAAACACCGCCCGAGAAACAACCCGACAAGGCCCGCCCCCGGCGAGAAGCCGGGGAACTTCGGCACGGCGCAGGGCAGGGCTACACCCTCGCAATGGGCACGGAACCCAAACACGGCACCCGCGGGCCACACACCAAAAGAGCAGGGCTTCCGGGCAAAGTTTCCCCCCCCGCGGACTCCGCGCGACGCTCTTCGGGAATTCCGGCAAAGCCAACCCCTGGCCAGCCAATGCCCAAAACCAACGAGACGAAACCCGGCCCCGCTTTTACATTAATGCTGTTTTACGCTGATTTTATTGGCCCGAATTTGCCCGGGGCTGGCTGACTGACCATCGGTTGCCCCCGGCGGTCCGGCGCGGTGCCCTAGCGGTTGCTTGCAAGGCCGAGGCGAGGCGGGCCGCCCGGCCCAGCCGCCGGCTGCCAGAAATAAAGGCCGCCGCGCGGAGGCGGCGCAAGTCTTTCAGCCAACGGGCCTGCAACCAACAAGCCCCGGCCGCTCCCACGCGTGAGTCAGTGTGGCTGCCTGCGGTCGCCGGGTCGGCAAAAAAAAAAAACCGGGCTGGGCGAACAAGGGACGAACGCGCGGGGGCGAAGGCAATTGCACTCGGCGTCCTCCCACGCACACAGGCCAGCAACAGCCAGCCGAAGCGCGCGGCGCGGAAGCAACCCACATAAAATATCCATCCGTCGAGCAGGGTAGACGGCGCCATGCACGCAACAATGCAAACAAGGCGGCGCTCTGGTGGCGCGCAACACCAGCGATGGGGTGGGATGGAAGGTAAAAGCAAAGCAAAAGGCGGCGGCGGGCCCCGTCGCTGTCTTCCATGGGGCAGCTTGCTACGCCCGGGCGCCGACGGCGGGCGGGCGTCCCCACCAGGGCAGCAACCGCAATCCGCCCAGACCGACGGACAAAACAATTTAGGCGGCCGCTTGTGGGCGCCGCCCCCCCTCCAAGCGGAGCGCGGGCACAGCAAAAAGAAACTGCGACCACAAACACAGGCGCCCACGGAGCAAGGGGGGGGATGCAGGCGCGCCACCTTCATCAGCGGCAGCGAACGTGCCGCGCGCGCGGGCACAAAGAAATGAAAGGCCCGGCTGGCCCATTCATTGTGAGGGAGGCCGGCGAGCCCCCTCGGCGCCGCGCCCGCTTTCTTGCATCCCGGGCGTTACGCTTTCCTGCCGGGCGGCCAGCCGCCTTCCGCCTTGGAACAAGGCCAGCGGGCTGCACCTGGGAAAGGCGAAACACGGAAGCCATCGAAACGATGGCGGGCCCACGCCCAACGCAAAATCGGTGCCCCAGGAAGCAGGAACACACAATGCGCGCATGCTCTTCCCGCGGACTCTCCTAACCAAGAGTGGGAGCGCGCGGTCGGGCCGTCCCGATGCCCAGGCCGGTGGCCCAAGAAATCCGGCGCCACTTTCGCACGCCCCTTCCCAAGACGGCGCCCCCCACCCTCCACCGCCTCTCTCCAACGCCACAAGAAACACAACAGAGCCTCGGGTGGGTTGCCAGAAATCGAGCAGCGCGCGGCGGTTTCTGCTATCGAACAAACAGACATGGTCCCTCCACAAGACCTCCAGGCGCGCCCGCGAGTAGCTTCACTATGTTTACGAGCGCTGACTAAATTTCATCGAGTTCAATGCTTTAAAGGCCGAAATCGATCAAATTTAGCCAGCACTTTTGTGGCTAAAGCCAGCGCGCGCGCTGGCTAAAGCCATCAGCCGGGGGGGTTAATTTTTGGCACTATGTACCTCCTTATGCGCTAGCAGAAGGAATTTTTAAGATTGCGATTGCAATCTGTAGTCGTCGGCGGCCGCCAGGATCTTCACACATAAAAACTGATCTTGCAGCTTCGCTTTTATTTGGGGGTGGAGATCATTCGGTAATGCACTGCTCGAGTGTGTGAACTATCTAAGTACTAAGTGAAAAGGACCAAATTTCAACATTCACTAATGGATTCAGAGCCCCCTTTATTCGATTTTGTGTTCCTCTGAGCAGGAGCAGCGCGTGCATTCTTCCGTCAAGATGCACAAGCCTCCTGACATGAATCATGATCATGATCATCCTCATGATTAATTTGAATTTCCATATCAAGAATGCCTCGGCCGTTGGTTCTGGTATCGATGCTAGCTTAAGAGATCTCGATTGAAAATGAAACGGACTCCAGAATCATCCTCATCGTGGGGGACCAAACGTCAATAGATGGATCAACTGCTAACTCGCACGACGATTTCAAGCGACAAACGAAGGCTCAAGTTCACCTTCGCCGGAGCCCTCCGTACACGGACGACTGGAATTGAAGGCGTCACTACATCCCACATGCGTGGAGACACCATGTTTGCGTGTTCTTGTAACTACCGCAAATGCAAGGCTACCGCTTTGTGTTTTTTGTTCAGAGGTGGGAAAAAACAACTGTATGTTCGAAAAGAAAATGAAACTGTACTCCTAGGATTGCGCGAACGCCGAATCTGGACAGTCGTCAATATCGGTAAGACCCAGCGCATCCATGCAAAAGCTCGGAGTCCGTCAACTCAAGCAGGCCGACGCGGTACAGCACAGAGGAACTGGATATTTATCACGACAAAAAAAAAACTACGCACATGCATACAAAATAGGCACTGCAAGTGCAAGACGTGAGCTGACTCCGAACTTCAGCAGGCAAAGGATAAACGTCGAGCCCGGCGCTAGTAACCTGCATCCAGGGGAAGGCCCAGACGTTGGGGAGCCCGTAGTGCGCCACCCCCGGAAAAACCTCGGACCCGTCTTTGCGCTGCCAGCGAAAGGGCGGCTGGCCGGCGGTGGTCGGCCCGGACTTGGCCTGCACGCTCATGACGCGTGCGAGGCAGTGGTTGACCAGCTTCGCGTCGATGGCGCCGTTGGGAATAGGGTTTTGCCTTGCCAGATCCATCCGTGCGGCCACGTCGTGACCGGGCGACGTGGGTCCCGGCCAGGCACCCCACTTGTTCTCCACTAGAAGTCCCCGCATGTCGAGCAGTGACCCGGGTGCCGCGGCCGTCAGAATCTTCATCCGCGGCGCATTTGTCGCCGAATACAGGTCCCCGTGCGACTTTTCCGCTGCGGCAAAGCCCGTTTTTTCCCGCATCTGCGCGAACACCGGGCGGTTGACCGAGCCGATGAACTTCTTCTCGGACAGGGTCGCCGACACGTCATGCGCCTCGGTTGCACCGGGGACCGTTTCGACCATCCACAGTGTGCCCGGCGCCAGCGGCGACTGGCCCGGGCTGTACTGCTGGTAGCTCACGACCAGCCACTGCGCATTTCGCGTGCCGGCGTTCCGCGTCTGGTAGCGACTCGCCCAGTCGGCGCCCGTGCGCGCCAGTCGGTTCACGGCCATCAGGTGCATGAAGCCCGGCACGGTGGGCTTGTCGTCCACCTTGTCGTACAGCGTGGAGTCGAGGACCTCCAAACTCGTGTCCATAATCACCAACCCCGTATCTGTCAAATAGTGATCGTCCCCGGAGGAAATCAAGCCGGGGTAGGAGCTCATGGCGATCTTCCTCGCGGAGGTGTCGCCCCCGGGCAGCGCGAAATCGTAGTACTTGTACACGCGAAGCATCTGCGCGTAGTCTCCCCAGGTGGCGTGTCCGACCAGCATATCTGTGTCCGTAATCCGCACGTACGCCGTGCAGTGCCCGTCCTCGGCCAGGCGACGCTCCCAGTGCGCATCGTCCAGGAGGTCCTCCCGCTGTCCTTCTTGTTGAACCACGGGTGCAACTTTTTCAGTAGCTTTATTTCCAGGCTGTACTTCCATTTCTTGATGAGGTTCTTTATTTCCTACCGAGGATTGTGCCCCTGTTCGTGTTCTTTGTTTGGCTTGTTCCTTCTTTTCCTTTTGCAGAAACACGAGCGCTCCAGCCCCGATGGCCTCCGTGCGGTCCAGGATGGCGCGCGGGCTGTAGGCTTTCATCATTTGCTGCAGCTCCGCTAACGAATTCAGCAAGAGTAGGTCCACCATGTTTAATTTGTGGATGTAGTAGTGCGTGGCCATGTGGTTGTAGCCGTCCAGCATGCCCCACAGCTGGAACAGCATGTAGCGGATTTGCCGGCTATAGGCGTCCGGCGGCTCCTCGGGCAGCACGTGGTCTTCGAACACGCTCTGCTCCCGCACCGCGGCAATTTCATTCTGCAGCACTGTTTTGATGTTCAACAGCGCGTGGTTGGCTTTCTCTGACTCGAGGAGCAGCTTGTGGTGGTTCGCGTAGAATTCGGAGATCCGCACGGACGTGAGCAGTCCCTCGATGTAGCCGGCACTGTACATCTTCACGTCCTCATCCACGCCGGGCATGTCCGCGTTGGTGGAGACGTTAAAGTGCGCCCAGCCCTGGTACTCGATGCTGTCAGTGAAAGTCGCTTCCGCAATACCGCGACCGCCCCGCCCCGACACGTCCAACCGGAGCGAGGCCTCATCGGCGTCCCAAACCATCAACAGGGAGCTCGGGAGCTGCTCCACATCAAAGTTTAGCTTGATCGGAAAAAGGCTGCTGGTGGTGCGTGTTTTCGTCTCAGCTTTCAGCTGCACTCCAGCGCGCTGGGCCTTCTGCAGAAAGGATGCTTGCTGTCTGGTGGTTTCTTTCCCTTGGCGGTTGAAATCCTTGATGTTGTCGCTTTCTGCCTTATTTTCGGTCGTCGTGGTGCCGGTTCGCGTACGGTCATAATTGGGACTTTTGTCCTTCCATGCAAACCGGAACTTCTGCGTTTTGGGGTCCTTAGCGATGTGGTTGTAAGGCATTGCCCACGGATCCTTGGCACTCTTGTTCTCCGCCGCACCTTTCTCAGCTTCAGCAGCGTCCGGGCGCCGGAGCCTGCCGTGGTGCTGGCCATGTGGTCGACCCGGTACGCCTACGGGGGAAACGAAGTCAGCAACTACGAAACCAGGGCGGGCGACGAAAAAATACCAGCATGTGGCCACAGCCGTGCCGGCACGGCAGAAACGATCGAGCGGGCTCCTGCTCGACATCATTATTCTCCCCAGTCAATGAAGTCGCTCGGTCGCCGCTCAGCTCTGCATACTCAGGCGCATCGCGGCCATCGCGTCTTGTGGACGCCCGCCAGTAGCGCCAGAGGCACCCGGCCGTAGACGAGCATGCTATTTGGGCCTCTCTTTTTCCTATTTTTTTAACTAAGCAAAAGATTGATTTCTCTCGAGCTCTACTTCGCTTATCTTCTTACCGCACTCAACATCAAGCGCTCACTCTTGTATTCTCTTTTTCCTTTTCCTGCATAGCACTTGCGCAGCGACAAGCCAGCAGAACAAGATCAAGAGGCCCATAAAAGGACCGACGGTTGTTTATGTTTTTGTGCACGCCCGTCACCGCATCAGAACCCTGCGCATCACCGCCGAAAAAGCGGCCCGCTTTCTCGTCGGTGATGCGCTGCAACACGAACCCAAGCTGTAGTGCTACCAAAACCGCCTGTGGTCCGATACATTGTAACTGCTGTGTCTGACGCTACTAACTTAGCTGATTTTTGTACCATCGAGTTCTTCCTCTTCTTCATAAAAGCACTCGCAGCACGAGGCACAAGCACACGCCAACATATACAACTTGGCACTGTGCGTTTCAGTGTGTTTCATCGTAGACCGGATGCATATGCAATTTCTTTCGTACAATACAAGTTCAGGAGTTCGTTGAGGATGGTACCAGTGAGTCCGGGTTTAATTTTCGTTTTCATACCTTTTTTAGAAGATAAATTCGAGTTCATCGCCGGGCCATTTGCTCCGAAACGGAGGTAGCCGGAGCACTGTTGTGAAATATCTATCGGCATCTCTTCTACGTGGTTATCGCTATCTTCCGAAGAAGCAGATGATTGTAACAGTAACAATTGGGCAAAAGATAAAAATTCCGTTTGAGTTGATTCATATCAGTTTCAGTTGCGTTTATTTGTGAAAGGAGAAAATTGACAAATTGAAGTTGTTTGATTTCGAGGCACTTGACAAATTGAAGGTTGTTTATGCATGGAGGGTCCAGCTGATCCTGGCCGATGCATGTGAGAGCTGACTCTCTCAGTTTTACCTTGTACGCGAATAGAGGTTTATAACAAAAGTCAATTACTATCGACGAGGATGACGTAAAAATCGCATCAGCTGCGTCATCTTCGCCGTTCGGAATCCGTATGCATTTTGAGTTTTCCTTTTCTTTCCGCTAACCCTTTATTGTCATTTTTGGTTTAGTTCATTCGAAACTACTTACTAGTGAAGTTTAAGTTTTTCAATCATACATAGTCGCAGGACCTGTAGGTGTTGTAACCACGTAGTGGACGTTGATCTTCTTCTTCATTTGCTCAAAGAACAGCATATGAATCACTCCTCTGCATCCTCCACGTGGTGATGATGGTAATGCGAGTAGTGTTCAAACTCTTCCACGTCCTGCGGCGACAGACGCTGGGAGGAGTTCTGACTGCCGTACCCGCGGAGGATTTGCGAGTTGCCTCGCTCGTGCGGCAGCGGCAGCGGCACAAAGTGCTTGTCGCGGAGGTACCGTGGCCTCCTCGTGTCGGCGTAGGAGTCGATTGCGGTGCTGATGTTGTGACAGAACTGCCGCAGCCCCGTGCGCTTTCCGAGTTTCTGCAAGCCCTTCGGAGACAACGGGCCCGGGGGCTTCGTAATGGTTTCGTCGGTAGAAACGGGCGGGATCACCAGCTCCACCGGCGGCGGGACGCCCCCCTCTTCCACGAAGTTCTGGGCGTTGACTCCGTGCGGAACGTGGTAGTGTACGTGTTGCTGGATTTCCTTATCCGGTTGGTTTGCCGGATCTTTCCTGCTCCTGCTGCTCATTGATGTTGCTGCACCACCAGCATGTATTACATTTTCCTCCTCTGTAGTCGAAGGCACCAGATAACTACCCGCGTCGTTTTCCGTTTCCGTCCCGGACACGGTCGGCGCCTCGTTTTGCAGCGCGCCCTCCGTGAGCCTGCTTCCTCCGTCGACCGGCATGTTGGCCGTTTGGGCGAGGGGCGAGGCGTTCTCGGCACCTTTTCGCATCACCGAGGACTCGGACTCGCGCTCCACGTGGACCCGCGCCGCGTGCGAGAGCTCCTCCTCCCCGTCTTCCGTGACGTGGTGGTAGTGAATGTGGTGGTGCACATGACGGTGCACCTCCCCGGTGTGTGGGTCGCGCTGGTGCGCGGAGTCGTGCTCGGACAGCCGCGCCCCCTCGATCTGCTTCACCAGCTGAAATTTCTTCTTCTCCGCTGCCTGGAGCCGTCTCTCGCGCTCTTCCGCCCGCTCCATGTCGAGCTTGTCGAGCTTTGCCTGCCGCTCCTCCTTTTTCCGTATCACCAGTTCTATCGTCTCCTGCTCTTTTCGCTTCTTCTTCTTCGCCATTTCCTCCTTTTCCGCCAGCCACTTCGTGAGCGTCTCCACGCGCTTCGCCTCCCGTTCGTGCAGCTCCGAGTTGACGCCAACCATCTGCTGATGAAACCGCTCGCGCTCGTCTTCCTGTCGCTCGCGCTGCCGTGCGTCGAAGTCGCGCTTCTTCTTCGCGAGAAAAACGACTTTCCGCTTCCGCTCCTCCTTCAGGTCGTACAGGATCGACTGCTTCTATGGAAGTGTCAGGATTGAAATCGACAAATTTCTCACGCAGGAACTGCAAGGCATGAAGTGCCTCTCTTGCAGGAATGGCAAGGGAGGCCGACTGTTAGCCTGTTTGGGGTCTGTGAAGATAGAGCTGCTAAAGTAGCATGACAAGAGACGCCTTCTGTCCCTAAACAGCATGACAAACTGGATTTAGTAGACAGTGCCGAAAGTTCTCGTGCACCGCTTAGAAATTGGGCTTCCAACTGGTATCGATTTTATGCATTACAAGTTATTTCAACTTGTTTGTCGATTTCAATTCTGACACTCCCATAGCTTCTCCCGCTCGGACAGGTCCTTGTACTGCCGCCGGTTGCGGTATGGAAGCGTCAGGACAGAATCGTTAAAGTTGAAATAATTTCTCATGCAGGAACTGCAAGGCACGCAGTGCCTCTCTTGCAGGGATTGCAAGTGAGGCCGACAGTCAGCCTGTTTGGGGTCTGCGAGAGAGCTGCTAAAGTAGCATGACAAAAGACGCCTTCTGTCCCTCAACAGCATGACAAACTGGATTTAAACGGTCCCGAAATTTGTCATGCAACGCTTAGAAATTGGGCTTCTAACTGCAACTGGTATCAATTTTATGCATTACAAATCCTTTCAACTTTGTCGATTTCAATCCTGACACATCCATATGCGGTAGAACCGGCCCTCCCGAAACTCGCCGGCGTAGCTCTTGCGGTCCGCAACTTTCCCGGTCACGCTGTGTTCCACCTGCAGTGATGAAGACGTGCGCCATATTTATAACATCCTCTACTTCAAGCTCGCCAGGGTCTAAAAATTTAAGCGCGCCGTCATCCGCGCAGGCCCAGGTTTACACGCAAGATACTAGAACTTGAACTACTACAGTAGTACTAGTAGTACTAGTACATGTAGAAAATAAAAAGCTACCTGGCTAGCGAAGTTGTAATCAAATCAAGCAATACTGTAAGCTCCGGCCTGAATGGATTTCTCGGGAGAGGGGCTGGAAATTTGCCTTTGCGCCGTCTCTTGGGAGACGAGCTGGGGCTGCTGCCGCCAACCTCCTCACCTTCGACGGGACCTGCTCCCTCCTCTTTGCTTTCCGTCCGCGCTGCGGCTGCAGGGGAAGCCGCGGTGGACCTGAAAATGTTTACGCCCACATGACTAAGACAACGGAAGAGGCAAGACCAAGATCAAGATAGATCGACGAAATGATATTTTCCACAAACTTTCTCTAGGCTGGCTAGACTCACTTCCAATTCCAAACTAGTAGATCAAACAGTAGTTGTGTCTCACCCGCTTCCCGGTCTTCTGGGGTCGAACGCAGCTTGGGAGCTGGTGGCGGTAGGTATTCGCTCGGGACTCTGGCTTTTTCTTTTCGGCATTCGCGCTTCGAGATCCGTCATGTCGGGCGCGTAATCTCCCGCTTTCTCCTTGAACAGTATCCACGAAAAAACACCCATCCCCATCCAATTTGTCATGCGAAACATGCATGAAGTGCACTATTTGACGTCATGCAAAAAATGGATGGGGATGGGTGTTTTTTCCTGGATAAACAGCGTATGCACCGCACTGGGGTCTGGATCGGTGAAGATGAAGGCAGAATTGGTTACTTTTCGTTTTTTCTCCTTCTCTTTCTGTTGGTCTACCTGCTTTCCGTCGCCTTTTTTTGGCGACTTGATACCGATGGGGGATCCCTGGTGCTCCTTCTTTCCCTTTGTATTTGTGGCGAGTGGCATGCCGGACTCTGCTCGCGCCGCGTCCCAGTCCTTTAAGCGGTCCACCTCTTCATGAACCGCGATCGTCTCGAGCTCTATCGTAGTGAGGCGCTCCTTTGATTTCGATACCGGTGGTGGTGGCGGCGATGCAGCGGAATCTGCTGCAGCTGCAGCTATTGCTGGTGGTGCGTCTTCTGCAACTTTTGCAGGCTCTGGCGCAGCACCAGCAACCGTTTCCGTTCCAGCAGACGGCGCTTCTGCTGCTTCTTTCGTCTGTGCTGGTGCCTCTTGTTGTTCTATGGGAAGATCATTTCGCGTTACGTCAAGCGCTGCGGCGTCTTCTGTCGCTGCTGTGGCTGCACTTGCGCCTCCGGCATCTGGTGGCGCGCCTTCGGGACCTGCTGCGAGATCTCTTTCCGTCTTTCCACCATCCTCTCCCACTGGTGGTGCCGGTGCGCTAGTGCTTGTCTCCTCTACCGCCTCATGCTTCTCTGCCTCGGCTGGTGGCTCTAAATCGTTAGGCGCGGCGCTCTCGGGTTCAGCGACAGAAGGCGGCTCAACCTGAAGTTAGTGGATCGATCATGGGAGCTGCCGTACTTTGGGAAAAAATCGAAATCAAACATTCGGATTCGGTGAGAGGTTGAATCGGAACCAAACCAGCAAAACAAGAGCTGGGAACAAAAGTATGAACAACAAAGCGATGTTACCCGCACCACACGCAACGAACTTACCTCGCCCTCCTCCATCACCACCTCTGCATCTGTTTGTTGAAAGTGTTTTTCCGCGGCCGGTCCGCGTAGAAAGTGGCCGGACGGCGACACCGGCGGTCGGGGACTCTCTGCCAGGGGCAGCCTTGGTTGGTGTCGCTTCATCGCGGTTTTGCTTGGTTTCAAGAGATTTCGGTCCTGCAGGTACTGGTCCTATCCACAGTAAATTTTCCGTACACGTGGTACAGGTACACATGCGGTTTCTGCATGACAAAACTTGGCTTCGATCCTAGTTTAGCATAACAATTTTTACGCTTCAAATTGGTGAAATTTGTGATGCATCTTGTACATGTGCGGGAAATTTGTATTGCATAGGTCCACACAGAGCGCAACTTCCAGCTCCATCTCCTCCAACGCGAGCGACAAGTCCTCCACGTCGCCGTACCGCTCAAACTATGCATTGCAAAACCAAAAGTATCGTACTAGTATACTTAAAATGCATATACAAATTTTCCCAAGAAAAAAAAGCAATTTGTCATGCTATTTCAGGTAGATGAACATGAGAGTTGGATTTGTCATGCATATCTGCACCTAGTACGAGTACGAAACAACTTTTGCACAGGATACAAAGTACCGGTACTCGTCGAAGTGCCGGGAGGGGTAGAAATTCACCTGCACCATGACGGAATCCGGGCCGGTCTGCTGGTACTCGAAAAACCCCCGCAGCGGCCAGCACGACTCCTCGATCAGGTCCTCCACGAGTTTGCGCCCCAAGTACCCCCGCCAGTGCCTCTGGATGGTGGTGGCGTTCTGCCGCAGCCACTGGTTCGCGAGTTCGACCTTCAGGTACTGGGTCGCCCACACCTGCTTCATCTTCTGCTGCACGAGCAGCAGTGCCTGGTGCGCCTTGCTGCCCTCGCGACTGAAACGAAGGAAAAGTTGCTCGCGTTCGATCTGAGATTTGTTTGTGAACCAACAGCAACAGGATAGATAGATCATGCCTGCTTACAGTGGGGGCTTAAGTCTTTCCTTCCTCGCGGATCTCTTGCTCATGGAGTGTGAAGTAGCGAAAGTCAGTATTGCGCTGCAGAAACAGCGGAGCGTTGGCGGAAGAAGTAGTGGTCTATCAATTGAAAAAATGATTTCTTCATGTTTATTGAGCATCAGTACGTCTCTGCTTCGCACGAGGAACCCTCTTGCTCTAGCCTGAATCGTTACGGAAGCCTCGGCGCGGGCGTCGACCAAACCGAGAGCGTCCCGGAGAGCCTCCATTACCGGGGCGCGACCTACCATCATCCTACGCAGCTTGGCGATCCGGACTAGGGAACCTCGGAGTACGCGCTGGATGTCTACGATGCACTTCAACATGTAAGCCTGCTGCGCAGGTTCGCTATTGAAAAGCTCGTAAACGCCGTTCCTGTTTGTCGTGTTTCGGAATTCACAAAATGTAGTTTCCTCGGTAGTAGTACTCGTCGTGTTCTACATCAACACCACGACGTCGAACATTTTCACACAAAGACAAAACCGCAACCAAAACAGCCAAGCTCAAAAACAAGTCGTATCTGCCTGCTTGTGCGTATATATCAAATACGGCTTTTTGAGGATTTTTCCGGCCTTCACCGGTGCCATCTGGAGTCTGAAACGCCACGGGACAAAAGAGTCTTCTTGCAGAATGAAGTTGCACAAGACTGGGCGCTCTGCAATGGCGAGCATCTGAATCTTTTTCGCCGCCAAGAACCTGTCAAATTCGTTTTGTGTCAAGAATCAGGAGGATGAGGAAAGGATGCGAGGGGGTTTTCTTTGATGCTGAAAGAAACTGCAGTAAAAAGGGTCGCAACATCATGATTTTCTACTGTGTTGTAGTCTCAAAGAGACGAATTTCGGCCAAAACCTCCGGCGATCATGTAATTTAAGTCTGAAGATATCAACAGAGTATACCAGAAGAGTTTATAGAATCCCGGGTCCCAGGGTAGGGAGGACCAGGGAGGAGATTTTGCTATATAAAACCCAAAACCGAAAACCGAAAAATCATAAAAACCCCAATCGCGGCGGTATGGTGCTCTTTAACAATTTGCGCGAGTTTTCCATGCGGAATATACTCAATCCCCATGGTAGTGCGATGTCGGGAATGCGGCGACAAAAGACAAAGCTATAAGGCGACGCGATGGCAAAGGCAAAGCTACCCTACAAACGGACCGCGCAAAGCTTTTCAAAAATATTTCAACAATAAATTTCCAGCACATACACAAAATTTGCCCCTGATCCACATCCAACCGCCCCGGGCTTTGGACTGTTTTCTCCCCCGCGGGTTAGGCACCCTGCCCGCATTAATTCCAAGGTCTTTACTCCCGTGCCACGCCGTCATGACTAAATAATGGCTATGCCTATTGAGTAATGTTCTGCAGGACACGGCGGCGCGGCGACCGATAAAGGAAAAGCAAGACCAAGACCCACGGCCCCTCTGGACCCGAACTACGCGAGAGGGCCCAGAGAAAGCCGCGCGCGGCAGGCCGGGCACGGCCCGCCCGGCTGTCACAACGGTGCCCATAGCATGGGCGCGCACATGGGGTGGATGCCCAGGCCGAGGCCCACTGCCGCCCAACTTTTGGCGGGCCCCGCCCCTGCTCTTTTTGCCAGTCTTCATTCTCATTAGGGCGGCGGCATGCAGCTTCTCTGCTCCATCGTTCCTCGGGCCCTCGCCGGCAGTTCGGCCGCCGAGCTGGTTTGCCTGCGTGGGTGCGTGCCCACCGCCATTGCGACCGACCGGGCGAAGTCAGTCAGTCCAGTGGGCAAAATAAGTGGCGCCACCCTTCCTGCGGGCCCCTTCGCCCGCGCACGCCTGTCCTGGGGCCGGCCCCTTTTTCGTGCCCGCCCGCGCGGGCGGGGCGCGCCACGCAGGCAGTTTCTGGCTAGGGCGCGGGCGGTACACCCGCACGCCGAGTGCGTGGGACACACGCACGGGCCGGGCAATACAAGGAGCGAAGGCCCGGGGCCCCCGGCGAAATGGACGGGCGCGCGCCGGGGCGGACGGAGGCGGGCCAACAGGCCGCCTGGCTGCCCCGAAGCACAAGGCCGGCCAAAAGACTGCCATGGGGCGGCGCGGAGGGCAGGGCAGAAGCGAAAGCCGCCGGGGCGGGCTCGGACGGCAAAGGGCAGACTGGCCCGCCTCCCTGGCCGCGCTCTGCGGCGCACCCTTTCCCCGGGGCGGGCCAACGCCTCCAATATGCGGGCGCGCCTCCCGTGCGGCGGGCCCGGGCAGACGCACCAACGCGGAGGCCGCAAGGCGGGCCCCCCCGTTCTTCTTTTTTCTGGAAAAACTGGAAAGAGCACGGCAGGGGCCTCCCGAATATCTCCCCGAAGCCTTCCCAAAATTTTCCAAAGCCAATAGAATGAAAAGCCAACGCAGAAAACACCCGGCGCCCCCTTGAAATACTTTCTTTCGGAAGCACTCACTGCGCTGGGCCGCGGCGGGCCAAAGCCGCCCGGAGCCATTCCGGACCCCATCCCCAGCGAGCATAGCTACAAAAGAAGCCCGCGCCTATGCCGGGGCGGGAATGGAACACCACCAGCCCCCCTAGCCCGCCCGAATGAAATAGCCGCCGGGGCCTTGGGGCGACCGCGGGCGGTCGCTCGGGTTGGGCCGGGCGCTGCGCACAAGGCCGCGGAGGCCAGAGAGACGCTTGCCGCTTGCGGCCGGCCGCAAGAAGCCTCCGGGCTTCGCGCGCAAAAGCCAGCGGGCGCCGGGCCCCCGGCGCGCGGCTGTTCTTTCACTCTGCAACAAAAAACCGGCGGGGGGGCCTGGCCCGGGCAACTTCTAATGGCCCACCCGGGGTGCGTGGCGCAGGGGCCAAAACCCGGGCCCAGTCAAAAGCTAGCGCAGGGGGGGCCTTAGCCCCCGCCCCCGAGTTGCTTCGCCCGCGATCGCCAAAGAGCCGCAATACCCTACAGCACCAACGGACGCACCCACTGGCGCCGCGGTATGTAAGGTCAGCGGGAGGCATTTGCGTGCGCCCACTGCCATCCTGGCTCCTGGGCCAAGTCGCCTCCCCGCCGGCCTGCCATTTTGCCCGGTGGCGGGCGGCCTCACTCGCGGGACCTCCCAAAGGCTGGCCTGCAAAAACCGCGCGGGGCCCCGCCTTGCCACAACGCCCCCGCCCCGCGCTGCTCTGCCAAAATCGCGCGCGAGGGGCGCTGGCGACCCCAAAAGGGCCACCGACACAACAAAGGGAGCGGGCGCCCCTGGGCATGGCGAAAAACGCAAGACCCACGAAGGGCAGCCCTTTCGGTGTTTGTACATACTTAGTGCCAGGCGGCTCAAAAAAAAAAAAGGGCCCGGCGGCGCGCCGCGCCGGAGTGTCTTCCCAATGCCAAACGCGGCGCGAGCTGGGCAGCCGAGGGCACGGCACGCACAAACGGCGCCCCGGCTGGCGGGCAACAGACGCGCCAAGGGCTTGGGGCTTTGGAAACTTTTATTTTGGAAAGTGGGTGGGGAACTTGCGCTAACAGGGGTCGCCACTTGTGCGCCCCTTGCTCTGCGCCATGCTCTACGAACAGAGAGCGCGTCTGGATTCAGCTCCCAGGAGCGGAGTCCAGCCTTCCTCGGACCCAGCTCCCGGCGAAAACTGCACGGCGGCACGACTTTTGGCGCCTGAGTTTTATGGCTATGGCGCTCGCCGGCCTGCGTGGCAGCTTGCCAAAGTCAACGGCTGGCAAGCTGTAGCGCACAAATGAGGCTGAGGGGCCAAGGAAGTGCGAAGCTGTTGAAGTGGCTTTCTCAACTCTCAGTAGCTTTATTCTCCTTCGTTTCTGCGTTACAAATGCAGAAATGAAGGACAAAAGAAACGCGAAGAGCTTTCTCCTGTCCTTCGTTTCTGCGTTACAAATTGCCATCATGATTGGCAAGCTGTAGCGCAGAAATGAAGGGCAAACTATTGAAGTGGCTACTCCAACTGTCCTCCATCGGAAGAAAGTTGAAAAAGTAGCCACTTCGATAACAACTGCATGACAAATTGCCACAGTAGTGGCAGTTGTTGAAATTGAACAACAACGCAAACGCGTTCAAATTATAGCCACTGCAGCAAGAATTATCTGTGTTGTTGTTCAGTTTGCAACTTGTCACGCAGCTTTTGATGAAGTGGCCACTTCAACTCTCCACCAGAGTGTCGTGAGCAGCTGCGCGACACGTTGCAAACTGAAGCTGGACAACGACGCCAATTGTTGAAGTGGCTATGTCAACAATTTGCGTCGTGTGCGAGCAAAAATTGTGAAAGTGGCCACTTCAGCAGTTCGGGTTCTGCGAATTGTTGAAGTGGCCACTTCAGCAATTCGGGTTGTGCAAAATGTTGAAATGGCCACTTCAACAAAACCCGAATTGCTGAAGTGGCCACTTCAACACTTTGCACAATTATTTCAACAATTTGCACAACGCAAATTGTTGAAATAGCCATTTCAACAATTTGCACAACCCAAATTGTTGAAGTGGCCACTTCAACAATTTGGGTTGTGCAAAGTGTTGAAATGGCCATTTCAACAGTTCGGGTTCTGCGAATTGTTGAAATGGCCACTTCAACAATTCGGGTTCTGCGAATTGTTGAAGTGGCCACTTCAACAATTCGGGTTGTGCAAAATGTTGAAATGGCCATTTCAACAATTCGGGTTCTGCGAATTGTTGAAGTGGCCACTTCAACAGTTCGGGTTGTGCAAAGTGTTGAAGTGGCCATTTCAACAATTCGGGTTCTGCGAATTGTTGAAATAATTCGGGTCGTGCAAAATGTTGAAATGGCCATTTCAACAATTGCAATTTAGGGTTTTGTTGAAATGGCCATTTCAACACTTTGCACAGCCCGAATTTTTGAAATCATGGCCACTTCAACAATTCGCAGAACCCGAATTGTTGAAGTGGCCACTTTCGCAATTTTTGTTCAATTTCAATAAATTGTCACTATTGTGGCAATTTGTCATGCGCTTGCTATTCAAATGGCTACCTCAACTCTCCGCGAAGTTGAAGTAGCCACTTCAACACAAGCTGCGTGACACGTTGCAAACCCAAGCCGAACAACAACAAGAACGCAAATTGTTGAAGTGACTACTTCAAAAATTTGCACAACGCAAGTTTTTGAAATGGCAACTTCAACAGTTTGCCTGTGCGAATTGAAGTAGCCACTTCCATAACAACTGCATGGCAAGTTGTAAACTGAACAACAACGCAAACTGTTGAAGTGGCTACTTCAACAATTTACTGCGTCGCTGTTCAATTTCGTCACGCAGTTGTTATTGGTATGGCTATCAGAAAGCTGAAGGGGCCTTGGCCCGAAAGTTCGCCATGCCATCGGTGAACACATTTTGAAAAAATGCCCGATGCTTTTTTTATATAGACGCGAACGCTCCTCCCTGGTCCTCCCTGGTCCTCCAGGGTCCTCCCTACTCCCTGTCTATAAATTTCTCTGGTATACAGAGCGACGAGCTGTGGAGGAGAAATACAAAGTGGAGGAAAAATACAACTTAGATAGTACGATTTCATGGCAGAAGCCAATGTCTTCTGTGCGATGCCGCGACGCTGCTCTTTCATTCGTCGCCTTCTTCGGACTGCCAGCGTCATTCGAAAAGCGCACTGCATCATGACGATCTGTTCGTTCTTTCTCTTCTCGGCGCCCTGTTCCGTCAACATCCTTCGATATCGCTCGCGACCTTTGATCCTGTGAAGTCATGGCCATGGAGTCGGAGATGGAATGTAACTGACGGTGCGAGAACAAGGCAGTAACACTTTAACTTTATTCGCACGGCCGTCTCGTCCAACAGCGAGTCCATAATTTGAAATTGGATGCACAGATTTTGCGCATGGTCATCTTGCCTTTTTTCAGACCAGAGAAGGAGTAATCCGCCATGACCCAGAGAGTGAATGTGAAGTAGTTGTAGTAGCTAGACCGAGTTCATCCTCGTGGCATTTATCTTTATAAAAGTACCCTCTTTGCAGTGCTTGAATTGAAGTGGCGGAGCGAATGAATTTTCGATTTCGCATCCGGGCCACTAGCTTTTTCGCCAATACGATTCGCATCCGCGTCTGTATGGGAACTACTATCTTCCCCAGGTGTCTTCGGTGCGCCAGGAGCGGCTTGATGCGTTTCCTGACGATGTAACTTCGCGCAAGACTTTGTATTCGCACCGCGGCTTTGTCCCGACGCGCTCCGGTGGTTTGCGACAGCAGCAGTTCCTCTTTGCCGTCATCCGTCTTCTGGACCTTTAGCCGGAGTTTCCCCCGTAAGGAGGGCGCCACGCCACGCGTCAGGCTGGTTCCCTTCTTCTCTCTGTTGTGTGATATTCATCACGTGCGGAAAAAAGTGCTATATTCCTATAGCTACTCGGGTTGTCAACATGGATCTTCTGAAGAACGTGACGGTTAGGGCGGTGATGTTCAAGAGTTGTTAGAAGTATCTAGACTATTTAACTGCGTCATCAACATAAGTTGTGAACAAGAACAAAACGTACTTCATTTCCTTAAAGCGCTTCTTCGCTAGTAGTGATCGAATCACTGCCTGCACTCGGATCGCGACCGCGGCTAGCTGGGCGTCTCCACTAACTTCGAAGGTCGGCTTCTGTGGGTCGTTCGGATCTGGCTTTTTGGCGACCGCCATACTCGGATGCCGTTCCTTCATTGCCTGCAGAAGCTTGAGTTTCACGAACAGCTTGTGATTCCAGAGCGCCGCTGGGTCAGCGTAAGTGCTTTTCCCAGTGGATTTGTTGTGGAAAAACCGCTCCCCCTTGTCGTCCTGGCCCTCGGTCCACTGGTCGAGCTCCTTTTTTGTTTTCTCCTCCTCCTTCGCAAGCTTCTCTTCCAGTAGCCAAAAGCCGCCACGAGAAACCGCGTCGCGGTAAGATTGCGCCATGTCTCGGTAGACATCATCCAGTGGATGGCTCCAGCTGCTCTCCCCACTGGTGGAACAGTAAAAGTAGACGCGGCCTGCGTTTTTCAGCCAAGTGATTTGAGGAAAACTTGTCTCAAACCATTGATTGGATTCTTGATGTATGAAAGATTGACAATAGCCTAAAACCCTACTAAATAGGGTTTTAGGTGGTCATCACGATCACTGAACATATTCATCATATGATATGAAAATGAAAAAGAAAACTGAAAAATACATATCGCGTACCTTGCGGGTCCATGTACTCTCCCCAATCTGGCGGCAATGCTGCTTGGTAGGCTGCCTCTGCGATCCAGAGCATGTGGGGGTCTCTGAGTGGGTCAATTTCAAGCGTCTTGACGTACTCCATCATTTCGACCACACCGGGCTCTTGGACCCCGCCGTCGCTACTGCTTGTGGCCACCATTGTCGGAGAGTTTTTTGTTCGAATCCGAGACGTTGACGTCCCTCTTACTTCTTCTGCACTCTTTCCACTACACCTGCTCCTCCGGGTGTGCCCGCAGCAGACCTCTCTGCAAAATGCTGCAGGGTACGGTCAGGTAAAAGCTGTGTGCAACCTGACCCTGAGTGCAACCTGACTTGAACTTGGAGAGCTAGGAGTCGGGCACTGTCTACTGCAGTTTACTACCAGCTGCAGTTTGCTCGCTCCGGTTCGCCTTCGCCTTCGCGCAAATTGAAAATATCAACTGGGACGCTGCCCTCGCGCCGCCCAAGTTTCCCGAGATGACTGCACCCGCGTCTTTTGGTACTCCACAGCCGTGCCCGCTTACTCCGTCAGTGTGCGCCTCCAAGCTGAACGCAAATACGACATGGCGAAATGTCGAACAGCACATGGCTTACCTATGCGTCCATCGTGCCGTCGCCTGGTTGTCTAGGCGACTCTTTGAAGATGGCCTCACCGTGCTGAACACCAAGGAGATACGTAGTTGCAAAGTCGCCAAGCAGGTCATCCGAGACGTGCGTCGAGGACTTCAAGGCATGTTGGTGTTCATTCTGTGCCTACGGCCCACGCTGTCTTGCCTTGGAAGGTTCCCTGCGAGTACACGCAAGACATCAAGATGAGCGTCGCCGTGAACATCGTGATACGAGAATTGCATGCACATCAAACTCAAAGCAGTGGCGAAAAATCGATCGCGTCCCTACAGCGAACACGACGACACGACAAACGAGAAAAGCACTCCTTACAGGCAGAGAATCGATAGAACGTCCGACAATCATCATATAGTACAAGTCCTCTCTCATCATGCTTCACTTTCACATACTCATACACATCCACCGCCCGCCAAGAAAAAAACATGTCGCCTCTGAAACCAAATAGCAATCACAGCCTTGTACTCAAACGACTCCGACTTCTCAGTGACTGTAGTTCCTTGTTTCCGACTAAACTGGACGAGAACGAAGTGTACTACGCGCGTCAACATCATCTGCAGACCAATCAAAAACAAAAATTGACCGCATTCGCCTCTAAGTCTTCTCACTTTTCGTCGACAATATACGAGTGCTAACGGTAACGGAAAACCGGTATCTTAGTACATGAAACACCAGTGTGTCCAGCGAAGAGAGACTGACGCACGACATCAATATCAGAGGTCGCCGTTTTATTCTTCGTACTTTCCACTTTGTATGTGTCAATATGCGAGCGAGTGACTGAGAATCTAGAAGTTCTTGTAACGTCGATTCAATGCTGTTTATTCAAAACTGTCTTTCTCATGAGAAAAAGAATGGACACGCCAGCTACAAGAACCGAGCCCGCGGCTACAATTGCCAGCGCAGCTGTATCGGTTGTTGGATGCTGGAACATAGTTGAAATCTTCGGAGCCACTCGTTGCACATAAAACAGCTCAGCCTTAGCTCGAGATCGGCGCAGCGCGGACATTGTGCGAATTTCGTGCTTCAGTTTGTCGCGTTCCCACTCGCAATTTGCAACCGCAAGCGACTCCCAGTCTTCATGCAGTGGGCCAAAAAGTTGAAGCGACGCTTTCTTGTTTGATTTAAGGTCCGGCGCCGTCGAAGTAGAATCTACTCTGTGAGGATCTTCCTCAGGCTCCTCTGGCAGCAGCGAGCTCAGGAAATTTAGACGCCCTAGCGTAAAGCAATCAGGGGACAACACGGAATAGGTGTATTCGAACGCCACACTCTTTGTGTACCGCTCATATCCCTCCGAATCGGGAAGCGCCAGAATTGACAGGTCTAGATCGAGAAACAGTGACCCCACGAGGTCTTTATCTGCAAGTAATCGGTCGTGCTTATGTCCCGCTGTCTCCCGGATCCACCTTGCTACACGCCTGACAGATTTGTCTTCCAGCAGTTGCGCGTTTCTCTGAAATTGCACTTTCTGGACGTCGGCGTAGAAATCAGACTCGAATATTCGCGCCGAAACCTCCTCGTTGTCTTGCCGCGCTGGGTCGTAAACCAGGTCGTGAAAAAAAACCGCAAGCTGCAGGTCCCGCAAATCTTGGGATGTGAGCAAGATCCCCCCTTTCAGACGGGCTGTTTCGTCTTCTAATTTTCGCAAGAGAAACGCAAGATGCTCGAGCGTATGGTACCTGCGGTGCACTTCGCAATAGCGGTCTTCGATCACCTGCCACCAGTACCGCACCTGGTCGGGATTCAGCCGGAGCGTATCCTGTGCCAAAGTATCGTACCTACTCGTATATAGTAAATGCAAGTCTTGCATCGCAAATTTTTGTCTGAAGGCAAATCAACATTACAAGTTTTATTTTTCATGCTGAGGAAATTTGTAATGCATTTATACGAGTACGATACTTTTGCAGTTCATAGAGCGTTACTTCGGACAATTCGCGCCACGACCGCTCGACGTAACCCGCGGAGGCAGCAGATATGTGTTCCTGCGGCGGCACGCCAAAGGCTCGAGAAAGAAGTACTTCATTGTTGTTGGGCATTTTTACGTTTAGGCCTTGGAGGGGGGAAAGCTGTTTCGCAGACATGTAACACACTGTGGCTGTCCTGCGCGATGCGCTCGCTATGCCTATGTCGCTCTTCTTCGTCCGTGATTGTACTTTGCCATTTGCATTGATTTTCAAATCTGATCAGTAATAAACTCAATGAAACTAGAAGAGGTCGCGGTCGGCCGCCTACAATCACAGCAATGTTGATCAAAATTTGACGTTTAAGATCAACAGAAGACCTGACGCCAGAGAAGCAGGAAAGCTTGTATCATTGCGCTTTGTTTATAGCAAGAGGAGGCCTGACTGTCTTTGATCATTCATAGCGAAACAAAAAGGATAAGAGCGAACAAAGCGTGAAGTGATTAAAGCGACCGACTTGTTCACTGAAGCAATGTGACTTTGCTGAATGCTCCTATACCGATCGGAAGATGTCAATCTAGTCCACCAGTTCAGAAATTGTGTGGCCGCTAACACCATTTTGTCGATCTCGTATTTACTGTACCTTGTTCTTCAATTGCCCAGTATATTCCGATTGATTCCGCTTTACTAGTATCTGCCGCAAGCATGACTATGACAACATGTTTTTTTGCGTGAAGCCATCTTGTCGAACATCTCCTGCTCCCAGCCAAGGTCTTTATGCAGTCGAGTCAGTTCCAAGTACAACTCGCGACTCCACTATAATATGCTTGGCGTGAAGATGAAGCTTTTGCGATTTGGTCGCGGCGTTGCAGTTGTCTTTTCAAGTCGTGCTTACCTGCATTCCCATTCGCTCCGTTTTTTTTTTTTATTTCATATATAATATTATTGTGGTAGTGGTTGTTGTTCTGTTATATTTCATTCTGCACACAAGAGGCATCGCAAAAAAATCATACAGGAAGGAGAATGTGGGCGAAGGCAATAGAAAAGAAGCGGACAAAGATAGTATCAAAAAAGGCCGGCAGTATATATCAACAATGGACGTGGAAGCTCAACAACAAAAAACAGATCTCGGCAGTGAATGCCAGCGGCCGTGGCCAATTCTTCGCCCTCATGTGGTTTTACACAGAATTCATTTTATCTACATCGATCCATCTACATAAATCGCACTCGACATCTTTATGCTGATTATACCCACTACCTTCACTAGACCTAACTACACGAAAACGCACGAAAAGTGCAATTGCTATTAAACGCTCTAGTTTGCAAGAAGTTCTGCGCGGCTTGATCGACCATATGGAGCCGCAACGTAGTCCTCGCGCGAAAAGAATTACGTCACCAGTACTATTCCCGAAATGGCAGGACTTTCCCGTCGCGCTCAACGAAGCGCCAACGTCGCATGTAGTACACAAAGACGTCGCTAAGCGACTGTCTTTTCAGGTGGTCTTCGGAATAGGGAGGCAACTTCGGCTGGTACGCACTCGCCTGCTGTACGATTTCCATCGCCCAGTCCGGGTTCCCGATGGAGGCGCGAGCGGACCCGAGCAAATCCGCTCCTTGCTGCAGACCCAGCAAGCAGTCGTCGTGCGTCCAGATTCGGCCCGTCGTGATCACCGGCGGCAGGTCCTTTATTCGCGAGGTGAAGTGCTCGGTCAGCGTTTTGCTGGAATTCGTCTCCTGTGAGGAGGTTTGGCGAATGTCCCAGCAGGAGAGATGAATGAAGTCCACCTGCAGGTCCCGCAGCTGCTTCGTCAGCTCGATGCTGTCTTCCAGCAAGACCCCACAATTCCTCTCCGGCGAGATGCGGACGCCGATCAGAAAGGGGCGGAAGTCGGCCGCGCCCGGTGGCGGTAAAATCCGCCGGATCGCGGCAATGATTTCGAACAGAAAGCGAAACCGGTTCTGCCGCGTGCCGCCGAACCCGTCCGTTCGAAAATTGGTTTCCGCCCCCAGGAACTGGTTGATCAGATACCCGTGCGCCCCGTGCAGCTCGACGCCGTCGAATCCTGCATCAAAGACCCGCCGGGTCGCGGTCGCGAAGGCGTCGATTACGTCCCAGACCTCCGATTCCGTGAACTCCCGGGAGAGCCCCGTTTCCGACAGGTGCGTGCCTACCTGCAGCGGTCCCGAGGGGCTCTTCGGGACCTCGCCGGTCAGGTGCTGCGGCGCCTGGAGCCCGGCGTGAAATATCTGAACCAGGGACAGCGCGCCGTGTTTGCGCAGCTCCGTGGCAAGAAACCCCAGGCCCAGCAGGTGCTTGTCGTCGAACACGCCGAGCTCGCCCGGAAAGCCTTGCCCGTCCCGCGTCACGTGCGCACACGCCGTGGTGACGATGCCAAACCCGCCCTGCGCTCGCCGGACCAGAAAATCAACTTCCTCCTTTGACAGCGTGCCGTCCGGAAACGACTGCCGGTTGGTCATGGCCGCGAGAACGGTCCGGTTGCGGGCGACCAACCCCGTCCGCGGAAATGTGAATGCGGCGGCCACATCGCGCGCCACGGGAAGAAGGCCTGCAGCCCGGGATGTGGAAGAAGAACGAACCATGTTTTTGCTTGCGCGCGAAAAGTTGTAGACTGCTTGGTTGCGGTTGCGACAAAAACTACTCTATCAGTTTCGAAGAAGAACAACTCAGCAAATAGGTGTACGTTAGAATAAAAAGGAAAGGGAAATTTCGCAAATAATGGGTCTCTCTAAGTATATGTGAATGGCTACCACATAATGTTGGGTTCTGCGGACTTTGATTGGTTCTGCCACGGGTAGACTACTTCGTAGTCTTAGAAGTGCATTTCTTTGTATTAACTCGCTAGTTGTAGTCCGAAAATTCACACAAAGCTGGTCCATTTCCAGATGTCAGGGTACGCGGTCGTCTCTGGCCTGCTCGTAGTCATGATCAGCACACATTCCTTCTACTTTGTTATGTTTGCAGTTGGACGCGTTTTTCCCCACGTATGATCTCTACCGAGAAGCTGCTAGCACCGGAAGAACATGTCCGAATAAAGCAACAGGTTTATTTGAACAGCTCTAAAGCTAAATTACCGACGAATTTCCGCTTTTGAAGAACACAAAACTAAATGATGCGATGGAGTGTGAATGTCCTCAACCTCATGACTGCCCTGAGTCACACACTTTTTTTTGCTGCAACGCAGCGGACGTTGCGTCAGAAACTACGAGATAAGTCAACAATTAGAGTGCCGGATAGACAAGAAACAATCACACTTGTATATTCCTCGATTATTTCTTTTGATTTTGCTTATTTCTATTAGTACTTTCTGTTTCTGCTCGTTAGATTTTCATCGTTCTCGAGAGTTCTATGGGTAGTACATTTGTGTTCGTCTAAGTACACTAAGTGTAGCAAAAAAAGTTCAATAATAAGGAGCTGTATGTATGTCTTGTGCGTTAGCAATGATTTCTATCCAAAAAAATCTCGAAACTACATAAACTGATGGGCAAGAACAGGAGGCGAGAACGTCCTCGGCCAACTGTGTGGTCCATGAGAAATGAAAAGTGAAAAGTACAAGTATGAGCACAAAGGACTGAAAATGGTCATAGAGCTACAGCGAAACACCACGCATAGCTAAAAGTATGTCAGTCGTCGTGTGTGCCCTCTTTATTCCCAATAAAATTCTCGACTTGCTAATGGTAATGCTATGAAAGTAGAAGATTCGTTCTTGTACGTACAAATTTTTTATATGTATATCGGCAGTGTTCCTATGTGTTCATCACGACACGACCTCACCATTTTCTATGTGCGAACTTGATGAAAAGTTCTCGAAAGAACCCGACGAAATTCCGTCCATGGGTTCTTGTAGTGTACCGAGTCTTCGTGATGTTGATCGTAGTGGCGGTTGTAGAAGCACACTTTAGTTCAGCATGCGTTACACTTTGTGTGTAGAGATACAGAGTAAAAGATGGCGATAAAGCATCAGTACAGAAAAAGAAGGCTAGAGACACTTGCTATCGATCTGCCTAGGCGAGTACAAAGCGGCGAAAGTGATTTCCGTCGACGTAGCCCACGAGGTACATGCCGTTCCGTTGCAGTGCATCCTGGAGCTCTTTCCATCCAGCGAAGCGCTGGTACACTTCACTTTTCCACGAGTTCAACTGTTGACGGATAGCTACCTGTTGTTCTCTGTTAAACTGCCTACGCAGGTCCTGCGCCAGCGCTATGCCGCGACCGTTGGCGTAGCGCCACTTCGCCATGGCCTCGCGCACCAGGCTCTGTTCGACACACACAGTCCGCTTCCCTTGCAGAAGGCGGTGGTCTGCTGCAAAAACAGACGCCAAGTCGGTGGCATCGTTGCCGTCCATGAGGAGCGCGATCCAGCGAGGCAGTTCCAGCTCTTCCCTGGACAGAGGAACGGCCGAGTCAGGCATTTGGATGTAGCTCAGGTACTGCTTCAGCATCAGGGTGAACAGATCCTGGCTTGCGTCCGCCCCCAATGTTGGTGCGAACCGCTGGCGGTGAATCTGGAATGTCGACATCTGGTCTCCCTTCCCGATCATTACGCGGAACCGCGCTTCGCACAGAACCAAGGCTGCCAACTTCCGCAGCAGTGAGCCTTGCCCGGTTGATGCCAGGTTTTGTTCTACTTCGGGGAAGTGCCTTCCGAAAGCGAGCAGCAAAGCTTCCATGCCCTCCCACACCTGTTGAAACAACTCTGGCGGCTTTCCCGCTTCGTTATGATTTCTGTTGAGGACGAAGGCATTATACTGCTGCTCGAATTGTTCCAGCCAATCCTGCACTTGGTCCTCGTCTTCCTCCTTGGTCGTGAGAGGTGGAAACAGGTCCCAAAGTAAACTTGCAGCGTCTGGCAAGACGATTTTGTCAACAACCTCATCACTCGTCCAATCCTTTATTCCCACCGCCTTATCGAGCTTATCCCACGGTTGCCCGTTCGCCAGCGCCTTCGCGACGCTATCCCGTGCCGTCTTCATGTCCCGCGAGACCCGGTTGTGCAGCTCTCCGACGTCTTCAAATCCCTTCTGAAGGGCATGCAACTCTTCGGGCTGCAGATGTCCCGCTTGGACGGAGTCGTATTCGAGCAATGGGACGTGGATGTTGTGACCGTGGTCCTGGTCAAACTGATCGATGTTGTTCTGATAGCTGACATTGATCTGGAGGAGCATCCTTTCCACCCTTTCCGCGACTTCTAGCTGCATTTCACCATCTTCATCATCCGCACCCCCGTGAAGATGTGCGGGATGATCAAGAACCTCGCGGAGTTTCTGACCAAGGTTCGCCTCATTTCCCAAGCACAGCTCGCGAATTTTGCTGGCGAAGTGCCTGCGCGGGTTGCCCGGGAGTTTCAACTTCCCCTCGTAGTTCCTGTCAGTGTTGGAGGACGCAAGCAGCGCATTCATGCCGCACGTATTGTTTTCAGAATCGGCGTCAAGCCAGTGCCAGCGAATCGCACGGCCGGTGCCGTCCAACGGATTACTGATGGCCTCGTCTTCAGTTTCGTTTCCGCACTCCCCCTCGGTCTTCAAATCGCTGCCCTCACGAGTGTTCAGGAACTGCTCGAAATCGGCTTTCAGTGCGACGAGCGCAGCGGTTTTATTTTCGTCGGCAGTACTACTGTCGTTCGGCGAAACTGGCCCTGGTGAAGAAGGTCCAGACGGGCCGTGATGATCTGCGTCCGGGTCATCGTGGTATGCATTGCAAAAGTATCGCACTACCTAGCAAGCTAGTATAAATCGCATTTTCTCTGGAATGTCAATTATTTTTTCATTTGTATAAATATATGCTGAATATTATATGACACTCACGAACAAGAAACCAGATTCGTCGTGCAAGTCTGGTATGTGTACGAGTATGGTACAACAACTTTTGCAATTCATATGTCGTGATCGTCAGCCATACTGCCTCCTTCCGACAGCTGCGGGGGAGACTGAACAAGCTGCACTCGGAAGTGCAGATACGCCACTGGTGGTCCTTCCCGGTGTCGATCTTGCTCGTCCACACGACCGTCCTCGGGCAGCTCGGCTGGGGCTGCTTGCAGCATGGCCTGACTATATTCGTACCGGAACGGAATCCGCGAGATCTCGAAATCCGCGTCGCCCCCGTCCACGCGATGGCTCTGGTGAAGGAAAACTAATTGCTGTCGGGAAGCGCCTTGCCATTGAGACTGCCAGTCTTTCAAGTATTCTGCGTAGTCGTTGTCCATTTGTTCGTTTTGCGCGATGTAGCCGTCAACGAAAGTCCCAGATGCCGCAGCAAACCACCTCTGCAACTCAGGCTCCGATTGCATCACCTCGGTTTCCTGGCCGTCCAGGACCCGAACCCGATCCTCGCCTTCATTATCGGATGCGAGACTTGCTTTCTCTGGTCCAGTCCCGTCTTGTTGCAGTACGACCCGGTACTCCAGCTGTAGTTCCTGGTTGGCCTGCTCGTTCAAGAATCGAAACAACGGAGACCACACATCGCCTGGCGCAAGGCGCTCTCGGTGTGTCACCATATCATTCCAAAGTAATTGCTCCAAAATGGCATCCAGCTGTGCCCATGCGCTCGCGGTTTCGTATTCACCTTCAGTGGAATCCTGCGGCGCTGCCGCATTTCCCGGGCTATTGTCGTCATAGTCCGCCACAGCAGGAGGCATCATACCCACATCTCCAGTATCGATTCCCGCGTGGGGGTGGGGCACAGACGACCCAGCACCACTACCAGCAGAATCACTATGTCTATGCAGCTGCTCTCCGCCACTTTGGCCGTTGGAACGCTGCATCGACATCTGCTGGCCGTGCTCGATGGCCCCCCCAGTGCTCGTTGGATCTGCTTGCTCGCGGCCATCCTGATGCAGCTCAGAAAAAGCGCACGTTTCTCTACTTCCCGGCGGATCTTGTTCGCCTAAGTGCGCAATCTTTTCCTTGTGTTTCATAGGCTGAGTATCAGCACTGATCGACAGCGCCTGCATATTAGTGTCCAAAGCCTCCAAAGACAAAGTCGCGTCGCGCTCGGCGCCTCCTTCTGCATCCGGATGAAGACCCGCTGCGAATTCATTGCCCTGGTCTCCGTGGTCAACATATAATCTGGCTGAACCATCAAAATGCTGCTCATCGTCGTTGCTATGTCGGCCTGAACCATCCGAATAAGCATCGCTGTCGGCAGCCTCAGCTTCAGCCTCAGCTTGAGCATCGTCGTTGCTATGTCGGCCTGAACCATCCGAATAAGCATCGCTGTCGGCTTCAGCTTCAGCTTCAGCTTTAGCATCGTCGTTGCTGTGTCGGCCTGAACCATTCGAATACTGCCCTGACTCCGCGTCGCTCTCATTGTCTGATTCCACATCCGCAGTTGCAGAAGGCGGCAGTGGAGTACGAGTAGTGATCTTTTCTTCAATAATATCTGTTACAAAGGTATATTCCAAAACTCTGCTCGTGCTCATCGCTATTCCGCCCGCTTCTTGTCCAAGAACGGATACCAAGACGATACGAAGTTCGTCTAATGGTAATGTCGTCAAATTTTCTTTTAGGTTGCGAAGTTTACTGATGACATCATTCTGCTGGTCGTTGCGAAGCTGCGAGGCGATGGCGTGATATGACGCGGAAGTTGTGCTGTGATCATGTGACGGCGGGGCACTCGGGTCGTCCACCACGTCCACCATGCCAGTCAGTGTGGCTTCCGACAGCCCAGCAAATTTCCCTTCATGGCGACGTATGCACTGCAAAAATATCGCATTAGTTTTGGAATCAGAATTTCTCTCTCTCTTTAATGCTGACCCTGACTGAGACTGAAATAGATACCTTTGCGACGATACTTAGTTATCACGACGCTGCTATCGAAAGAAAAAGTGTTGACGTTACGGCTTTAAGTTTTTTGGAAAAAAAAAAATTTGGGTGTATGCTGGAGGTATGTTTTTGGTTTGTAAGTCGACCCATTCCCGCGATTAGTTCTCGCGGGACTGCGACGAAGCTCGCTTGGTTTGACCTAGCTAGTGCACAAAATATGACGGCGTAGGACTTCGCCTACCGGGGCCGCCCCCTGCCGTGCCTTCTCCCCGCCGCCGGCTCTTAGATCCGGGCCAGAACGCTCAAACCTCGAACCGTGGCTAAACCTCGGACATGTGGGCCTATGAGCTGGCATCTAGACGGCGTCTCCGCCAGTTCAGCTCTGTGCGGCTTTGCAAGTTTCCATCTCGGACCTTTCGGCGCCTTTTGTCAAATTTTCTCCATGATTGAAGAAAAGGTGGCACTTTCGAGGATGAGGGAAATGGGCAAATTTTGGGTACCAAAATGCCCAAAATTTGCCGGCACCCCAAAAACCGTCAACGCCTCATCTAGACACGACGGCATGGTCGATCGGGTCTTCCAGAAGCCTGCTTTTTTGCATGAAATCGACCAAAAAACCGTCAACGCCTCATCTAGCCAGCACGCTATGCTCGATTTGCCTGCTCAGAAGGTGCGCTCCCGTGCCCGCTCCGGTTTGAGTGAAGGGAAATGGACCATAGCGCGCTGTCTAGATGAGGCGTTGACGGTTTTTGTGGGATCTGCATTTTTTGGCCTCGAAATGGCGTCAAATCATTGATTTTTTCCTCGGATTTTTCCAATTCCCCAAAAAACCGTCAACATCATATAAAGACAGCATGCTATGGCCCATTTTCCCTCACCAAAACAGGTCCATCTCCGGCGTCGATCGTTGCGACGCGTTGGTGGGCGGGTCTTGTCAGCAGTGCCGGGGCCCTGGCCCACCGGCTTACAGCCATCATGGCTCTTGAGCCCGGACAGGGATTGGGCAGCCATTTCAGGGCTTGAAGGGGCGCAATGTTGTGGCGGGGCCTCATAGTTTTCGCACCTTGTGCACTAGCTTCCTCTCCCAGAGTTTTACCACTTTAGAGCCCCGCAGGGGCAAAGAGGGAGGCTGCGCGGCGGCGAGAAAAAAAAAAATTAAAATGATGGTGCTCAGTACCCACAAAAAATCTTTTTTCCAAAAAACTGCAAACCGTAACGTCAACACTTTTTCTTATGATAGCTGTATTTCCAGTGCCATTGCGTTTTTCGACAAAAATATATATAGTATTACACGATACTTTTTCACAAGATACCAAGGGTCGACAAGTACTCTCTCGGGAGTATGAAAAGGGTCCTCAGAAGTCGCAGTCGGTTTTCATCTTCACTTCTTGAGCGAGCATCTGCTGGCGTCGTCTGATTCTGGTCTTGTTCGTCGTGGCCCGCCTGTGTATCTTCATGGTGGGCCACAGATGTACTTGCTAATGGTAGTTTCATCCGCCGATAGTACTGTTCCAATGTTACAGCGGCTAGGTCAATTCTTTCTGTGTGGTCGTTCGCTCCTTCAGCTTCTGTTCTACTTTGGAAGATGACCCGGCTCCAAGCAAATTTGCTCGGATAGTTGCAGAGCTTCCGTGCCCATGCGATCCGAACAGCAAATGCCCACCAGACTTCATTATCATCGCAAAGAGTGCCAATACGCTGATCCTGATGCATTCTATTGCTATTACTATTCAACCTCAAGTAGTAAGGTGCGACACCGTCTTGCCCCAGTGAGTCTCCAGATAGTCGCGAGGGTTGAAAACGTTGGAAGGCTGTCTTCAGCATCGTTTTCAGTTGGGCTAGCGGTCTACCACCGCGGCCCGCATCATCCTCTGGCGCCAATAATCCGTCGAGAAAAGCCGACTTTAGATGTCGCAGCTTTGGTAGGTTCTTCGTAACGGCGTTGCGCTGTAGTGCAAACGCCAGATCCTTCATGTTCGCCTGACCTCGGAAGTATTCCTCCTGTAGCCTTGGCTGAAGATGCTCCTCGAACTCGTCCCAGAGTGTCTTCACATCCGCTGACATCGTCACTTCTAAAACTTTTTCTTCAAACTCGTTGACGAAGTCGTTTTGGTACCTCGCGCGAAACGCCGTCATGCTTGCAGAATCGTTTGCCTGGATATTTAGCACGCCGCACCACAACTCCTCTGTAGCGAGACGACGCAGTTCTTCCATCGTCACTTCCAGAGCAGTATCATCCACGTGCCCGCCGCCCGTTCGCAAGGCTAACGGGTGCGCTCCACGGACCTTGGTGGCCCACGCGCTCTTGCTTGCGGCGGCTCGTGCATAGACATCGTGCGCCCGTTGGACGGGACTTGCAGCAACGCCTGCCTCAGCATCACAGCTTGCCGGTGTATCAGCCACAGCAAAAAAATTCGCTGCGTCCCCGTCTGCTATCGCGTCGGCATCGATGATGTTCTCGAGAACAGCTTCTAAGACGACGCGCAACGGCTGCGGTAAAGCAGCGGACAAGTCGCTGCTTGCCGCAACATTCCAAGCCTCTTTCCACCTTTTCAAAGCGTCTCCAAATATCTCGGAAAACTGCTCGTCATGCGATAAGGCCGTCAATACTAGAGGGCTGTCATCCGGAAGGTCCTTCGCAATGACGTTGCTCCATAGCGAACGAGCCTCCGGGAATAACTGCACCGAGGCGGGAAGCTCTTGCACGGAGGTATCTTCTTCGAGAAGCACAAGCGGTTCATACGTCACTTTAAATTCGTACTCATGCATCTCGTCCTGTTCTGTATCTGTTTCTGTTAGCGTGGCGATGATATTCATGGTTTTCGTTCGAGGAGCATCGCGTGGTTGGGCTTCTCCTTGGTCGCCCTGCAACTCTTCTCCTGTCTGCGTGGCCTCCGGCTCCCGGCGCCGGTGCTCCTCCAGCTCTTGATCGAACGCCTGTTTCACTCGTGCCACTAGACCCTCATCGAGCTGGAGTTCCGCGAAGCCGTCCGACGGTGCCTCGACGTCAGCAGGGCCAGCTTCGTGGGATTCCTCCGCGTCCGGAAAGCGGTGGCCGTCGATTGCGCCCACGATGTCACCACCGACCGAGCTCGCGCCAGAGGAGATGTGATACACGTTGACGGGTAGAAGTTGCACAACCTGGTGCGCGCCGGCGCCTACACCGTTTCCATGGTGGTCTTGTAGTTCCTGCATCGCGATGTCGTCATTATCTCCAGCATCTGAGAACTCCACTGACGCCTCGACCTCGTCGGTTTGTTGTCCGGCGGGATAAGTGCGCCCAGAAGCGGAAGCTGCGTCGCTGCCAGCAGCGTCTGCTTCCTCGCGTTCGAGCTTCGCTTCCTCCGCTGCCAGTAGCTCGTCCGCCTTGCGCTGCTGCTCGAGCGCACGATTGTAATTGCTCTCCATTTGCTGGGCCCAGCCGGTCTTCCCATTTCGCGCGGTCTCAAACATGGCGATCAACTCTTCCAGCAGACAAAGCGAGAGCTCGGTTGGTATCTCTCTAAAGCTCTCGCGCACACTCTCCGTTGCCTCCCGTGCCGAGCGGCCCGTCGTCTGGAAGAGGAGTGCGTCCGCATGGTCGATAATTTTGTTCCCCCCGACCCCGTCGAGCGCGAAATACGGTTCGAAAAGATCTATCACCTCGTAGAAACGATCGGCAGGCCGCACGTAACCAGGCTCGATGTCGCCAACAAGCCTCTCATGCACAACCCAATACGACGCTAGGTCGTGCAGCGCCAAAGTAATCTGCTGGGCGCGGCCAGAGCGCAACACGAGACGTGCCGTATCGCGAATGTACGTTCGCTCTTCGACGTCAAGAGACTCGCACCGACGAAAGACGTACTGCGATACCGGCAGAAGTGCCGCCTCTTCGGCTGTGATTTTTTCTTTCTCTACGGCTGGCGTTCTCGAGATCGCACGGTTCCCCGCCGTGAAAGCAGGCACACCAAAACCAATCTTTTTCTTTTGAGCAGGAGCACAACTGGACCTATCGACATCCCCGGGGTCGTCCGAACCCGCAGTGCTCACAGCTCTCATTTGTCTGTAGTCCGGATAATCGCACAGAACTGCCTCTGCATAGGGCATGTTGGCACGACTTGCTTCATCGGGGAAAGACTCTCCTGAACGCCGCCGCCGCGCAGTTTCTCTTTCATCTTCTCTACTGAGCGCATCCAAAATAATCGTAGCAAGGTGCTGGGCAACGTCGGGCTCACCTCGTACAACAGCACCGCCAGGCCCCTCGACCGCTCTGCGTCCTGTTGCTCCAGAATAATATTGCAGCTGGCGCAGTGCGTGTGCGTCGCCAGAGATTGCCGCGGCCTTGCCAAGATACTGCTGCCCTGACTCTTTTTCAAAAAAGTTGCTGGGGTACTGGTGGTAGTAGTGGCGAAGCTTTGCCTTCACCTGGGCGTCGCGATCCTCCGGCGCACCGTCGTCCTGGTCTGGAAGCTTCGGGTCTTCCTTCTTCCACTCCTCGTGCAAAACACTCCAAATCAAGCTAGAAAAGAAGGGTCTGGCTTTGTGCTCTTTCTTTATCAAAAACCACCGCGCCAGCGTAAACACTTGGCTTGCAGTCACCCGCTGACCGCCCTTCTTTGCGATCTCCTTCAAGAACTCGAGCAATCTTTTGGAGCGCAGCTGCAGTTTCCAGTTCGTCGTCGAATATTCAAGCAATGCCGTGTTCGCGTATTGCTTCCAATTGAGAACCGCAGCTGACGTCAAATGTGCGAAAGGCAGCCCGGAAGTTGCGTCTTGCAACATACTCGCTGAAGTAGACCCTGCCAGTGCAGAAGTAGGCTGCACAAGAACTGGACGCGGCGTAACGGCTGCTTCAGGCGGTGACGCGGAGGTGATAGCAGCGGCACGGCGCGGCGACAGAAACCCGCTGGGGCGGCTCTGCGTAGGAGGAGAGCCGTCAGCACCGCCTCCGTTCGTGCTTGGAGGTTCTTGCATGTTCAGCTCGGCGCTGGTCTCGTCCAACCACTCGCGCAGCAGCTCTCGTTGCCGCTTCTGGACCTCCACGCTTATGGCACTTAGCGCACGCCGTTGCGCAAGTTGGACCTCGTCGACGCGTTGCTGATGCTCGTGCAGAAAGTGGCGCTTCAAGTAGCTTGAGATCGTAGTTACGTCGTGCGTCAGGTTGTCGAGGTCTGTGCCTTGGTCGACATGCTGCGGGGGCATCGTTGCTTGGAAGAAGTCCGCAACCAACTTGAGAGGGGTGGGCACGTCGTAAAAATCGAAGAGCAGGCGCTGCTGGAGCTCGGGGTACTCATCGCCCTTTGCCACCAGGGCCGTGGCGGCATCGGAAGCGGCCGCCGCCACGTCTCCTTGGTGAGTGGGGTGCGAACCATAGGGCCCGGCCTCCTCGTTTCGCAGGATTAACAAATCCCGATCAGCCAGGTACAATGCGTAAAAAGTATGCTCCAACTGGTCAACTAACTCCGCATCCTTATCCGCCTGCGATCGTGTAGTTTGCGGCGGTTCTACGCCCACTTGTTGCTGTTGCTCCGCTGGTGCTCTGTTTCTGTGCAAGTTCGCGTGCGCAACGAGCTCCTCCCAGAATCTGTGGCTGTCCCGCGTCCCGAAGACTCCTGCATCTGCATCGCGCAGAGAATGCAGTGCACGGGGTCGCTTCGCACGCCAGGTCTCTTCTGATATGTAGCCTGCTTGCCGAGCGTGGGCGAGAAGCTCGTTTTGTAAGTTCACCACCTCACGGAACGCTTTCTCCATTTTGCCACCCAGCCCGAAGAGCTCCTGCATGGTATGACTCCACACCCTGACTGCCGCACCCGCTGCCGCAGAATTACTGCTTGCCCCGCCTGCGGTTGCACCGACAACATCGTATCCCGATTGTGACAGCTGCCCAGCCCTGCGGTGATAACTGCGCGCCTGCGAAGGTCCTGCCGCAGAGCTGCCAGAGGAGCTCGAAGGAGTTGTCGATGCTGCCATTACTAACTCGACGCATGATTTTTTTTCCCAGTCGGTGGTCGATGACAATGTCCTCTTTTCCACGGCCAAGTGGATCAAGCAGGTGATCGCAGCTTTTCCTGCTTGCAACGCGTCAACCGTGAGGACGTTGCGCGCGTCGGAGTGCTGTAGACCATCGCCAAGCCTGGATCCGTGGTCGCTCCCGCGATTCGTAATCCCGTACGGAAAAGCGTTTAGCCGGGCATCCAACATTTTCTTCAACACATCACCGGAAACTTTGCAAGGGTTGAAGCGCCCGGTCTCCAGGCCTTGCGCCAAATGCGCCCAGAGCCGAAGCGCAGGGAAAATCAAGGAGGGGCCATTCAACGCTGCGAAGAGCTGCATCCGCCAGTTCTTGGCGTTGCTGGCGAACGAACCAAACAACGTGCGAAACACCTTCAGGGGCGCTACTTCGTCACCAGTAGAATCGCGGCCGCGCGTGCCTCTACTTTTGCTCGCCTCGAGACGTGTGCGGATCACCTGCTCGATCTCGCCGCTTTGCGCCAATCGGATGTTTTCCCCCTCCGCATCGTTAGCCCAGGCGTCAAAAACTTCGCTTTCCACTTGTAGCTTGCTGTGCAGCCAGCGGTGCAACATGCTGGGAGGCCCTTGGAACTGCAGGATATCGTCTGCCGCGGCTTGAAACGACGCTAACGAGTCCGCGCACGCGTCCGGGCAATCCGGAATCACGGGGCGCACAACCTGACGCAACGCCTCGCGCTCCCAGAACCGGCGGTGCTTGGGCGCAGAAAAGTCATTGAAGTACGGCAGATAGTCGGCTACCGCGCTCTTGCGCACCTCGGGAACGTTGGTTGCGAGATCTGGATCTCCGTAGACAGAGGCAATCTTGTCGTCTCTCGGGTTGTCGTTCCACGTCGGGCCGATGGCTTCTTTCGCGACATTGTCCCTCTGCACCACCCGACGTACATCAACAGGCGTTCCAAGTTTATCTGCCGCGTTTTGGAAGACTGCAGCGATCTCAAAAGATGTCAGGTCCACTCCGTCCATGCTCCGTAGCCGTTCCCGCAAGAATCGCACGTCCGAAATCAGGTCCTCGGTGGCAGCAGATAGCCAAGAAAGAGCCGCGCCGTCGCTGCTTGAGCTGGCGCCACCAGCTGGTGCTGGTGCACCTGCTGCATTTGCGGAAGCAGTATGAACTGCAAAAGTTGTATCGTGCCAGTAGTAGTAGTTGTAATTGAAATACAATAAATTAGCTCAGCGTGGCAAATGGAATTTGTCATGCTGTTTTGCGTTGGGAACGGGATGGAGGTTGGTAATGCATGACTGCGATTTGCACCACGAGTACGATACTTTTCTTGCACAGGATAGCCAGTGGCTGATGTACTTCTTCTCGGTCCATACACGACGTCTGTCAGTACGCGACTGGCGTGCACTGCGGCCAGCAGCAGCTGGCGCTCCGTCGAGCCCACGTCGCGCCGGGGGCCCCACCAGTTATCCAGGAAAAAACACCCATCCCCATCCATTTTTTCATCATCGATCAATCGGCGGTAGTGCTCTTTGCCGACCGGGTAACCCAACGCCTGGCATGCATATTGACGAGCCCCGTTGTGGGACTATCGAGCCCATCCACTTTTTGCATGACAAGCACTGGAGCTGGACTTTTTGCATGTTTTGCATGACAAACTGGATGGGGCTGGGTCTTTTTTGTGGATACCAGTACAAACGAGAATACGTCTGATCGGGCCCGGGTATGACGCTTTCTGGCCGAGTGCGGTCTTCCTCGGGCGTCACGTTCTCTTTCTCGGCAGACTCGCGTGCGTCTTGTGGTAAGTTTCGGCGCGCTCGTGGCGAGTGACGTTTCCACATCTCGTTAACCTTATCGAACTCTCCGTCATTGTCCGCCAACACGTCTCCTGTGCGGCCTTCCTCCTTCAATGCGTCCAGGTCCGCGATCTTCGTTCCTTCTCCGCCCTCCGCTTGTGCGAAGTCGAATTTACGACCGTAGACAAATACGTTGTTGTTGGTGCCAATCATTTTGTAGTTGTCTGGTGGCAGACCAGTTTCCCCGTGGCCTCCGCCGATCCGCTTGCCGCACACTCCACACGCCCCCTGGTCCCTGCCCAGCCCGCCACAGGCGGACACGCGCTGAATTCGTCTGCAGAAAATGTGGCGAAACATCGACGTAGTCCGTCTTGAGGTGTCGGCTTCTAGCTTGCTGGTGTACACTGAGTACATGATCTCGGCAAGATCCTCGGAGCCGGACATCCCGGGAAGCCACAGGCTATCGTAGTTCAGAAGCTTTTGTGGGCTCAATGGGTGCAGCAGCGACACCGCGTAGTCGGCAGTTGCGGGACCTAACTCCTCCTTCGGTGGAAGCATCTGAAGCATCGCCAAACGCAGCAGGAACGTGATTGCCGTCAGTCGCTCGTCGCTTCCGTAGTCATCATCGTCTTGTTGTTGAACCGCAGTACCTGCGGCCCCTTGCGCGTTGCCGTCTTGTACGCCGGCACCTCCATCGACGACGGATGTTGCAGAGTCATGATCCTGTGAAAATGTAATTTGGCGCTGAGCCCAGCCTCGACAGTACTTCAGAACGAGGCGCAGTTGCTGCAAACCAGACGCGGAGGCATCCGCATCAAGCTCTTCTCTGGCGGCAGCGTCTCCAACGATGTCCCACAGTGTGTTCTATGCATTGCAAATATGTTTGGTTCTGGAACAAGAGAGCAAGTAAAGTTTGTCATGCTTGTCTCACATGACTCTTAAATCTGTAATGCACGACCAGGAAAAACAAAGGCTCTTCCCTGTCATGCAAGTATGCAGTTTGTTATGCGGAATGCGAAACACACAGGAGCTTAAAAACTCGTCATGCGTGGCTGCATATTGCAACGCGCCCACGATTCACAAACTAGCATCACAAGTATCCAGACCCAGGCGTATTTGCATTGGATATGTTCAGCTGCGAGTCAGACAGGTTGTCGTGGAACACATAGCGTTGGACCGCCGCATAGCGGACCGCGCGCCAAAAGGGCTTGCTTGCGCCTTTTGCTTTTAATATAACCGCACCTCCGGTTCGCGTGCCGATCTCCCGCTGGATGGTTTCCAGAATCCAATTCATCCTATCAAACGCGGGGTCCTCGATGGACTCGCTTCCCGAACGCAAGTCCAGCAATTCGTCCCAAACAATGGACATCGCCACGTAAGCTTCTTTTGCGATCAGCGCGTCACGAGCGGCAGCGGAATTCTGCTGTATGGCGGTGTTCGGGGCGTCTGCGTGTGCTACTTGCGCTCCCGAGGAGCCCGCCGGCGTGTTTTGTTCATCCTGTGCAGTGACAACTTTCGCGGCTTCGTAGAAAAGACCACCAAACACATCTGGCGCCACAGGCACACCAGCTGCTTGGTTTTGTTGTTCTCCATCTTCTTGTTCACTGGGCTGCAACTCTGCAACTGCGAGCCACTTGTTCTTCTGCAGTAGGTTCACCAAGAAGCTGAGGTCGGTCTTTTCTCGGACCAGACGCAGAACGCGTGCTTGTAATGCAGGACCGTACCTGGTATTCTGCCAAATTTCCTTAGCCTCCGCTACCGAAAACGTTTCGGCTCGCGTGTCTTGATCTTGTCCGTCCTCCGCAACGAAACGCAGTGCGTTTGCGTTGGAGCCCAGCTTCACTTTGGACAACTCCTCAGCTAGCGCAAGCGACGCTTGGTGCAATACTGCCTGCTCCTTGAGAACGCGGCTTACAACTTGATCTTGCAAGTCGACCGCCTCTTCGCGGGCAAGTTGCCGGAGCGCACCCTGTATTTCCCTCAGGTACTCAGCAAGAACGGTCGCGGAATCGCGCACGCCTGAGTGCGCCTGCTGTATTCGCTTCTGAGCCACATACTCGTGCTCATACGCCTCCGAAACAGCACGGCGCAGAAACCGCTTTTCCTTTGCTTTCTCTTCGTCCGCTTCGAAACATACACATAGAGTCTGCACGAAGTCTTCGAATGGAGACAAGTCGGACTCGGAATTTTCTAGACCCAGAGCCCTCCGCTCCATAAAGGCAGAGGTGGCTCCTGGCGGAGGGGCGGGCACGTGGCCATCGTCACTCTCACTGTCCACATCCTCTTCATCTTCCTGTTCCGAATCGATCTGATGTCGCCGGTGGCATCGTTTTCTTAGCCTTCTTGCAGCGCTTGCCCTCCTCCTTGGCGTCGGACTGGTGTTAGTACAAGTACTGTCAATAGTCATCACGTGCTGGTGGCGCTCTTTTTCGTGTAAACGTTCGAGGAAAATCTTGGCAACCAGCAGACGCGTTAGGGACCCGGTCTCATCCTTCTCTTCGACGATGCTATCAAGGAGCTTCATTACAGCCTCAGGGTCGTCTATCAAATGTCGAAGGAGTCGACGGGATTTCGGACCGAGGGACAGTAGATGACCAAAAAACACTCGCAATGTGCTGCGCGGAAACATTGTCTTCATCATTCGGACTTCTTGCATATGTTCTCTCTTGACACCTCCACTGAGCGCGTTCGTGAAGAACTCCACCACGGCGCTCGGCTCGCCCTCCTCCATATCAATGAGCGCCCCATGCCCATCCTTAGCTCGACATCCAGAAAAAAACACTTAGCCCCATCAATTTCAATTTTCTATTCTGTATGACAAACGCTGGACATGAGTTTGCACTCGTTTTTTTTCATGCATCTTCATGCTTTGCTTTTGCATAAACAAATATATAAAAATTCAAATTGAATGGGGATGCGTATTTTTTTGTTGATACTCGAAGCTCCGTGAAAATGGGCGCCTGGGATCTTTTGTCCCTTATCCCAGTCTTGTCTGGATCAAAAAAGTGCTCTCGCTGCGCTGGATTGGTCAAAATGGAAATCATGAGCCACTCTAACTGTAACCTCTCCTCGTTTTTCTTCTTGTGCCCATCGGCCGCCGCAACATCGGCGTTTGCGATTTGCCGCGGGAGGGCCGCACGGATGCCGGGGAGGAAGGCCCACCGATGAAAGTGCAACCAGAACTCGAATTTCCGCATTGCTTCGTCCTCTAAGGCACCTATCGCCCCCTCACTAGTTGTGGGCTGCGGGGATCCGCTGGCCCGGAGCTGCTGCCCGGCTGCTCGCTCCACGTCAGCTCGGCGGGTGCTGTAGTTACGCCCGTCCAGACTGCGTAAGTCTGTGCGCAGTAGTTGGAATAGGCTTTCCATCCGGGTCACCGATAGTCAGAAAAACACCCACCCCCACCCAGCATGTTCTTGTCATACAGAATCAAAATGAACAATCACAATGAAACCCCTAACAGCTCCTCGTAGAGCCCTGTCATCTTCCGCCAACAAGTGAAACATCAATGGCGACGAGGTGCCCAGGGCCCCTGGAGGTGGGAAATGAGGGTGGCACCTATAGCCGACCATACCAACTGATCGACCAGAAACCAACTGACCATGCAAAATCAAAAAGTGGACCTTCTCCCCTGGAAGTAGCAACTCACGCCACACTACCGCTACCCACTCCGAAGAGCAGGCAAACCGCCGAGCTCTCCCTGATTCCGAGCACATCGGCAGGGAGGTCGCGCGGGGCGCTAGAGGTGACGGTGACTCTCGATGGTGGCACCCTGTAAAATTCAGTCAGAGACCACACAGGACATTCCAAAAGTGGAAACAAAACAATGAACAATGTCATGCACAAAGTGGCCGGGGATGGACGTTTTCTTGCGGATATCACGTGGAAGGTCAAAAGTTCCTCAAAGTGGTAGGGGAGGCCGTCGTACAGTGCCTCTCTTTTAAGCTCGTGCAGCAAAGGGGACGTCTTAGTCTCACGCGGGATATCGGACGCTGTTATAGTGGCCGACGCGATCGACTGAATCGCTGCGAGTGCGGCATCGACGATGTATTTATGGACCGTGTCCAGTGGGTGCAAAACCACCGACGCCCGGTCGACGCTGTGAGAAGCCACGACTTCATGCGCTCGCCGGGCCCGGGCTTTTGATTTTGTGGGTGTGCCAGCCGAATGTTGCTGCGTATTAGAAGCAGGGGGAAGATTCAAGAGGTTTCGCAGTGTTAGTGCGGAGAGTTCATTCCGCCATGCCTTGAGGCGTTCGCGGGAGGCATTTGGAGTTTGCTCCTCGAGGACGCGGTCACCTGCTACGGGATCTTGCCCATGTTGGAGTTGGTGTAGCTGACCTGCTCCACCTTGCTCCCGGCCCATTTTTTTCTGCTGCGCCTTCTCTTCCGGAGACAAGCTGGGATTTTTCCGAAGCTGTACCTGAGCACGTGCGGCCACGGGAAGAAACCCGAGGTAAAAAGCGATTGCACGTAATTCTTCCTGGTACAGACGATAAACGAACACCTGATCTGCGAGGCTCATGACCAACTCCTGCAACGTGACAGTGATAGTGACTCGGGTTGTTACGTTGGGAGCCGGAGCCCCCCGCTCAACAAATTCGTACTCCTGGGCATCGGCGGTGCTGGCCTGGGGAAGATTATTCTTCTTATTCAACGCAAGGGCGTCTTTCTCGAGCAGGCGCCGCAGTTGCACCACGTCTGCAGGCTGCAGGGCTTCATGCACGTCGCGGTCCTCCGCCACAATCATAGTCGTCAGGTCGTCGAGGAATAGGCCTGTCGCGAGCTCCTTGTTGATTTCCATTTCGCCCTTCGCAGTGCCGGTGCCAGAAGTCGTGGGAATAGCATCTGCCTCCTGCCTTACAGCGTAGTGAAACAATCTATGAAGCTTCTCGACGTCAGCACCCGCTCCGCTGGCAGCAACCGAGCGGTCGAAGTGAGCACTAAACCGCTCAAAAATTTCCGCAAAAAACGGAAAAGTGACCTGAACATCCTTCGTGATTGCGTGGAAACTGTGACTTCTCGGGGCGCCCTGGATGCTGCCGTGAAAGTGGCTGCACGCAAAGAACAGGTCTTTACGGTCTTGGTGCCATTTGCTCTCCGCTGCAAGTGCTGAAGGCGCTGCCGCTACTGCGGCCGCGGCCGAGGATGAAGACGTACCTCCGAGAACAAGATCCCCTCCCCCTGGAGCGGAAACTGCAAAAGTCATTTTCAGTGACATTGCTGGATTCGGATGAATCATGGAAATCATGTTTTCAAACAAGTTGCCATTGCGATTGAGATCACCGAGGATCTGCCCGACGCGTTTTGACAACGTGTCGATGAAGTGCATTTCCAGATCTTTGTGAAATGTTGTTGTGATAATCGCGGTGCCGCGCGGACTTCGACCTCCGCCCAGGAATCCTGTGTCGCCGAGCTGGGCACTGGCCGACTTCCGCCTGTCCGTTCGCGACTTCGCGACTTCCACGAGCCAGGATGCTCTTTCTTCCTCTGTCTTGGCGTACCGGTTCGCGACCTGATTGAACACCAACTTCGCAAACTGTTCGCCATCCTCAGAGTTCTTATCCGCGAGGTCGAGCAGGGAGGACAGGAAAAGCTCGTGGGAGCGCGAGAGTGCTTGCTTCTGCGTTACTCTCGCTGCAGCAGTTGCAGTGCTTCCGTGGAATCCTCCGACCCCACGCATGTGCCGCGATTTTCGGGCTGCACTCGCGCCAGATACCGAGGTTTGGCTCATCTGCGCCATTAGCGCTGCTTGCTGACCGGCGTTCTGGAGAAATCCTGTTTCACTCATTTCGACAACTGCGCCGTGTAGGACCTGCTGTAGCAACGACGTGAGCAATTTGGGTTCGCCAGTAGCCAGAATGCTGTCGCGAAGGACGCGAGACATGGTGCGTTTCTGGATCAGAGTCTTGAGGCTGGGCAAGATCTGCCCGTCGGTCACGGTAACGTGTTCGCTCCGAATGGTAGCATCGTCCAGGTGTGCGACTCGCCAGCCGTTTGGCTGCACCACGTAGGGGACTGCGGCGCTGTCTCCAGCGGCCCCCGTCAACTGGATCAGAAACACGATAGAGGTGTCCAGAGGGATGTTTTCACGTCTCCAAGACTGTTCCAAGATCGAAGGCCTCTCGACACGGTCGTCCCCCCGCAGGTGGCCCGTCGCAGGGCCACTCCGAAAAGACGCGGCGGAGCCGCTCACGCGTTGGCTACCGACCACAGAACTTCTTCTTGCCGGGGGCACGTATTGTCTGCTGCTCGGAAGACCATCTGACGCAACGCTGGCTTCGTCGAAAGAAGAAGCACTACGTCCCCGGCCAAAATGCATTTCCTCCGAAGCAGGCGCATCGGCATTCCTCTCTTGGAAAAATCGCTCGAGATCGGCGCCGAGGGTATGGCGCGCGGACTCAATCAGGTGCGCGGTGTCAGGATCGGCTTTAAGCAGAAGCACATGGCGCTTTGATTTCAGAGTGTGCGCTGTGGCTCCTGCTTCGGTAGAACGACCGTGTGCGGTCCTCCCCTCGGGGGCCGCGGCTTGAACTAGTTTACGCAGGTCCTCCGCATGCTTCTCCTGGGAATCCCGCAGAAACACCTGCAAGATGTGCGACAGATCGGCGGCCGCGCGCACCTCTCGGAGGCTTCGCAAGTCGACGCGTAGCTGCTTCAGGCCCGCGAGGCTGCCAACATAATTTGGATTTAGGGCACTGGAGAAAGTGGTGATTTGCACACGCTGCAGATTGATCCGCGTTGGTGCCCCGTTTCCCGCGTCGCTAGCGTCAGACCCTCGACGACCGTGCAAGCGGCCCGTGCTCCCGCTGGTGCCCACGGAAGAACTTGGTGTCGTCGCTTCTGAAGCAGAGGCTGTGTCGCTGGGTTCTTGAGTGAGACCTTTACTAGAAGGGCCGAAGCGCACACTGTGCGTGCTGACCCAGGACGCCGCCGTGTCGTGCTCATCAAGGGGCGCCAGAAGAAAATCCGCCAGAGTGCGTTTGTCTTCCGCTTTCTCGGGGTCGCCAAAGTACGTCCGATACAATGCGAGTTTCAAGCTATTCGGATTGGTCAGTGCAACTCGAGAGTTCCCAGAAGTTGCTGACTGTTCCATCGGCCACCAACGATCGGGGCGGGACGCCTTTAGGCAGTCGTGGTAATTAAGCAGTTCTATCGCTGCATCGGGGTAAACGGTTTCAAAGAGCCGCTTCATCGAGCTATCCGCAGCTGCGCTTTGCACGCGCTGGTCCTGCTGCGCGACCCCCAGTCTACCGCTCTGCGTGGTTAGCTCTTCCATAGCTAGTAACGCCAACGTCTCGTCCTCGGAGAAGTGCACGAACTTCAGAGGCCCGTTCATGAACTTTAAAGGCCCGATCTGTGGCAGTCCCAGCTGACTGAATCTCATCTGTTTGAGAGTGGTGCGAACGTTTTTCTCCTCATTAGAAAGTAGATCCTCGGGGGAGAGTGCGTACTTTTCCATGCGGTTCAGCAGTGGTGTATCTAGCAACTGGGGCTCTGGTTCCAGAATTACCAGCTTCGCCGTGCTTGCCACCTGCACTTTCGCGTGATCATTTCCCAAACCCAGGTTCACGTACTTTTGGCCGGCGAAGACTGTGTAGTACTGGTTGAGTGCGTCATACACCGCTTCGTAAATCTTCGCAGCGTTTACCAACACAACCACTTCGCCAGATTCGAGTCCGTGCTTGACTTTATCAATGCAGCGATTCAGGAACGCAAGAGACCCATCTTCCGGAAAGCTACTCCCAAAGACGAGCGCGACCTCCTTCCCGAGGATGCCCTTCGTCTGCAACACGTTGACCAAGCCCAGACCGCCAGTGCTTCTGCCGCGAGGTAGCAGCAGCGGGTAGCGCACCGGGTTTTTACCGTCAGGGTCGGCCTGCGACAGGTTATCTTTCAGAAGCACGTCGATCGTAAGCGCATCTATGTGCTCTCGTAACCGCTCCTTCCCGCTCTTGGCCTGCGCCGCACCCTCCGCGGCCGCAGCAACTGCACCCCCAGCGGCAGGCTCGATACCGAGGTAGGGGAGTAGCCGCTCCTGTGCCGTTTTCTGCAGTTCAGCCGAGATCCCCCCGAAGTTTCGCTTTACACAATATGCCAGCGCTGCGAGCTTCGCTTCGTGCAGAATTTCAGGCGTGACATTCGACGCACTGTTCGCGCGATGCCATTCGTCCGCCCGCTGGTCCAGCATTTTCAGAAAAGAATAAAAGTCCCGCAGCCCGTACGACGTGCTCACGTCGCGCTCCTCGGGCTCTGCCCCGCCTCGGTGGGCCGCGCCGGCATCGGCACCAGCATCGCTGCCGGCATCCTCATCGTCCTCTGTGTCCTCCCCGTCGCCGACCTGCTCAACCGCGCCGACCACGGCCCGATACCCGTCAACAATGGACAGGATGACTTGCTCGCGCTCGGTGCGCGTACCCGGCTGGTCGTTCGGATCGGTGCGCGAGGCGCCGAAAAGGAGGCTGCCCTCGTGCCGAAAGATGGCCCGGCCGGTGCGAATCATCTCCTCGCGGTTCAGCTCCTCGCGCATGACCAGAATCGCGCGGTTCATCTTGGCCGGATCCAGGTTCCAGTTCGACAGACCCATGAACGCCACCTTGTCGGTGATTTGCTGGCCGAAGTGCCCGTCTGGCGAGATCCCGGTCTCGAGTAGCGGGTGCAGTGCTTTCAAGGGGAGGTGCTGGCTCTCCTCCGCCAGTCCCACCTCGTCCAGCACCACCACGGCGATCTCCTTGCGAAGTTCTGCCCGCGTCAGACGGTCCAGCTCCACCCCTTGCAGTGGCGTCGTGCTCCCGGACGACCCTCGAGCGGCCCCCTCGGGGGCTTGTAGTTGCTTGCTGTCCTTTTCCTCTTTCAAACGACGCTCGTGTGCCCTCCGAACCTCGTTCACCCTTTTCTGAACCAGTTGATGCTGTACCTTGCTGGCCTTTTGGAAAATATCGAGTATCGACTTTGCCGTGGAGTGAGGAGAGCACTGGTTCGTTTGGAAGGCCGTTCGCCCGAAGTCCTCGTCTCGTCGGAACAGCGGGACCGGCGAGGAGCTGCCGATCATCACGTCCTGCACGATCGCTTTGCCCAACGATTTGGAGCTGCCGGGCTTCCCAACGATGAATACCGGGATGCGCAGCTGCGCGCACACAGCGAGCAGCATTACGTTCTCCAACAGCGCTTCGTTGGGCGCAAGGCGGCGCTCCCTCAGGTAATCGGCCAGGTCTGCCTTGAAAACTTCTTTCAGAGCGCCCGACGCGCGCTCGAATTCCTCCCGCTCGCCAGGTTCAAAAATGCTGTTCCTGGCCAGGAACTGGATGCGCTTGCGGACCGGGAGACTGAGGAAATACGCGAAGTACATGCCCAACGGGAGCGCGTCGTTCACCACTTGGCCAGCCTTGGCGAAGCCGCGGTCCGTACCGCGCAACTGAATCACGTTGTTTTCTACTCCTGGTCCCAGCACGGGGGCAGTTGTACCATCAGGTTGCGCGGCTACGCCGACACCAGCATCTGCAGCTGCGTCCACTTGCGGCGGAGGTTGTTGCGGTTCTGCTTGTTCCTCGTCAACATCCATGGCGTCAGGTCGTGGCCCAGCAGCAGCTGCAGTCGATGGCATGCGGGGATGCGCAGACAACGTGCGGAACTGTTCGAAGTACTTGTGACTCAAGTAGGACGTCGGAGACTGCAGTCGCTCAGCAAAGAAAGCCACGATATCCATCAAACGCTCGACATCACGGAGACTCACGGCCCTCAGCTCCGTCCGATTTCCGCCCTCGGCATTGGGATCCTTCCCCCGGATAAACAGGTGCACATTTATCACCTGATTCAAGATCCTGCGGGTCGCTACCTGTTCGACGGCAAATGTGTACAAAATCCGCCGCAGCAAAACCGCTGATTTTCTGTTGTTGGCATGACCGTCTTGCCAGTTGAAACAAAGCTCGCGACGGTCCAGGTCCGGGTACGGAATGTTGACACCGCCAACAGGAATTGTGCCTTGTTGTGCAGTTTCAAGTCCCACTGAAGCTGCGCCAACTTCCGAGTTCTGGCCTGCGGAAGAGGCGCTGGCCGACGGGGAACCTGGTGGAGGCGGTCTCCTGAACTGCAATTGCTCGTGCAAGACGCTGCTCCCTAGCTCCTGGATCTTCGCGGCGACGTGGTCTTCGAAAATCTTGAAATCGTTTCGAAAACAGTTGAACATGTCCGAAAGACTTTGCCGCAGGGTGGCTGGGATGAGACGGATCTTGCTAGGATCACTTTCCATGGTCTCCACCGCGCCCGCCTCGTCATCCGGATGTTCTACCAGCTGCTCCGCCCCTTCGCCGGCAGCAATAGCATCTGCACGCAAAGCGGGACCCTGGTCGTGGTTGACGACGGCGGCAGCATGATTGCCGGCGCCGTCCGCCCCCTCACCAGCTCCTTGGCTCCCAGCAGCTGCGCGTATCACAGAAGACGAAGCCGCTGCCGCTCCCCTCTTTACATAGTACCTTTCATCGCGGAAGTTACGCAGTTCCCTCGCAAGCGCAGCTTTCAAATTGATCTCTGCTTCTTGATCAGCAGGGTCCACCGCCGCGCCGGCTTCTTGTCCTCCACGCTCCTCCGGAACTGCGGCAGCTCCATCGTCTGGTTGCTCTGCCACTGGAGCCGCAGGAGCGTCGCCGACGACATCCTCTGAATCTACCGACGCAAAAACTTCGCGCTCCAGAGCACGGAGTATCTTTTCTCCTTTGTCATACTTTTCCCGTAATGTCTGCACTGAGGCCACCTTATCGCGCCACACTTCCTCAGGCTCCAGCTCTATATGTACGGCTGCTGCAGGACTAGCACGACGACTGGCAACATGAGCGACAGGAACGCTCTGCTCTCCTATGTTGCTTCCCGAAGGCAGAGTCGTGTGGGCGGGTCGCTCATGCAGCATAGCTTGTATGCGCTTTAGCACAATTTGGCGAGCGTAGTCGGCTTCGGTATCTTCCGGGAGAGAACCAAACTCGAAAATGCTGTCACGCAGAGACGGGGGCGTCCGCACGACGCGATATACCAGGTCGCGCATCGGGCGGTCACGGGTAGCAGGACTGTCCTGTGGCAAGTCGTTGCCGTCCACGGCTTCCGCGGCGTGCCGGTACCCCAATCCGGCACGGTGCATCTGTTTTCGCGCCGCCGCCGGTTGCACTCGGTACGGGTTGCAGGCCATCGCGAGCAGCAGGCGAAAAGGGTACGGTGTCCCGGTCAAGCCATGGGGGTCTTCAAACTCAACGCCTTCCAATTCGCTGCGGAGGTCACGGCCATGAAGACGCCCGTTCGTCATCAGTTCCTTTAGTCCCCAGACGACATCTCGGGAAGTATTGGCCTCGTCGAAGAACAGCAAAGTCTGGCGCACGCCTCTTCTCGCGTTGTCTCTTGCCAGTTGCAGTGCTTCCCGCACATAGCCGTTTAGCGCTGCACGATCGACACCCCCATGCACTTTCACAGTTCGCATCAATTTGAGTCCGTCCTCATTCCTTCTTTCCTGGCTTGATGGATTCCAGCTGTTCAGCTGCTGCCTCACTTTTGCGTAGTACTCGAGCAGTGCGGTTTTCCCAATTCCGGTTTCGCCAGATATGAACACGGGTAGTCCAGCGGAAAAGCGCATGTGGATCGCAATGATTTTTTGGCAGACATCCCGCGACAAAACAAATGCAGGGTCGGGATCTTCGAGGTTTTTTGGAATTCCAGCGTTGTGCTCCCACAAAATCTTGCGTAGAAACCCTAACAGCTCGTCGTGCGACGCGTTTTCAATGTGATTCCCCAAGAAAGAACCGGGCGCCCCGGGTTCAATATTTGTCGGAAATAAGAAATTCAAACTCGCCCTGGGGTTCGGTTGTTCGGGTGGGGGCGCGAGCACTTGCAAACTGACAAGGCGCGCAACGGCATCTTCGACATCAAGTTTTAGCCCCTGCTCTGTCTCGTTGAGGTGGCCCTCCATTTGTCCACCTTGTTCAGCTTGCCAGCGAAAAAGAAAATCCGTGACCTGTGCCACATCGGTGCTGTAGTTATAGATTTCGAAAACACCAGCAATGTTAGGTATTAGCAGTGGGGCAGCCTTCTCACACCAGGTGCGTAAGCGTATACGCATCTGCGGGTCGGCATCCGCGGCTCCGCCCTCGCCCGCCGCGGCAACCGCATTTTGCAGGGCAATTGCAGCAGTAGCGTCTTGTTGCTGTTCATGATTCACTTCCCGCTGACCATTCAGTCCCATGTACTGTGCGTTAATCCAATTGAGCAGATCTAACCCTATGGCACCGTGCCCGTGCATCAGTTTCTCCTTTTCCCAGTGTGGTTCACCCGGGGCCGGTCTGCCGCGCACTGGAATAACAATCTGCTCCGATTGCGAAGATTCACCATCACGGATGACTTTGAAATGAAATCCGAAATGAATCAACGACTGGTCCCGCGTAGGCAACAGGTACGGGTGTGCCCGCTCCTCCCACCCGCGGCGGCTGCGGCCAGCTGCGGGAAGGGCGCCTGCTGCTGCGCCGCCGCCCTCAAACTCTTCCACAATTACGCGACTAGGAGTGGCGAAGTCGATTGCGGCCAGTCGGGCCCTCTCCATCGTAAAGCGCTTGAAGCGATGCGCCTGCCGAATGTGTCCGCCTTCATTGCTTGGGTCCGTCCAGGAAATCATATACGGGTCCACCGCTTTTCGCAGATCCCTATCAAGTCGCGCGATGAGCTGCACGAAAGACACCAACACCATCCAGGACGGGTTGTCCTGCTCACTCAGGGCAATGATTCTCCGAAGCGCGTCTACATCCCGCAAGTGTAGGTCATTCCCCGCGATACCGATAGCATCACGTCGTCCCTTTCGCGGTTTCCACCAATCCGGAAGTTTCGTCGCGGACTTGTCATACCAAAATTCTTTGAACGCCTCCTCTCCAGGATCTTCATTGTTCCTGCCACGGTCGGGGAGACGCGCCGCAAACCAGGCCGCTTGGCGCCAAACCTTGTTTGTGTCTGCCTGCCGGTCTTGTGCGGTTTGATTCTCATCGGGATCAGGGGGCGTTTCGCCGCGGATGGCTGCCAGCTGTATGTCCAGCATCATGATCATCTTGACATCGGTATTAGACTTCTTCATGGCCTCGAAATTTTCCACCACAGCCCACGGCGATGGCACATCAAAAACGTGAAGGTGTCTCGCGAACGACAAGCGGTTGTGCATCACCCAACGATTGCTGGACTCGACGTAGAGCCGATCTCTGTCACCGAAACGCCAGACACGGTCGCGAGCATCGGTCCAACGACGCAGAACTACGAGCTTGAAAAGCAGCTCATTGAGAAGCGTGTGCGAGAAGGGAATGCCCGCGCCAATATCCAAATGCAAGGACACGTAGAAGTTTTGATTTTCCAGTTCCGGGCGTGGTTCGTTTCGTCCCACCTTCTTCTTGTCGGCTTTGCCGCTGCCCCCCGCAAGAACTACATGATCTGCGATTTCGTCCAGAACGCGGGCGCAGAGACTGTCTTCCGTAGGGGGAGAGTAGATTGGGATGTTGATTCGCAGCTGTTTCGCATGCACCCGGTCCTTGTCTTCGCGCTGGAGCATTGCGACCATCCACGATTTGCCACCTCCGGGCTCCTCGCTAAACACAGCTCGAGCGGCCTGGTCCCCCTCTTGTCGCGCGGGCTCGAAAACTTGCCGATCGAGGTAGAGGGGGTGGTCGCGCGTGGCGTCGTCCGGAAGCAAATCGGCCGCATTCTCGACGATGCGATCCTCAAAGTGTGCCAGGAGGTTGCTTGTTTTTCGTCCATTGGGATGCGAGTGGATTACAAGAAGCGTTTCGGAAAAGTTGCTCTCGCTTGCTCGATGTAGTTCTGTGGCATGATCGGAGGTCGCTGCAAGAACATGACTAGTTTTAGCGTCTGCATTCGCCTCCATAGCTTCATCGTCAACACCCGCAGTAAACGTTTCCTCGATGTGCTGTTCCATGCGACCTTCGCTGCTCGTCGTGCTCGTGCCGGCTTTGAGGTAGAGCACATGGCGCAAGTTCAAATACAGTTTCGTTGTGGCAACGGCGACTTCGTAAGACAGGCGCTCAACATTCAGCAAAAAGAACAGCGCGGTTCGATCGTGCTTGTTCTTTGAGTGCGCAGCAGCTGCGGACGTCATGAAGACCCTGCGCAGAAAAAGCTCCAGCTCCGCAGCCGTCGTGCTTGGCGAGCAGAAGAACACGTTGGCGGATCCCAACTGCTGGAGACGAGCCTGTCGTGCGAGAGAAGTGACGAACTCGAGCGGTTCGGCGGCGAGTATGACCCTCGCCCAGAACCGGTGCGCTCTAGTACGGTGGTCCTGGCTCAGGCCGCTGCCCACACTGTCTGAATTCGAGTTCGACTCGCCAGCATCCGCACGCATGAGCAGGGCGGCGGCGTCAAATTCCTCTACATCACGAACTTCGTCGAACTCATACCCATCTGGAAGGGGAAGGAGATCTGATCCCCCAGCAGGGGCAGCTCCATCGGCGCGGTCTACATCCAAATGATTCAACAAAGCACGCAGAACAGCCGGAAGCTTTTGGACGGACAGGCCCCCACTTTCCACGTCAATGCTATTTTTGGATCCGTCAAAGTCAACGAGCCGAGTGTGTACAGCACGCGGTGCGGCGTCAGACTGCGTGCCGATGCGCTGATCCCGGTGTTCGTCAGCATGAGGGCGGCTGGAGTTCCGACTTGTTGCCGACGGCGGCGCTGCAGATGTCGTGATAGATAACTTTTTCTCCTCGGTCCAACGGCGCAATATTCCTTTTGCGAGGGACCCGAACACCTCCTCCACGTGTTCCGTCGTGTACGGTGCCTCACCGTTGTCAAACGAGACAGTGGTGGACCCATCGGAACATTGCTGTGCTGAGCCCGTGACCGCATCACGAACAGCTGCTCCAGGTGTTGAGTAGAGAGGTGCATGATCTAGATCTACTTCGGCATCCGCCATGTGAACGTCGCCACCGTGCTCGTCCTGCTCCTGACCAGCAACCATAATATCGTGCTGAAAGTCCTCCTCTTCTTCATCCTCGGCAGAATCATCCTCGTGAAGATCTGCTACTTATGAAATGCAAAAGCATCGCACTTCTAGTAGAAATCGCATTTACAAACTGGCTCGGAAATTGGAAATGCGGAGATCTGCCTTGATTGCCAGATCTGTACTGTATGGCCACGATTACTACGAGTGCGATAGTACTTTTGCAGTGCATATTATTCTTGCTCCTCGTCGTGCGGAACGACAGGAGCCGAAGTCTTGGGTCTGCAGGGAGTATTCCGGTGCGTTTATCAGGTCAAGAACGGTTTCTTGGTCGTGCCGGAAGGATTCGAACTGCGCAGCACTAACATCCGCAGCGAGCGGGTGCACGTTGCCTCTTCTGTCCAGAAAACGGCTAAGAGCGTCCTCCTCACTCTCGAGCAGCCAGGCCACACGACGCCGCATGAGCGGATTTGCCCGCATGGCCGGAATCAGTCGAGCCAGATCGAGTAGCTGCAGGGTCGTAAACCGGCTGAGTACTTCCGGAAATTCCCGGCGCGCTGTCTTGAACTCGCTTTCCCACACTTGCTCCACCTGGTTTCGTATCCAAGAAAAAAACTGTGCTAGTGTAAGTCTTTTGGGAAAACTGCATCACAAGTTTGTCTGCCATGACAGGAAAAGCTTGTTATGCGCAGATAGGAAGGAAAACACCTAGGAAGGGAGCCGATCAGGCATGTTGAGAATGACAAATGTAACTGTTTTGCATTTTCTGCATCACAGATTTACACTTACACAGTTTTTTTTTTGCATATTTCGCAGCCCGCGTTTAATGGTCCGCAGAAGCGGCAGCAGCGTCTCGTGAGATCTGGCACTGAAAAAGATGCTAGAGCGGGTATCCAAGGGTTCGTCTGGGAGAGCACCTCCCTCATGTTCAGCCTGTTGGAGCCGCGCCCGCGCATCCTCCATATCTTTGTAAGTCTGTAGACTAAATTCATCCTGAGCTGCAGGCGGGTCGTGGTTCCCGACTTCCAGCTGCCGAAAGTGCAGCTGGACTTTGTACGACCTCCAGTGCCCCCCGCTGTTGTTCCTCGCAGCCTCTCCGCGTGCAGCACCTCCCGCATGAATTGCGTTCTTGCCCGCACTGCGAACGCCAGACTTCTCTCTGGGGCCAGGCGGAGATGGGTCTGGTCCTACCTCAACTACTACGTCGTAAAACAGAGGGATTTGAAAGTCGTTCCGCAGCCGCCGCAGCTGTTCCCCCAGCGCGCGCAGCTCCTCAAACATGGTATTGAAGGCACGCAGCTGGCTCTGCTTGTCATTCGTGCTTGCGACAAACTGCACCTTTTCCCACAAGCTGCGCAACTCGGCAGGCGAAAACCTCTTTGCCGGTTGGGCAGGCCTATTTTCCGCCCCCTTCGAAGTTCCTGCTTTTCCGCTTGTTGCTCCTTTCACGGTGGTTGGACCGTCCCCGTCTTCCGCTGCTTGAAGACGCGGGAGAAAAGCCGATGGAAGGTAACATGCGTCCTCATCACTTTTATTCTCCAAGTTGTCTGCGTGCAGCATTTTCGTAGTGGGCAAGACCGAAGACGGTGCGCTGCTGGACGCCGACGCGTTCGCTAGAGCTGATGAAGACCTCGCTTGTAGCGATGCAGCAGCCCCCGCCGGTCCGTTCTTCTGCACCGTGGGCCGCGGCGCACAGGTAAGCGTAAACACACCATGCGAG